TGACAATGTTTTCCAGTTTTCGAAAACCATATATGTTGTAGTGTTTCTTTTTTTTAAAAAAAAGTATTTTTACAATATGTATATAAAAAGATTAAAAAACGTAAAAGATATATAAAAATTATTATATACAATTAAGTCACATATAATATCAATTATTATATGTTGAACTAATTTAAAGATTTAAAAGCATGCATCATTCTTAACTCAATAATAATAGGTTTTCTAATCTCAAGTAGTACCTTTTTTTTTGGCGTGTGACACAAAAACATGTCTAAGCACGAATTCATATTATAAAAAAAATTGCTTCATAATCAAAGCAATTCAATTTTAAGATGATTTCAATGTGGGATTTAAATTTTAATTTTTTATATAACAATTGTAAGTGCATGACAAGGTTCAATTTTCCAAAATACACAAACCGTACGTTTTATTTGTCAATATACACCGTATTAATTAAAGAAGATTGTGACCATCCACATCAGTACTGGCCTGGATCAGTAGTTGTCAAAAACAATGTTGGGCTCAAAAAAGTAATTGTTGAGTCCAGGTAGAGTTAGTTTTGTCAAAATGGGGCAAATTTAAAAATAAATTTTTAAATAAAATAATTAAAAATATTTTTTTTGAGATAAAATTTGTCTAAAATATTGCATGTGCATAATGCGATATTTAATTCTTCTAAAAAAGTAAAACAAATATAATCTCTTCATACTAAGTGCATTTTATGGAACATGTTTCCAAACCTGCAAAGTTGATAGTTAATAGAGTTCAAATTGACAGTTGAGGAATGATAACACCACAAATTACAATTTTAATTAGTGTTGTCTTTTGAAAGAGACATACTTGTATCAACTCTAGCAGTGACGATATCAGCTATGATTGTGACACGTGGTTAAACCTGCAACGTTTACCACACATCCACCTTCTATATTTTAAGATTTTAAATAAATATTTTTTTTTTCAAATGAAAGAAATTTGCATTGCTGCATTACCTACTCTTCTCCAACTATGTACTATGTAATGCTAAAAAGTTAGCTATATATATCTCATAGGTTGTTATTACTTAAATGTTAATTTGCAGGTATTTTAAAATAAATAATTTATCAATAATTCATTTAAAAGTTAATTATTAGTAAATGTAACATGAACTCAAACAACTGTATCTGCGGGAATGTTTTCATTTAATTGCATTGTTTATATAGATTTTTTAAATAAAATATCACACCATCGATAAAGAAGATGTTCTGTCACATGTTTAAAGCAAAAAAGTATTGCTTTTATAAATTGGCAATCATAATATTGTATTCTCTTGACACGTGTTTGCATACACTTAATATCATTACATTTTTAGATAATATATATCACATTATGCACGCGTGATACTATTACTTTTCAATAGGTATCGCACCTACAATATGTAATAATAAGGGTGATGCGGCAAATTCTACTCCAAACAAAATATGTGTTTTTTAATTAGGCTATCTAGGAAACTGCTTTTTAAATTTTCCACGTTTTGGCAGAAAAAGACCCCAAATACCACCATTGAATTTATTGAAGGTTTTAAAAATAATTATTAGACCAGGAGAGGTGACTTTCGTTCAAGAAAGTGTAGAAAAAAAAGTGTAACATATGATGATAAATGTATTAAATTTTTATACATTAAATATTATTTTTAAGACAAAGAATTATATTGTTTTATTACTTGTTAAAAAAAATAAAAATTGATACTTTAACTTGGTATTTCATCAAGGATATTTTAAACAATACAAAAATAATGTAAAAACAAGTAACAATAAACAAATGGAATAATAATAATAATAAATACACCTTCATGTTGTTAAATAATTATATGAGAAATTATAATTTAATATTAAACGGATATGTGTGTATGGTTTTATTTTAAATTTAATCACTTTTTAATTAACTTTATGAGAGTTTTCATAAAAATATTTCTTTAACAAAAAATATATGTATATATATATTAATATTATAAATTTGATGTGAATAATAATGTTATATATTTGTAGGTATGAGAAAATTGCTGGTAAATTATCAATGTTATAACGTTATATATATACATATATAATGTTATATATGTATATATATATTTGTAATAATAATAATAATATTACATAACTTTAAATTGTCAAGTTAATATAAAAAGAAAACTTACAAATGTTGTTTATGTTACTTGAATTCGTGTAAATTATGAAATCTTTAAGAAAGAGGAATATGTTTTGAAACCGGTAAAGGGTTTTTTTTTATAACTTATCTAATCTTATATAAGATAAAAAAATTTATATAATAAATTTTTATTATATAAAATAAATTAATACAAATACATGTTTTCTCAAATGTTAACTAATGTAAGTTGGTGATAATTTAATCTAATTTAAAAAAGATAAGTACATAAATTGCTTATACATGGTTTTGTAGGTTAACAAATTAAAATTCAAAGTAAAATTACTATATGTTTTTTTTAATCAACGATTTAATTGAGAAAAATACAGAGAGTAAAAACTAATTTCGATGAAGATTTCACGCAAATGATAAAATGAACCAAAAATCCTTGCTCTGAATTGGTTGATGATTGTGAGAAAGTGTGCAATTTATGATTTCGAAAATCTATTCGTGTAATTCTAGTTGTAAAGCGTTGAAAGTTGTCCATATGAAAAAATTTTAAGTCATGCTTCTAATTAATGAAGAATATGCGGATTAAAAATATAAGATTACTTGAATATTCAGTATAAATTTGAGTTAAAATTGAGTTTAATATTTTTTTATTATTTAAGTGTGATAATTAAAAAAATCATTTACATAAAATCATTTTAAACAATATGAGTGTATTTAATTTTATATAAATTTTGATTGTTACTAGATCTCGTATTCAAAACATCTAAAAGATTTATCTTCTTCTTATAAATTAAAAGTGAAAAACACAGTAAAATATATTAAGAAGAAAAAATAATTCGTAATCCAAATCTAAATGATTATATATACTTCTAAATAAAAATAATATAACACAACCTACTTGTTTTAGAATATAAACCAAAAATATATAATAAAAGTTAATTCAAGTAATCTACGATGTGAGAATTATAACCTATCAGTGTTAATGTAGATATTTATTATTATTGAATATTTTTAATAATAACTTTTGATGTAATTGTCATATATTATATATATTTGTCCTCCATATTGTGTGAATAAATTAAGTAACATGGTAAGAATTAGGTTACTAATCAAAATTACTTCTTCGAGTATGCGTACATTAATTTATTACAACTAGTAAGGACTATATTTTGTAAATTGAATTTAAATACATTAATAGTTTAAAATTTTTAAAACATTTTTAAACTATTACTCCATTATAAGATAATATATTAATAAAAAAATATTTTTTATAATAATCAATATACAGATATATCTTAACATATTTTAATTGAGTAATAATATAAATTTTGTATGCTCACAGTTTGTAAGAAGTGATAGTTTATATTGGAATAATTGATAGAAACCAAAATTTTCAGAAACATCTTACCAAAGGAGTGACGAATGGCATGACCGCTCATATAAATTGCAAAGCACAAATTTGATGCTTAAACAGAGTCCCCAAAACCATCACGGAAGCAAACTAATACTCTGTGTTCTAAATTTCATGATATTATCATGTTATTAGCGGGTGTAATTATTTTTTTAATTTTAGTTTTTCTAGTCATATTTATTATAATTAGCTTTAATTCATAGTTTATAATTTATCATTGATGAGTTACTTCAAAGTTTATAACATATAATTAAAAATTATAATTGAATTAGAGATATTTTAACAAAGTAATTGTAAAACTAGTTAAAATGTGTTAAATGATTGATAAAAATGTTATAATTATTCTGTGAATAAATTTTTTGAATATTAAAGGTAAAAATAAAAAAAAATGTTATTAATTTGACTTCCAATAAATTCATGATACTTAAAATACTTTTTTACTGCTTAACTTAAAAATTATTTTCCTTTCAGATAATGCGTTTAGTAAAACAATTGTATAACTTATTTAATTTTATTTAATGAGCAAGTGATATTATTTGATAACAAAAATAAAAAAGTATACATCTTTTAAAAGTTAACTCATAAAAATATTATAATAAACATTTAACTTATCAAAATGTGGTTCTTATATATATTTTTAATTTTTATCTTTAATCTTTTAAAGAATAAATATTTACAATTAATAAATTTAATATTTTATTTTTGATAATATTATTATGCAACTAATTTTATTAAACAATTCTAATTCAATTAAATATATATAAGTTTTTAGCTATTTTATTCACGATAAACTAAAATTTTTAACTAATTTTACTGAATACTCTTTTAATTCAAATTACTCATTTTTTTTATTTTCATGATTATTCAAAATAAATTTAAACCTCAAAATCTCATTAATTAATTAACAAAAATATAATGTATTATTAATTTATATAGATTCATGAAAAATATAAATATATTTAAATAAAAAAATATAATTTATAAAATAAAAGATTTGTTCTTGGTGCACTTGTACTGTTCACAGTGAACAAATAAAAGTTTTGTTCATTCATATTTAAAAATTTTACATTTTTTATAAATTTAAATAAATTAATGATATATTACGTAGTGATCATATTTATATTACATATTTTATATATATATATATATATATAAATGGATAAATTTAAAATGAAAATTTAATTTAAAAAATTAAAGCTAGACATAAATTAAAAGTATAATTAACTCTTATTGTTATTATTTAGAGAAATGTCGGTTTTCAAAAGAGAAGATAAGGCTCGTGTGACTATGATTTCTCATAATTTTGAAGAATTTTAACGTCAATAACTGATATATAGAAAATGCATCACATTCCCTTCGAATTGGGGCATTCTAAACATTAGCAAGCAATATGCTTTAGATATTTTGAAAACCTTTTGCATAAAATAGAATCTCTTACATACTAACCCTGTTTATAAGTAAGTTTGCTTAATTTGACGAAATCAAGAGGTGGAATAATAATACTAAAGAAAAGTGTGATTCGAGAAGCGAATAGAAAAGGAAAGAAAAGGTAGTGAGAGAAGGAGAACGATGCAACCCCTTTGGGCCTTCTTCCACTGATTCCTTGCTATTTTTGTGACCGTACCATTCTTTTTGTGTTCTGAACCTCCCACTCTTCCCCCTTATTATATAACCCCTTCCACTTTCGCTCCAATTCAACCCATTTCAATTCTCTTCAGTTCAGCCATGGCTGTCACTGCCTCCTCTGCCACTTCCTCAATCTTCTCGCTCTCACCCAACCGAAGCCCCATTTCCAACTCCAGACCCTTCATTCTTCAACCCCTCAAACGCCACTTCCCCTTACTCAAATCCCTCAAACGCACCCCACCCCACTTCAAATCAAACCCTATTTCCTCCTCTGCACTCACTTCCTTCCCTTCACAAACCCACGAGCTTCTCGTTCCTTCCAAGCTTCAGTACCTGGCCCAAGAGTTCCGCTCCTTGCCGGAACCGGTTGACCGGGTAAAACGGTTACTGCAATACGCGGGGATGATGGCGCCGATGGACGACTCGGGTCGGGTTGACTCGAACAGGGTCATGGGCTGCACTGCTCGAGTTTGGATGGAGGTGAGGCTTGACGAGGAGGGGAAGGTGAGGGTGGTGGCGGATAGTGATTCGGAAATTACTAAAGGGTTCTGCTCGTGTTTGGTTTGGGTGATTGATGGGTCGGAACCAGAGGAAGTTCTGAAAGTGACAACGGATGATTTGGTGGCTCTGAATGTGGGGTTGCCAGTAACAGGGCGTTCGAGGGTGAACACGTGGCACAACGTGCTTGTTAGCATGCAGAAGAGGACCAAGCAGTTGGTGGCTGAAAGGGAAGGGAAAGTGCCCTTTGAGCCTTTTCCCTCTTTGGTTGTTTCCGCTGATGGAGTTTTTCCCAAGGGTAGCTACGCTGAAGCCCAGGTTAGCACTATCTGAATGTCACCTATTCATTCACAAAATGTGGCTGTGTATGATTGTCATTATTTTTTATTGAGTGATTTTAAGAAACGACATTCGAGGATGTTTGAGAAACGACATAACTTGTTTCTGGGATTGGCTATAGTTACAGAATCTTTTGACCCCGTCCAAAAAGCGTTGAATTATGAGAGTGTTAGTAGTGCTAGTGCATCTGGGTCTGTTACAACTTGCAAGAATCTGATTCTATTTTACTCGTTTACACGGGGGAGGATATTGTCTTTTTAAGTTTTTTCTTTGGGTCTTTTCATAATGATTGATGGCGGTTAGCCTTAGTGCTTTTGACTTGTTAAACAATTATTGAACGAGTGGAAAATACTTGTTCCGCGTGTGGAACAAAAACAAAACAAAAGACAAAAGTTTTAAATTTTGTCATTCAATCAAATAAAGGGATATAACTTTTTCTTCCAAATCTTGCCCTTGTCTCCCCCAACCCTTTTCCTCCATCCTTCTCTCCCTCAAATTTGCTTGGATTGTACATCGAACAGCGAATAGCAAATAGACCTAAAGATTGTATTGTGACTCGATGGCTTTTACTGTGCCTTTCTACTTGTTCTGTGTGAGCACTACTTGCTCTGGGTAAGTCCCACTTTAGTACATACACGTCCTGTATTTACTAAAACCCCCCACTGTACTGAAATCTGCCTAGGCATTTCTTTGGTGGTGTTTTAGTTATGAGTTTTTCCTTGGAGTTACACAACCTAGATCACTTATCAATCAAGGGCGGTGAAGAAATAGGTAGAGTTAAGCTATACATACTATCGCCGTACTCAGAGAACTAAGGTATGTTTGGAAGTTGGCTTTTGGAGGGAAACAGACCAGGGAGGGGATTTTTCATTTCTAATAAATAATTTCTAATCTAATTATTTTTTAGATGAACGAAATGAAATAATAGATTAGAATTAATGCCTAATCTTTTGTTTTTTTCATACTGTATCACACTCTTAATTAAAATATAATAAAATTTGCCGTCCCTTCTCTTTCTCTCCAAAACTCCTCTCCTAAACATATCCATAATAATTTTTTGGGAGTTCCATTTTTTCCCTTCCTTGTCTTCACTAATGAACTTAAAATTTTAAAAAATTATGTCTGCATGTTCACTTTATCTGTTTAACTGGTTTTTCTCTAGAAAATATATTTTCTTCACATCATAATCAATGGCTCAGAATCTTAACCTGATGGCATTAAACTCCTAATTTTCATCTGCTTTCATGCAGGCAAAGTACTTGTTCCCTAATGAATTAAGAGTTAATGAACTAGTCAATGTGCTGAAGGAGAAGAAAATTGGTGTTGTTGCACACTTTTACATGGATCCTGAAGTTCAAGGAGTTTTAACGGCTGCTCAGAAGCAGTGGCCACATATCTATATATCTGATTCACTGGTCATGGCAGATACAGCAGTCAAAATGGCAAAAGCCGGATGCCAATTCATAACAGTGCTAGGTGTGGATTTTATGTCAGAAAATGTGCGTGCTGTCCTTGATCAAGCTGGTTTTAATGAGGTATACGTTTCTGGTATTTGTCTTCTCTATTTTGAAGATAGCCATCAGCAGGCAAAATAAATGATGATATGTGAAGTCTGTCTAGAAGATGGAGTTAAGTTTCCCATTTATTAAAAACATTGGCTATTGGCTTGTATGAAGAATATCACATGTGATGCTGTAAAATAGATTAAGCTAAATTCAGTATTTGTGCTACATGTTAATCAAACTCCATAATTTTCTTCTGATAATTATTTGCAGGTTGGCGTGTATAGGATGTCAAATGAGCGTATTGGCTGTTCTCTGGCCGATGCTGCAGCTACTCCTACTTATATGGAGTATCTTGAGGCTGCTTCTAGGTCTACTTCTTTGCATGTGATATACATTAACACTAAGTTGGAGACAAAGGCGTATGCTCATGAGCTTGTGCCAACAATAACCTGTACTTCATCAAATGTTGTCCAGACTATTCTACAGGTGGGTCAGATCAAATTTTTTTGTATTCCTCTCTGGCTTTGTCATATGAAGATGAATGCATCACATGATGACCACCACCAACCCCATATAGTCCTTTCTTGAAATAAAATATTGGTCCCTTTTTATGCAGGCATTTGCTCAAGTTCCAGATTTGAGCATATGGTATGGACCTGATTCTTACATGGGTGCAAATATTAAAGAATTATTCCAACAGATGACAAACATGACTGATGAAGAGATTGCTGCGATACATCCTGAGCACAGTGAAGCCTCTATTAGATCATTACTACCACGACTTCACTATTTTCAGGTAAGATCTTTATCAAATTTTGAAAGCTATTTGGTGGTGTGCAGCATTTACTTTGCTGGTCTTTGCATTTTTCATTCTGTGATGCTGGCTTGTAGAGGAGTCAATTGTTCCTTTCTTATCTCGCATGACAATTCTACATTTCATATGATATTTCATTCTTCTATATTTCCCTCTCTATCCCCATTTCTTTTGCATAAGTTTGCACATGCTTTGTCAAACAATTTCATCCTTTTTTTTCCTTGTTGGGTCTATGTAATGTGTGACATGGGGAGAAACTTGTCAATACCTCTGCTTATACATTTGTCGTGCACCTGTGGCCTTCATATGTGGTTTGTAGTTGATTTTAAGGTTTAATTTTCCTTGTATAAAATCTGGCTTACATTAGCTTCCATCATCTGCTGGTTTCCGTGTTTTTATCTTAGTAGGCTAGTACTAGCAATCTATGCCTCTATTTCATTTCATGATTATATGGTCTTGCCACTTGGTGCCAGGATGGAACATGCATTGTTCACCATCTATTTGGCCATGAAGTTGTGGAGAAGATAAAAGAAATGTATTGTGATGCATTCCTTACGGCTCATCTTGAGGTACCTGGAGAGATGTTTTCATTAGCAATGGAAGCAAAGAGAAGGGGAATGGGTGTTGTTGGCTCCACACAGAATATTTTGGATTTCATAAAAGATAGGGTTCAGGAAGCTTTGGATAGAAACATAAATGATCATCTCCAGTTTGTTTTAGGAACAGAATCAGGGATGGTGACTTCAATTGTGGCAGCAGTTCGTAGTTTGTTGGAGTCTGCAAAGCCTTCTTCTCAAAACGAAAAGGTGACTGTTGAAATAGTCTTCCCAGTTTCATCAGAATCAATTTCAAGAACAACCTCAAGTTCATCCTCAGGTCTTCATTCTACCAAACTGGGTGATATCACACTTCCTGTTGTACCAGGAATAGCTTCTGGGGAGGGTTGTTCCATTCACGGTGGCTGTGCATCTTGTCCATACATGAAGGTAAAATTTTTCGTTTGTTTTGGATATGGTTAGCTCATTTTATAGTAAACTTTAATTTTGCTCGTAGAGTGACAAGATCTTGAACTACAGCAGGATTAATAATTATAATCTGTAGGTCATTAAGTACATTATAGATTACTGCTAAGATGTGATCAAAGACTTTATTCTATCCTTTTTCTCATCAAGGTGGGTCAATACTCAGTGCCTTATTGTTTTTATCTGGACTATAATTAGTTTTCTTTAATTTTATTCTTGGAAGCTCTCATCTGATTGTTTCTTTAACCTTTTAGATGAACTCTCTTACCTCACTCCTGAATGTTTGCCATCACCTACCCGATGAAGAAAATGTACTTTCTGCATACAAGGCAGAGCAATTTAAGTTGCAAACTCCAAATGGCAAATCAGTGGCAGACGTTGGATGTGAACCAATTTTGCACATGAGGAACTTCCAGGTTAGTTTCTTGGTATATTTTGTTAGTGACATTAGTGCCATGTGCTTTCGAGTCACCTTTTGATATGTGCACAGGCTACTAAAAAGCTTCCAGAGAAGCTGGTTGATCAGATTCTTCATCCCCAAGACAGTAGAAGGTCGATGTGATGAACTTGAGAAATAATGTGATGTGAAGACCCGCTGTCTTGTGAGCACTTCCAAGTTACAACAAACGCTAGGTCCGTGCAAGATCCTTTCTTGTAGCATGGTAATCGTTGCTATAACTAGATTTTGTTGTATGGTAGTTTCCCTTCTCATAGGGGGCTTCTAATATTTCTAATTTTAGATTAGATCACATAATATAGCTCGGTATCGATATAGAAAAATGAATGAAATAGCATTTTTAGTATATATACGCCCACTCTTTATTTTTAATAATTGAAAAATCTAAATGTACAGCTCGAGGTTGAGGGTTTCTTTGTATTGGAGGGAGGAATGCTTCTGAGTCCTCTGTTTAACGCATGAGAGCAATAAATCCCATATGTTAACGTAAACAGTAGCCATCTCTTGCTAACCACTTAGTTATCAAAGCCCATTTCTACCTAAGTGTAATGTGTACCCTGTGAAAATATCACAATTGAGAATAAACAAGTTTTCTCCTCACACATCTCTCGCCTCTACACTCTTTAATCCTTTTTAGCAGGTCTTTCTTCACCTTAAATTAATTGTTCAGCAATTTTGTCTCCGTGTTGTAATGCCAAGGTTATTAACCTTCTCTCCGATTGTTTTTTTATTTTTCCTTAAACATTTTGAAGTCATTTCGATACTTTATGTTAAAGAGAAAAAAGGGGTACTATACAAAATAAAAAATTTGGTTTTTTATTTCTTGCTGTTTTGCATCTGATTTTTTTTTTTCAATACAAAAATGATTTTTAAAATTAATTTTAAGAATGTATAAAAAGAGTGATTCTTTAAAATATAAAAAGTACTAGTATAGTTTATTAAATATATTTTACAGTAAATACTTTCAACTTTTATCTTTGAAAATATAATTCTACCCTATATACTGGGTGTATCTAATGGTAATGGTTCATGGAATCAAAATAGGAAGATTTTGTCAAAACAGGAAATATTTACTTTATCAAAAAGATAAAAATTATTGTTTCATTTGTACTTGGGTTTCGTGTCTCTGTCTCATGGTCTGCATCTCCGTTTTCATGTGAAGGGCAATTTAATGATAATGCCTTCATTAATAGACTAATAATTCTTCAATGAGCATAATATTTTGAACTAGAATCAATTAAAAGTTTAAAATGAATTAAATAATAATAAAATTTATATTTAAAAGAAATTAACATTATCTTAAACTTTTTGTTGATTATGTCTATAAAGTATTAACGCAATAATTTTTTTAAGATAATGTGCTTCACGTTCCGTGGAAGTGATTGGCTACTAGAAAATGGCTTAACCAAGATATTGCAAGGCAAGTTCGAAGGACCCAACAAAGTGGCAGAGTAGACAATATGCATATCTCGATAGCTGCGCGAGAGGTCAAGCCTTCCCAAATTTTTTAAGGATCCAACATTCTTGAATATCTTTCTTTTTTTCTACTAAACTGATTTCATAATCATAACAAAGCCAAAATAGAATATCTCCTGTTGATGGTGAAATTATTATTTTGATATACATAAAGCATAAAATAAGATAAACCTTAATCTACTTGTATTCTTGTTTAATATGATATTTTATATTTATCATATCCATAAAACGAATTAAAAATAAAGGATATACAAGTCTTTTACATAATATTTATTTTGATTACTTTTTTGATCGAATAAATAAAATGAAAAAGTAAATTTCTCTCGATGGTGTAAGAGGCGGTTAAGGGGGACAGGTGGCGCAATGAGAGAGACGCGGAGGTTTAAACAGTGGCAGTCCCGTGTTTGTGTCTGACAACTGGAAACGACAATTTTAGAAATTTAGTCCTTTATTTGCATCAACGTCGCAATTCCCGAAACATGAGTTCCTGAGAGAGTTGGAACTCGCAATCTTCCATACCTTTTCTCCAATCTCTACGTCATTCTTCTGCTCTTCATTCTCGCCAATTCAACAACCCACATCACAAGTACGTCTCTCTCTCTCTCTCTCTTAATCGAATTAAGGGCTCTATCCTTTCGAATCTTGGTCATCTATTCTGTTGCATGCTGCATCCATATAGACAATATTAATCAATTGACCCACAATCTTGAACCTCCTCATCCTGTAATGTGATATCATCTATTCTGTTGCCATGCCATAGGAACAGTTCCCTCTTAAGGCCTAGCTCTGTTTCTCAGTACTGTGGTGGATTGGCGTGTTATATATAACTAGTTGATTTGGAGAAAGATGTTAGGCATGACCACTCAATTCTAATTAGTTGCTCATCTTGTCCTACGTATTTGGTTTTATAAATTCCAAGTTACCATGGTGCTCGTAACTATTTCATCTGGTTCATTGTCCATGGCAGCCTTAGAACAATTTCTGCGTTTCTTCTTTATCACTGTGCAGTTTATTACAATGAGAATATAATGTGTTTTAGAGTATTTCTTTTAGTGGTCCTGAAACTTGTAACCAGATTACTGACATTCTATCTATACTTATGTCTGATTTGAAAATTTCATTTCTCTGATCTCAAACTGTTGGACTTGGCAACAGGAAGGACATTATGTTATAGAAGGAATCATAAAAAATGGTTTTCTCTCCTTGGGGTGTATACACCTAAGGTGGAAAGATTGAAAGAAAGAAAGAAAGAAAAAGTGATAGATATGTTGGGTGTTAAAATTGCAGTGTGAAAATATCAGGTTAAGGAATCATATTTCTCATTAAAAAAAATGTTGAGACGGATAATTTGAAGATGGGCTATTTTAGAGATAATCAGAATTTATGGTTGTTTGTGTGTGCTTTCTGTATTTCATTCCTTAACTCTGAATTTTCTGAATATTGAATAATAGTTAATACAAGAAAATTTGAAACTTGCATGGCGTGTGATAACCAGTTTACCACTGGTTGAGATCATTGATTTTTGTTATCTCCTGTTTTGAACATTTCAATTGTAGGATTTTATAAGAGAATCCAGTTGAAATGAAGTGATAGCAAATCCTACCAAAAAAGATAGCCTAATAGGATTTACAAATTTTTAGTTGTTGCTCACAAACTGACTGGTGAATGAATTCAGATGTTAAATTGATATCTTTCCAAACAAGTTTAGTAAGTTGTAAATGAAATGAAATCTGAATTTTAGATTACACGCACACATAATTTTTTCATTGATTCTACATAAAAAATCCTATTTTGATTACGTTATTTATGCTGTATGTCCAATAGGAGCTTGTGGAGAGTAAATAGATACAGCATGGGTTCTACTAATGGACTGAGCACTACACATGGGAAACAGCCTCTATTTTCTTTTGGATTTATATCTGATGTGCAGTATGCTGACATTCCTGATGGTCGTTCATTCCTTGGTGTTCCGCGGTACTATAGGCATAGCATTCTTGTGTTACAGAGAGCAGTAAAAGAATGGAATACTAGCCAGAGGCACAAGTTTGTGATAAATCTTGGAGATATTGTTGATGGATATTGTCCAAAAGATCAATCTTTTAACACTGTAAAGAAAGTTGTGGATGAATTTGCGATGTTCAAGGGACCTGTGTATCATTTGATTGGCAATCACTGCCTATACAATCTGCCTCGCAGCAAGTTACTTCCATTATTGAAGATTCAGAGTTTTGAAGGTCATGCTTACTATGATTTTTCACCAGTACCTGAATATAGATTTGTAGTTCTAGATGGGTATGACATAAGTGCCATTGGTTGGCCCCAAGATAATCCAAAAACATTGGAGGCCTTGGAGTTCCTCCGGGGTAAGAATCCAAATGAAGACAAGAACAGTCCAACAGGTTTGGTGGGCCTTGAAAGAAGGTTTCTTATGTTCAATGGAGCTGTTGGAAAGGAACAAATGGATTGGCTAAATGGAGTTCTTCAGGATGCAACAAATTTGAAACAGAAGGTGGTGATTTGTTGCCATCTGCCTCTAGATCCTGGTGCATCATCCAAGGAGGCACTATTGTGGAATTATGATGAAGTAATGAATTTGATACACAGATACAATTGTGTGAAGGTCTGTATATCTGGACATGATCACAAAGGAGGATACTCCATTGATTCCCATGGAATACACCATAGAGTTCTTGAAGCTGCCCTGGAATGTCCTCCTGGCACGTATGCATTTGGACATGTTGATGTTTATGATGATAGAATATCACTTCATGGTAGGGACAGAATGCAAAGTACAGACATGTATTTTAATCATAAAGCAGTTTTGTGATGACAAGATGTGTTGATATTTGTAAGACACCTATTCGTCTATTGACATTAGAGAATACGATGCTCTTGATGCAAGTCCTATTCACAAGGAACTTCAAGTATCGGAAGTTGGAATGACCTAGTTGAGTTGAGTAACTTGCATACAATGATGCGACAAGTCATCAACATCGGTGGAGGTTGCCTCAGAAATGATTTGCCAGTGAAATTTTTATCGTTTTAGTAAAACTATTAGGATGCTTTTTCTCGATATATATACAATCGATGAAAAACTGTTGTGAAAATGATCAAGTGAATACTCTTATTTATTACAATAGTTGTATCATTAGTACTCAAATTTGATTACATTCTACGTGACTTCTCAAACAACTTAGGTCCAAGCTAAAAACTAGCTCCTGGACCAAGTAATTTAACACTTTTATTACTTTTGATTTAATCCTCTTCCTCATATAATAAGTTTTTTGGGAGATCATGCTTCACATTGATATGGAATTGACTTGTTAAAGATCATTGACTATTGAGGGGTACAAACAGGTCCCTCTTGATTTATTAATGAACAAATACTATGGAATATAATCTATTAGTAAACCTGTCATGATTTTCACGTTGCTATCCCGTGTTAATAATCACTTCTGTGGTGGGGAATAAGCCTTCGCCTTTCTCTTCTCAATATAGAAAAACACCAAAAGGGACACCACTGAGAAAGCACTAAAGCAAATGGAGCAGATATCAAGAGACGCGTGGCGCCCACTGATTGCCTGGATCTCGAACAAGTTAGTGCCCTTCTTCGCATCCGTAGTTTGACCGTAACCCACTTGCACGTCATTGGAGTCAAGTGCATAGGCGCGTACAAAGTACGTGGCTGTGGGCACGTCCCGCTCAATCACCCACTCGAAGCTGTGCTGGGTTTTGTTGGAACCATCGTAAGGTCTGGCTACAATCTGGTGCTGGCAGGTCTTGTCTCTGGAGAGGTTGTCCTCGGTCTTCCTCCACGCGCGGTCTTGTTGGCTTATGGGCGCGTAGCACAGCTTCAGCTTTATGGTTTTGTAGGTAGAGTCTGTTCCAGCTGGTACGGTCTTGTTAAGAGCCCAAGTCACGATGATTTTATCTAATCCAGCTTCCAGAACTGCATAATTATTTTAATACCATACTGGGTTTAGCCTAAAATATGGAACATCAACGACCCAATTCATAATAAGTTGGAAGATTTAGAATAATTGGTATGGTTTTACTTACCTTGTCCTTGCTTTGGCGAAGCGGTGACATCAATGGTCCTTTTCAAGGAAGAGAAGAGAACATTCCCATAGCAACTTCCGGCTAAACAGCAAAGAAGAAGTAATGCTGCCACAAGCACTCGTGCTACCATTTTTACTCAGTTATCAATTCCAACAACAAGGTTTTGAGAAAGGAAAATCAAAGTGTGAGAAGGGGAATAGTTGAGACTTGAGAGAACAGCCAAGGAATCAGAGTGAAATTCTAAGAATCTGAGTGGGAGATGCACTGTCTTTAAAGCCTTTTATATAAAGCCCAATCCCATCAAATAATTGGAAATAAAAAACTTTGAACAATGACAAGTCAAAATGCCCAAATGCCCAAACTGGAGCAGAAAAATAATAGCGGAAGCAAGCAAGTTGTATAGAATAGATATCCCTTAAACAGGTTGAAGGGACATCCTACTGAGGTTTCCGTGTATTTGGCCATTTGCAATTTTGTATATTTTTATCGGTTGACTTTTTCATTGTTTCTCTATTCTCTTCTCCCCAAGTGCTTGGAGTTTATGATGGACAAGCGCAGACACATAATGCATTAGATTTCAAAACCATTAATCATCATAGGTTTGTCCTAAGTTCGCAACCTGATTCAGTTCCACTTTTTTATATATACAAAAAAAAAATATATATTAACTCGATTTTATCAGTACAGACATTATATATCAAGAAATCAATCATTTTTTTTATATGCTTCATATCTTATATCTCCATAACGCTGCTTCTTATATAAATTATAAATGATATAATATTTCAATAACAAAACTTTCATATAAAACTCTAAATTGGATACCAAAGTTTCTGGTCTACATATCTTCTCAAGTTTTGTAAAAAATACTTATATTTCTACACTCGCGTCTTTTATGTTGTTATAAAATCATCACAACATATATTATATGTTATCATGATAAAATATTCATATAGTATTATATAATTATCAATTTATAAAATAAAAAAATCATAAATGTTTATTATTTTTTATATTATAATTCATAATTCAACTCTCTCTTTTTTTTTTTGTCAAAAGTTTTGTTCGATAAATAAAGATAAATAATGCAGTAAAAAATATTATAAAAAAAGTGGACATGAATAATAAAACAACCTACTTGTTATCCATTCACACTATCAAAATTGAGGAGATTGACACTTGCCTTCACAATTTCAACTTGGCCTATCATCTTGATTCATCGCTTAACAAAAGAAAAAAGTCCCAATCAGGTTGCGTGCATTTTTTACTAGATACTGAGAGAGAATTTCTTAGGGGCCATGAATGAATGGATGATGTTTTATGTACCCATTTGTCATTGACTTGTCCTCTTAAAAAAATTTCCACTATTTCTCTGAATAGGAAATATGCAAATTGAGAACCCAATTGCACCAGTGTCAATGCCATTAAGCTGTCCTCAATTCTTTGGCTTCCTCTAAACTGGCAAATTCTATTCATTTTTTACTTAAAGTATTTGTATTTTAATTAAATTAAAGTTTTTTTTTTAAAGTATAAAGATTCGATTAACTAGCGTTCAAAGGACATAGCAACATTTGAGAAGAGCAAAAACAAAACGGCCTGGCGGGAAAAATCATTATCAGCTTTGATTGTGGTTGGGTTTGGGTTAACTTCGGGTCCATTAACTCTCTTGATACATTTATTAAAGGCTTACAACCTTGGGCCTCATTGTGCAAGTGGGCTTTAACTATAAGTTTGGGCCCACACATTAACAAATACTCTATACCCTGACACAGACGCCTCATAAAAGAAACAGAACTTATAACAAGGTAAACTAAAAGGCCGAACACTTTATTTAATTATCACTCTATTAGCTATGACCAAAATAAAATATAATAAAACGGAGTGAAATAAAATAAAATAGACAAAAAAATTACTTTATAATTTAATTATTTTATAAATTTATTCTGATTCTATTATATATTTTTCAATTTGGGAGGAACAAAAATATAAAATAGGATGGAGTCTATTTCATTAATTCTCATTCCATTTTATTAATATTTTTAGCATTCAAAGAATAAAATACGACTCCATTCAATCCCATTCCACTCTTTACTATCAATTCGAACATTGATAAAAAAATAAAAAAACACGTTGAAGATGGGCCAAATTAGATTCTTGTAAATCCTCTGAATTTTTGTGACATTTCACATTATTGTTTCATTTTATTGATCACTTAATTAAATGGTGGATATATCATATATGCGTTTAAATCGGTAGTTAAGATGCCCCATTGTGTCACTTTTATATACTTTTACCTAGTATATTGATTACACTTTATAGATGGCCTTTTCCAAGTCTCGAAAAAAAAATTTCAGCTATTAAGAAATGATATTTTTAAGCGTTGCTTTTATATTTAGAATGCATTTTAAAACATGTATATAGTACTAAATTTTTAGTAGTTCAAATAATAAAACTATTCCAATATAATACTGAAATGCAACATTGAATAAACTTTATTATTAGTTAGCAACAAGTATTTTTAAAAGAAGAAAATAAACTAAATTTTTGTATAAGTTAATGTCTCAATATTTTCATAAAACATTTCATCTGATTTTTCTGTAAACACTTATAACTTTAAAAATGAGAGGGAGAGAAAAGAACTGTGCCTCGATGGGGTGTCATTGATTCAAAATTAACTTTCATCAAATAACTAACAACTACACATTCAATTCAAAATTTTATCACATCTCAACATTCTCATTTCTTCTCAATACAAGATTTCTTTTCACCATGTCAAATAACTTGGTCTTTTATCCATAAAATAAAACAACGTTCTTAAGAAGCATTCTATGTAGACACAAAGACAACAAAATACATTCGGAGAACAAGACAGCACCAACGCCGGCTATTCTACCATGCATAGTCGAATTAACTGATGTTTTCTATGCATCTACTATGTTCTAACTATTAATCTTTAAACTTGAACATCCCTCACCATAACAAAACCCTACCTCTTTTATTCTCCTTAACACTTGATCTTAATTTGTTAGTGCAACTAACTGTGCGTGTCTAAATGGAGCCAAGGTTGGGAAGAGAGACCAAAGGCTCTGTAAGTCTACAAAAGAAGATGGCAGAGACACGGCGCAAGGAAAAACCAGCGCCAGACCTAACCGATTTCATGAACGACATGTTTTTCGGAGCAGCAAACATGGAGCACAAAGCCTACGACCTCACGGGCAGTGCAAGTGTCGTGGAAAACGACGATGATGAAGGGTTCGACGACAGCACTAGAAGTAACAGCGCAAGGTTGACACAAGAGTGGTTACAAGAAGCACGTCGAATCGTAGCTTCCTCTCCTTCAAGGGGTGATTCTCCAGGTCGCCTTGTAGGGTCCCCTAGATTCGCTGCAGCACAACCAGGTTCACCCATTCCCTCCTTGGACCGAAGAGAAGCTCTCTCTAGGACTAGGTCTGCACGAAGGTAACACAAAAATACCAATAATTTTTAAATTTTTCAATCAAATTGTATGAAAATTCGATTTTCAATCACGTTAAATAATAATGTATTTAAGTTTTTATTTTCCATGCAAGTTAGTTTGATTATTTGATATATAGTATGGTAAAATTGTAATAATAATTATAATATAATAATGTGAATGAAGCAGATACAGAGCGGGGGAAGGGATCAGTGATGAGATACTGTCTAAAACAGCAAAACACACTCGTAACAAATCCGACACTTTCGCTCAACCTTTATCAGATGGGGATGGATCCCCTGCTGCGGCGGTCCATAAATGGTTTTCCAACATCCTCAGGCCAACCAATAACAATAACACGCCTCCTCCTCCTGATTCTGTCTCTTCTCTCCCGCCCCGTCAACCTCTTCCCCGAAAGTCTCGCTTCCAAAGCGAGCCCTCTCCTGCACCTCACCCCCAGGGGATCCAACCCTCGAATTCAAGACGAACCTTCAAGACTTGTTCGCCGTCGCCGGAGAAAGAGAAGGAGAATCCTCCGTCCGATTCTGTTCCTCTGTCGCCGCCGAGGAACCTCGTGGAATCGGCGCACCGGAGGACGATATCGTCTTCCACATGCTCGCAGGAGAAGGTCGCGCCTAAGCATGTTGTTGTGAAGGAAGAGGAAGTGAGCCAAGAGCATACCATCAACGAGTTCTTGAAAGAACAGAGGATTTTGTTCGGGAAAGTTTCGAGCGGAGAGCTCCATGCAGATGCCAAAATCGTGCTTTCGGGGCCTTCCAACAGTTAATGAATGAGTAGTTTTTTGTTTTGTGACGTGGGAATGTTGGAAAGTGTTTGACTCTGTGTGACCGTGCAGGTACGGCGTCGATGGTGGCTGCTATTTGCCACGCGTGGCTATTGGATTATAGGCAGAGAAAGAACGAGGGTAGAAGCCAGGGTGTGGTGACGGTGCCTGTCATCAATGTCAAGCGAAGCTCTATGTGGAAGCTGAAGCAAGCCGCATGGCTCTTTCACCATGTTGCTCTTGATGCCACCGCATTACTTTTCATTGATGAGGTGTTTTCCCCCCTTTTTTTCCATGTTTAAAATTCATTCAGATTTTATTTGGCTTTTGTTTTGCTACTTTTCGCATATACAAGTCCTTAATTATTGACTTTTGTCCTGTGTGATGAATTAATGCATGCTCTGCTGCCATTTAGATGTTCCTTAGTTTTATTTTTTCAATTATATGCATGTACAATTTTCTATTTGGTTTCGCGTCTTCTACTTTTGATATCTGATATATGACTAGATGAATTTGTTTTACTCTACAGGAAGAAAATAAACTAATAAAGGTATTTCTTAATTTAAAATGAGCTATGTTAATGAAATACTTTAATTTATTTTTATTTTAGATGTGCATCAAGGATGTACCTCAATCGTTGACTAATCTCTTTTGCATTGTAATTTTATTTAAATCAAATATTAGGATAATTATAGGAGATTAGGTATAGTGTAATTATACACCTTTAATTTCTCATTGAACACTTCAAGGAAGCCAAATCCTAATTTGCTTATGGAAAATGTTTTTGGTACCACCAGTGTAAAATGTCGCATTCTGTGTCAATTTTTAGTAGTTGAAATAATTGATTATTGGTAAGATTAGATATCACTGAAATTTTCTCTCTCGTGATCATTGATGTTGGAGATATTAGAAAGATGTTGTATATATGAATAGTACTAGGTTGGATGGGTTTTGCATAGTTTGCTGATCTGGCTGTGGAGCATGTATGCAGGTGGACATGGAAAGCCTTTTGGTGACTGGCCAACTGAGCGTCCTGGTGGTTGGACAAGATGTCTTAAGCACAACTGGCGAGGTTGGTTCATTTAAATTATTGATGAATCTGAAACTTAATTTAAACAAGAAGTTCCCAAGAATGCACCATTAGACATTATGCATAAGGTTGAATTTTAGAACTAGTTTTATGTCTTATTTTGTTCATCCAGGTTGGATCTCAATGCACTGTTCTTACAGATAATTACTGCGAGGACGCCTATGATTTACTTCAAAACCCTGTGCTGAAGAAACTATTGGTAAACTTGTAGTGAATTTAGTCTCTAGACAAACTTTGGTGCTATTAATTAGATTACTTTAGTTTTTCCTCCATTCCAAGAGATGCTTCTGAAAATTATAAGAGACTGGCTTTATAAGACTTTGATTTCTCTCTGCTTATTTTTATTTTGTAGCTTGCTGGTATTCTGCTAGACACACAGAATCTAAAAGCATCTGCATCAATATCGATGACAAGAGATGCAGAGGCAGTCCAGTTGCTATTGGTTGGCTCAGCACCAAACTACAGATATGCTTTATTTGATCAATGTGAGTTCATGTTTCACCATATAAAACTGAGTTATTGTGAGTTTATTGATTATGGAGTTCAATGAACGAAGTTGATTTTGTTTCCTTGTAGTGATGCAAGACCAAAACACTGCTTCTTTTGTTGAAGCTTTGAATCATAACTATGGGAAGTCTCCTGATGAAAGTAAGTGTCTATACTGACCTCTGCATATTATTGGTTGCTTTTCTAAATTGCAAGATGCATGAACCATGACCTTGGTCCTCTGTCTCGTGCTCCTTTGAATCTTTCCCTGTAACTTGTTATTGAAAATTTGAAATTGCAAAATTCTATGACCTTGGTCTGTAAAACCTTTTCCATGACCAGAAAAAGTGGTGAGTGCAATGGACTATGCACTCCCCCCCCCCCCCTTTTTCTTTTGACCCACAAGGACTATACTCTTTTAATTGGTTTTATTTTAGATAATAACTTAATGGTGATTCACAAGCCTGATCCGATGAATTTAGAATGCTAAATCCACTCTTAATACAGCTTAGTTTTCCTTCAAGTAGGCTAAGATTAAAAAGAGATTCTTTTCCATTGGATTTTATATGGAATGTTTTAAGGGGTGTGGGTAGTCCATTTTTTCTCTTTTAACTCTTTAAGCTAATTAAGTAATATTTCTTCGTCTCCTACTTAACATTTGCAGAAAGATTATTCTGAACCATAGGCATGGAGCGTTAGTTGTATACATCAGGATAGGACCCTATTAAGATAGCATAATTATTTTATGGCCGAGCTTAAGTATTTAAAAATAAAACATTTTTATTATAAAAGAACACATTAATTGTATTAAAGTTATAAAAGTTTAATAGAAATTTTTATTTTAAATTTTTTTTGTTATTAGTAGTAGTAGCTTAGATTTAGTCTTACGAGTTGCAATTAACATTTTTTATACTTCATTTTTTTTAATAAAAGTTACTACTTTTAAATGTTTAAATTTATTCCTAAGGGTTAAAGTTAAAAAATAAAAAAATTGTAATCATGATATGGTTAATAAGCATTTGGACATCTTGCATTTGTGATATCTTGTTGAACTATATTCATGGTACTGATATTTTACACTCTTTTCTAAACAGTTGGATTAATTCCTTTATTCTTGGTAATAACAGGTGAACAAAACAGTGAAGGAAATATGGAGCATAAAGTTCGTGAGAAAAAGTCAAGTTCTACATCTGACCATGAAGCCACTATGTCAAGGTCAAAAACAAATTCCATCGACACAACAAGTTCTAAAACTAGCAAGATTTCACCAAAACAAGGTTGCATTTCATTCTCTTTCCTTCCTTTTATTCTCATCATGACTTTTCAGTTAAAGTTTAGATTTTTTGGACTCATGATTTGATAAATAAAGGATCGTTAGTTATTAAACGGATATTCTCAGTATGTCTATTTCACTTTGTTCCAATTCCAACCATGAATGTGATGACATCAATTATCCTTGCAGTCAAACTCATTACGCCACCTTTGCTATCTCCTGCTCCAGCACCGGCACCTGCAGAAAAAGAGGCCTCTCGTGGTAAAAACAAGTTCTTTTTGGCAAGGTGGTTTGGTTTTGGTTCAAAATGAACAGATCTCCATGTGTGCCAATGGCAACTAAATTTTTGAAAAAAATCAAAACAGAAGAAAATAAAATAATCAGATTAGAAGGCCATTACTACAAAAATTATTAATAAACAAAAGTATTAGGTGTTAAGATTATCTTTCTTTGTATAATTTTTGTCAAAGATAACTTATTAGTATATAGGTATTATAGATTTACACTAATAATGTAATATGTATCAATTTCCGATCAGCATGATATACTGTATTATTAATGTAGACTCATAATGTCTGCATTAATAATATAAATTTTATTAGAGAAAGTTAATATAAAGTTAAACTGTTAGTTGCAATTATTTTAGTGTATTTCTTTTCATGGATGCTTGGCACACATGTAAGTTTAAAATGTTCTTGTCACATTTCCAGTTAAATTATTATCTTTGTGCTCAGCAACAACATCTGGGCCTACCTATTATATTTCTTTGTTAAATCAGCCCTGTTCCTCTGGCCGCGTACTTTTGAATCTTTCAGTGTGACCTCGTTATCATTGTTTTTGACGTTGACGGGATTAATAATCTCCTCTGGTCAAAATTTTTTCAACTGCTTCCAGAAAAAAAGAAAGAAAGACGAATTCTGTAGTTCCCTTGCTCATTTCTTTTGACCCCCCACAAAGCAAATCCACTATTATTTATCTTGCAAGATATGGTACTGTTTTAATATGCAGTTTTTGGTACATGTAACGTTTTGTTTATTTTAAAAAAAATGTTACTCTGTTCGTAGCATTGAATTAAATTAAGATAATATTTTTTTAATTAGGCCTATACCAAGTAAAGTAATATATCCCTTTTCATTGGCGCATAAGCCCAGCGGGGTACAAGAACTAAAATGAATATAAAAACTGAAGCATATATTTGGGCCTTAGCTAGTGTCCATCTCTTCTAAGGCTGATTATTCATTACTTCAATGCTTCACCTACCTGGCTACTTGTATTATAACTTTTATGCATAATTTCTAAATCAATAACGAATAGACTAATGGACTTAGGCAGCTAAGCAATAATGGTAACGATGATACTGATAATCTAACTACTAGAAAGAGAACCATGTGTATTAATATGCGTGAGGTGCACATACATGGATTATTGCACTCTTGTTTCTACATCATCACCAAACAGCCATCCTCTCTTTCCGGGACACTATTTTCCGCCACATGCATGAACATTTTATGGGCAAATACAGACATTCAGCTTAGTACTAATCTTGTGTCTATATTTCCGTGATACAAAATATAGATAACATAAACCATCGGTTGTTAGATTATGGAAGAAACATTTACATACAGCTTGCTTACCAAGATCGGGTCAAGAAAGAGCATTTCCAATGTGGTAAATGTAGAAGTCTCTAGATGGAGGATTATTGGGCATGTGTGTGATTGTGATACAATCTGTCTTGTCCACAATTATGCGCATTTGCTCAACCCCAGCTGTAACTAACTCCCAGTACCTGTTAGGCCCCACTTGCTTTGTCAATCCAAATCCATCTCCCTCTCAACCCAATCTCAATCTGCATCCTCACCATTACATTCTGTTCCATGACTTGGAGAACCAAGTCCATTTTCAACCTTATTTTGCCGGCTTTGATGATGATGTACCATTAAAGTTAACATGATCCTCTCACTCAACCTTCCAAGCATAGAGAAACAAGCAAAACTCTGATGACCCACTAACACTAAAGCCCTCCACTGATCCAGAATTCTTTGTCAGATCAGTAGATAATGGAGGCGATAAGGATGATAATGGAGGTGATGAAGATGACAGAGAAGTAGTAGTACTAGTAGATGACAAAATTGGCTTAAAAATGAATAAAGCATGCTTTAAACCAGGACTGAAGAGCCAATCATGAACATCCCAATATACCTCTACTCTCATCTTGCTGAGATGAATTGACTCGTTACCTCTAAATTTCCATTGCAAGTGCTTGACATGAATCACCAAGTGCCCATCAATCCTTATCTCCATCTCTGGCTGGTGAACCCCACATAAAGAATCTCCATTTCCCTTGTTCTTGCACTCAATTGAAATCTCATGCCACCTACCCTTCTCATGGAACTTGGCTCTAGTGGAGAACTTCTTCTTCCCAAAAATGTGCTCTTTTTTCGAAACCAAAATGGGATCAATAAGTGCTGGCCTGCACCCTGTCCTTCTGTATGCTTCTTTTTTAAGATCACCGAGAAGCAGTACAACCTCTTCATCACAAACAACTGCAACATAGTACTCCGAGGTTGGTTCTGTTTCGCCACTAAATTTTGCAGCTTTAAGGTCCCAGAAAACATCAAGTGCTTTACCATCCACTATGAAGCGCTTTGAACCTTGTTTTCTCCAAAAGTACCATGGCTTCAGCTCAACCTTGCAGGTGTACTGTTCCTCTCCTTCTGGGCCTTCCACTGACACTGAAAGGCCATGAAGCAACAGGTTTTTGCACCATGTGATGGTGATCAAGCGGCAGTGATCAGCAACCTTTGTTCTATAGACAGACATGTAAACACTCTGACCTGAACGGGTCACAGCCCCATGATCATCACTTTGCTTCTCAACATAAGAAAAGCAAGCAGGAATCCCAATTGAGTCTTGCATCCTTCTTGATGAGTGCACAATCTGACAGATAGTCGATGAAGCTAAAGTGGGTTAGAGAAATAGAGAGATCACAAGATGAGAGAGAGTAAGAGAATGGAAGGAATTTCAAGATGAAGTAGATGTAGTAGTAGTCATGTCATGAAGGGAGTGAGAGTCTGAGAGATCTTAGTCACAAGTTTAATGAATGCTAGATGCTGCCAGAGATGTTCATGGCAGCATTAATTGGATTTTCAAAGAATAATTTCCAAACTGGCATATGGACTGGCGGTGAGTGAGAGTGAGTGAAGAACAACCCTTTTTATATTCTGCGCCTATGTCTACCTCTTTTATTTATTATTATTTTTTATTTTGGTTAAAGATTACCTTTTTAAGTTCAAAGTTAAATCTATACAAACTTTTTCGAATCCAAAGTTGTTAAAATTTTAATATATTAAAAAGTGCTTACTTCCAGGCATAGTTATATGTAGAGAAGCAAGCCATTTTTCATCAGATTTGGTGTATAGATTTTTACGAACTTAGAAGTCATCTATTCATAACATCACATGATATGATAAGGTCAAAAATAACCGGTCAAAAGAACAACTGTAGATGTAAGGTTTAGCTTTCCAATGTAAGGACTCATCATATTTCTTCCTAGTTTGAAAGGATCTTCATATTACTCTTCCATGTGACGTTTTAATTAAGTTCGCAATCTTTCTTGCCACACATTTTTTTTTGTTTGAGCAAAATATTTTTTTTTCTTCCTATATTTTATTCCCAAGTAAATAAGCATGAGGAACTTCACTACAAGTGATATTAGAACTTGTAATTTTATTCAATATATATATATATATAGCTTTTTCTATTACAAGGCTTGAGAACTCAGCGTTTTTTAAAAGTTTTAATCCTAACTTTTTACTTCAAAGAAGGGTGGGAGAGGGAATCTATGGACTGGTAGCTGCAGAAAAAGTCTGAGGAATCCACATTGAAGTTGCAGACCTGGTCTTAAAGCCTTAAGACATGAGCATTTTGCTTAGAGACAAATAGGTTTCGGTGGTTTTCTAGTCAGCAACACTCAAATTTTGCAGGCTGAAATTGGGAGATTAATTACAGCAGGGAAAAGAGAAATTAGATGAAATAGTCAGTAAGAGTTTCATCCTAGGAATTGAATTTTTTACCTTTGTGATGGTTTTAGGTAATTTAGCAACATTTTCACATGTAATTGGATAACGTCCCAACTACTCTTTTTTTTTGACAAAATTTCCTCGAAGGTCCAAAACTTTCCAACTGCTTCAGACCTAACGGCTTACACTCGATACTCGCCCAAAGAGAAAAAGCAAAAGATAGCTAGCTCCTCCAAAAAGAAAAAGATAGCTAGCTACACATAATAAGTAATGAACATCTATCTAATCTTATGCAAATTATTGTGCAGTATAAGTTTGGTTAAACAACATTACTAAAAGGAAAGCACAAAAAAAAACATATAACAATCTTTATATACTTGTGTGTGTGATATCTTTATCTCTCTTTCGTCTTTTTATTTTTTATTTTATCTCACACTACATATATATGACGATCGTTTAAGAAAACTAGTGCACTGTGCAATGCTGCCAAGACATTGGGCAGGTCATTGATGGTCAACATTTTTTCATCTTGATGAAAATGAGATTTCTTCTTTTTCTTTTTTAAAAATTCTATTCTAATTCATATTTTTACGATATTTGTAAACAAAAAGATAAAATGAATAATATGAAATAAATAAAGAAAGAAAAATAAATTATAAATAATGTTATGAAAATATATTATAAGAATAAAATAATTTATTTTTTTATCCTTTTATAAACAAATTAACTTAAAAACAATCTAATAACTTGGTTACGATAAAGGAAATTTTTTTAGAAGAAAAAATAGTAACAAAATGTGAATCATTGAAAGCGTGGTCCCTAAAGCAAGTTAGTATAGAGCTATCAGTAGCCTGTGATTAGGCCTTAGAACGGCATATTTGAATCTATATGCTAAAAAATAGGTTGATTTAGCAATGAAAAAAATGATGATCTATCTTAACCAAAACCGTTGTGTGAGATAGGCATAATTAAGATTTCCCATGATCCTGATTTGTCCGATGTTATTAATAATGCTTACCTATATCATTAAGTGTGCTTTTCTAGTTTCACCATTCTAACCTTTATAATTGTTGTTTTTTACGGTCAAATTCAACTCCCTGCAACTGAATAAGATACCATTACATGATCTTATTAGCTATTACATTCTAATTTGATATTTCTCAAATAAGCTCTAAGTTTGGAGAATGGCTACTGTGGAGTTGGTACGTAATTTTGATCGTGGTGAAGGAGCAATATACACGCAAAGGCACTTCAATACCTCAAATCAATATTTGTATCAGCAAAGTAATAGAAGAAATAAATCCAGTAGCTTGTTAAATACACAGTGATAGGGTGTAAATGACAGAGGTGGTAAAACGAGCTACTCGATTCATTTTTGGACTAGCTCATGATAAATAGCAGATTTTAGTGGACTGAGTTGAAAAGAAATAGGTGTAAATTAGACTTGCAAAAATAGTATACAAAACAAGTAAAGCTTTGAAATTACAAGCTTTTGTTGGCTTAATCAGATCAGGCTACAAAGATCTTGATTTAATTAAATAAGACTCAAAATTTATATTTTATTGAACAAGAGCCGATTCATTTTACCAACTCCAGCAAGTGAGGTGATGCACATCCATGATACAAGAGGAGGACCATGTAGCTCGTTAGCATGATTATATAATTAACAAAGATTTTGATGCCTTTGTGACACTGGACCTTGTTTAGTTACTTATAGATCACCTTCATTCATATTTATCTACTTAGAAAAAGAAAAAATTACACTAATCAAGAAATTAAATTATATTATTAAATTAATCAAATTCTTAATCCATCATTTATTATTATGTCTCTTTTAGCTTTAGAGATAAATTAAGAATTAATCTTAAAAACAATATTTATTTTTGGCCATGTAAAATTTTATATATTATTTTAAATTATCATTCAATCAATATTATTGTAAATTATTTATTTTATTTCTTCTATGTTTTGATTTAGACCGCGTGTATATTTTACAGGGAACTATCCTACTTGAATCATGTTACTATTATAGGCGACAAGACTTTTCTACTAAATATCTCATAGGGATTATTTGAGAGAGTTTTTTAAGCAGAAGGAAGAGAAAAAATATATTTTTAATTTAAAATTAAGAGAATTATATATCATTTATAATAATAAATATATAATTATCACATTAAATGTGTGTTAATCTATTATGTTATGTCTTTCGTTTTGAAAAATATTAATTTAAAATATATTTATTTAAAATAAAAATTTATCTTCTCCTTCCTTCTAAAATTTTCTTTTCCAAGCAACCTTTTACTGGACTTTAGTTCTCAACTTTTCTAAAGTGTGCCTAATGGCAAAAGAAAAAGCTATATTTAATAATTTTTTTATAAAAAACATAAGTTCATTACATTAATAATATTAAAGTTTCAATTTCTAATAAAAAAAATTGTGTATCATTGGAACATGTTTAAAAAACTATTTATCTGCTTGTTTTAATTTTTTTTATGAATAGAACACTTGAAAGAAACAATTCTCAAGAATTTTTCATTAATTTCGTCGATTGAGACAAACATATAAAAAACTACAGATTTTATTAGAGTATAACAGCGTTAATTGTGTTTTCAGTCCTTACGCTTTAAGATATATACGATTTTGGTTTCTTTAATTTTAAGTGCTCATATTTACTATTTATAGTTCTTTTAAATATATGATTTTGGTTTTTTTAATTTTGTTTACTCAAATTTTAGTCACTCTAGTTTTATAAATGTACAATTTTGGTTCCTCTAATTTCCAAATGTGTTATTTTGGATCTTTTAATTTTAATTGTTCACATTTAGCTTCTCTAATTTTTTAAATGAGAAATTTTGTTTCTCTACTTTTTAGATGTGTTATTTTGACCTCCTTAGTTTTAATTGCCTATATTTAGCACTCTCTAATTTTTAAAATGTTCAAATTAAGTTCTTTATGTTAAAATTTTATTTAATAATTTATAAAAATATAATTAAGACATAACATTTTATTATTTTATATAAATAAATAAAGAAAAAATATACAAAATATTATAAAAATATATATAAAATATAATAAAAGTCTTAATAAAAACGCAATTTGAATATTTAAAAAATTAGAGTCTAAATACAAAGAATTAAAATTAAAAGGACGAAAATTGTAAATTTAAAAAGCGAAAGAGAATAAATGTGAACAATTAAAAATAGAAAAATCTAAATTATACGTTCTAAAACTTAAGAAATTAAATGTGAAGAATTAAAATAAAAAAAATAAAATTACATATTTTAAAAATTAGATGAATTAAATGTTTACATCAAAGTATAGAGACAAAAAGTGAGATTAAAACTATTATTTATTATTATAGCGTTTACGACGCAAGTATATTGGCAAGGTTATAAATCTGGTTTGTATAAATGCTACAGTTAAGTATAGAAATTTTGTCAGATTGTTAATCATGTAGACGTTTGATCATGCGTCTGTTGTTTTCTATTAACTGAAAGTCTTTTGGTTATAAAAGAAACTACCACTCTTATCAAAAGATAAGGGAAACTATATCTGATCACACAACACGTGAACTAACATCTTAGTCAACAACCAATTAGACCTAAAAGAATTTCACAGTTACTTGAAACCTTATTTTACAATTACAAATATAAGAGTTTCATGCAAGAATTTATAAGATAAAAGGTACCTACGCTATGTAACAAAAACAAAATGGAAGAGGAAAGATAATCAATTAAGTAGCTATGACAAATGTACTGACTCAGAATTCAGGAAGGAATGGTAGTGATTTTCTCTTGCAGGCACCACAAATTCTGCAACACTGTAAAGTGTAAAGTAGGGTTGCCAGCCGTCTATGGGCCACGCCCCGTGGCTCGAATTTGCATGTCCAGCCTGGTCTCCTCAGATCAGGGTTCAGACCAATCTTCGACACATGTGATAAAAGCACACATGCATTCACACACACTATGTCTTGTGTTTAGGTGCACACATTGTGGTTCGTCTACCAAAATTTCCATAATAGCAACTAACCAGTCACTTCTTTTATTTGTAGTTTGGTTAAAGACGTCACAGTGGAAAGCTAGAGAATAAAGGGTCTTCTTGTTCTTATAATTAAAATAACTATTTTGGATAACATAATGTTCCTCTGCTAAGGCCTAAGGATTATTCATGGATTTCTCAACTTCAATCTTCTATATGATCTATCCGCCAGTTGACTTGAAATTTTTTTCATATTTCGTAGGGAAAGTTTAATTTTTTTTCCCTTTAGCTTTAGATTATGGGCCCGATTGGGTGGCAATTGGAACAAGGTTTGAATAATAAAACACACTTTACGAAGTCTTTTTATTTAACCTATTTGGATAACATTATAAACTGTTTCACAATAACTAAAAAGTATTTGTTTCTATAAAAAGTACATAGACAAATGTGTTCCTCCGTTTTCATTATCAGGCTCTATCGAAGTTAAAAGCAAGTTGTGATTACTAAAACCATGTTTTTTAAGGCAAATGGACTGTATATTTTAGTTAGAGATGTGTAAAAAAAATTAACCAAAGAAAACCCTAATTCAAATCAAATTATAATTAAAATTAAGGCCTGATAATTATATAAACTAAATCAAATTATAATTAAATCATTTCATATAAAACTAAACTGCCTTTAAAAAAAATGGTTTAAATTTAAAATTCAATATATATAATTGGTTTATAATTAAAATTGATTTAGTTTTATATGAAACCAAACTATTCACACCCTTGGTTTACTTATTTAATTCTTAAAACATAAAATATGATCCTTACATATACTGAAGAAGTGTGTTTCAGTTACTCCGTCAAATCTTGTCAACAAAGTTTATAATATTTTTTAAATTTCAAAATGAAAAAGCACTAAAAGTTAAAGTTGAAGTTTTAATAAAAAAAATTTAATAAATATTTATAGAAGTATAATAAATATTTTTTTGATAAAATTTTATTATTATTAGTGGCTATTCAATCTATAAAGTTAAAGTTAACAAAGTTCTTTATTTAACAAAGTTAACAAAATTTATTTATTGAACAAAGTGTAATTATTAATAATGTTGTTTTTAACTTACTGCCAATGTAATACACACACAAATATATTATATAATCATGTATAGTTAAATTATTAAAGTGATTCTGTCTTTTAATAACATTCTAAAAATATTAACAGAAGATAATATAAAAATTTGTATATTCTTTATTTTTTGTCAATTAATCTCTCTCATTTGTTTTGCACTAAAGTATCGGCAACGCATTTATAATTTAGTATTTACTCTGACTTTTATCGTTCAAAAAGCCACTTTATTTTTGTTAATTTACAATACATTGCATTTGCTAATTTAATCTCTCTCAATCTCAATCATTTCATTTTCTCCAAACTAGATTGTCGATCTCCATTTTTTTTTCAGATGTTTTTGGTAGCCCAATTGGAACCATTGGACAGATCATAGAAAGACCCTAGGCCCGTAAAAAGGAAAACCTATGAAAAATATTGGTGAGACACCCAATTATTGAAAGGTTCAAACTTGGACCAAAAATAAGGCTATTTGCTTAACTTTCAAATTGAATGAGTTAGACATTTGTTGACCCAAAGAAAAAAAAAAAAGAAAATGAGTTAGACATTTGGGGGAAAAGTACATTTTAGTCTTTAAAATTAAAAAATAAGATCTAATATTATTTAATTTAATAAATTTTTGTAAAAAACAGCAATGAAAATATAATAAAATTTGTTAAAATAAATAGTTATTGTAAATTAACAATTCATGAAGATTTTTTAAAATATTAGAGACTAAAATAATTGATCCACGTAATTTTTAAGTTTAATTTAAGAGTTTCCTAATTTTGTTTTAGACATTCATGAAATGGTTGTTATTTTCTCAAAACTTGGTTGAGTTGAAAATTTGAAACGCATATCGGTAAGCTGTGTACTGTAATTAGGGCTTTAAACCCCCTATTTAGAAAGTTCTAATAAGTATGTAACTTAAAAAATGTAATTTTCTAATTTAAAGATTTTACTATTAAATTCTTAAAAATCAACATTTTATTGTGGCCATCACTTGTTTGTCTGTCTGTTTTATTTTCATCTCTCTCTATATATATGAAACACATAAAACCTTGATATTTTTAAAAATATTTCTTTCGATTCTCAAAGTTATTATTAAAGGTTGCGTGAATTGGTGTTGGAGAGAGTACATGAAAGGATTGAAGCCACAGGTTTTGGTGTGCATATTACATATAACACATTGTCAAATATCTATGCTTCATTTTTTTAATTTGTTCCACAGACTGCATTTTGTTTCTAAATGGGTCCAATAAACAAAGTATATGTAACAAACCCACCGTATCACATCAATAATAATAAAAAAATTTGATGCTATTTTTTAAAAGACTTAGTTATAACGATTCAATTAAATAATTTTAAATCATAAAAAAAATGAATTTACAAGTCATGTTTAGCATATAAAAAACAATTGAAAAACAGTTAGCTGGATTGTGTGAAAATGGCAGACACCTGTTACGTCAAGTCTGATAACAGCAAATTGAAAAAAAGAAGTAAATATTATAATTTTTGTGTGGTAATATTTTTCTTGATAAAAAAAAACTGAATTATGAGATGAGGCACTTGAATGGAATAGTGAAGGAGAAGAGTGAAGTGTCCCTCCAAAACAGAAGGGAGAAAAGGGATAACACATAACATGAGGTCCTCTTTTGTCCACCCAAATCAGATAGATAACACAAACAAATACACATTCGCAAACCCTTCCTTCTTCTATCCTCTTCTCTTTAGTCTTCACTCACTCACAACGCAAACTCTCATTCTTCAATTCTTTGCAACGCCCAATGGCTATTTCAATTTCTTCTTCAGCAGCTTCAAAGCTCACATACCCTAACAACCCCTATGCATCTTCCTCTCTCTCCCCCTCACACTCTTCCAATTCCCTTTTTCTCAAACCCCACACACACTCCACAACCCACCTCTCTTCTTCCTTCATAAACCCCTCCACAATCCTCCACCTCACCCCCACGCCCTCCGCCGCCACCACTCTCCGCCGCTCCCTCACCGTACGCGCCGCCCGGGGCAAGTTCGAGCGCAAGAAGCCCCATGTCAACATCGGCACCATCGGCCATGTCGACCACGGCAAAACCACCCTCACCGCCGCCCTCACCATGGCCCTCGCCTCCCTCGGCAACAGCGCCCCCAAAAAATACGACGAAATCGACGCCGCTCCCGAAGAACGTGCTCGTGGCATCACCATCAACACCGCCACCGTAGAATATGAAACCGAGAACCGCCACTACGCCCACGTCGACTGTCCCGGCCACGCCGACTACGTTAAAAACATGATCACCGGCGCCGCCCAGATGGACGGCGCCATCCTCGTTGTCTCCGGCGCCGACGGCCCCATGCCCCAAACCAAAGAACACATTCTCCTCGCCAAACAAGTGGGTGTCCCCAACATGGTCGTGTTCCTCAACAAACAGGACCAGGTCGATGACGAGGAGCTTTTGCAACTCGTTGAATTGGAGGTTCGTGAGCTTCTCTCCTCTTATGAATTTCCCGGCGATGATGTTCCCATTATTTCTGGTTCCGCTTTGTTGGCTTTGGAAGCTTTGATGGCTAACCCTGCAATCAAGCGTGGTGAAAACCAATGGGTTGATAAAATTTACGAGCTTATGGATGCTGTGGATAGCTACATTCCCATTCCTCAGCGCCAAACGGATCTTCCCTTCTTGCTCGCCGTTGAAGACGTGTTTTCGATCACCGGTCGTGGAACCGTCGCCACCGGCCGTGTTGAGAGGGGTACTATTAGGGTCGGAGACACGGTTGATATTGTTGGTGTGAGGGAAACTAGGAACACCACTGTCACTGGGGTGGAGATGTTTCAGAAGATTCTAGATGAGGCCATGGCTGGTGATAATGTGGGTTTGTTACTTAGAGGTGTTCAGAAGACTGATATTCAGAGAGGGATGGTTTTGGCTAAGCCTGGAACCATTACTCCTCACACAAAGTTTTCAGCCATTGTGTATGTCTTGAAGAAGGAAGAGGGTGGCAGGCACTCTCCGTTTTTTGCCGGTTATAGGCCTCAGTTTTACATGAGGACTACGGATGTTACTGGCAAAGTGACTGCCATTATGAATGACAAGGATGAGGAGTCCAAGATGGTGATGCCGGGAGACCGTGTTAAGATGGTGGTTGAACTCATTGTTCCTGTGGCTTGTGAACAGGGAATGAGGTTTGCTATTAGAGAAGGAGGCAAGACTGTTGGAGCTGGTGTTATCCAATCCATCATTGAGTGAGTTGTTGGGAGATTGGCATCCCAAATACATGACGCTTACCGGGCGAACAAAGTATCTATCGTTGGCTTGTGCAATTGAATTTTGCCATTTTACACAACTATATCTGTTTTCTTTTGTTTTGTAGGTTTCTAGATTATGTTTAGTCAAGCTGGATAATGGTTTTCCATTGCCTTGTTTGACTTCCTTCTCTTTTATTTATTGTTATAATTCATCTGTTAAGTACTTGAGCAAGATTCCGTAAATTCTGCTTGCCTGAAATTATGAGATTTGTCTTGGAAGGCTGATATTTAGTACAGTCATGTAATGTTTGGATGGAATTGGATGGTGAGTCACTTCCCTAATTCCTTATCTTAACCCCTGTTTAGAAATTGAAGTTAAAAAAAGGGAATCTATACTATTTTCTCATATTCAAATTTAATTAAAACACGCTCTTTCCCCCCTTATTTAATCCCCAATTAAATGTTGAGGATTTTTGGGGGTTTGAGGAGGCATCCCCTCCTTCAAATCCTTTGAAATTGGATTTCCTTTCTCCTACCTCTCCCGTCCTTGTCTATCATCCAAACTGTCTTTTGTCTTAAGATATGTAGAAATGATGTAATTGTAGTGCAATGTCCTGAGACATCGTTGTTAATGTCTATCCATTTTGTGTTGTAGAAGTCTTGCTGAAGTTTTATTTTGGATGTATGGGTCTTTATTGAAAATAAATATGCAATGGACAAGTGAACTACTTAGCTCGGCAGGCTATATGAGATTTAAGCCATGAAAACATGTCTCATTAGTAAAGGGCTTATTTAAGGGGAGTTGGTTAAAGTCTGTTGAGGGTTGTGAAGTAAATTGGAGCCTAGAGAACCAGGTCTCTCAAATACCTTGGTGAATGAGTGGGAGAGAATTGGGGGGGGAGTTCTATCTGTGATGGTGGCTATGGAGGAGAGGGCTCTTAGTTGGCTTCAATGGTGGGAACTTGGTTCACCGAGCCCTTCTTGGGAGTTGGGAGGGTTTATGATTGGCACTTATGAGGCAATTTCAGCCGTCCATGATGAGAAACCCATAAAGTGCTGCTGGGTTTGAAGCAAATTGCCACAGTAGAGGATTTCACGGGGTGATTTAGGTTTTATGCTGGCCCAGTGAGGTGCACCAATCAAAGAATACCTGAAAGGTATTTTCTTAAATGGCTTGCAGCGGAATGCAACTACTGCGCCCAGCAAAGACACTGGCCAAAATGATGGATTGCAACCAAATGATTGATGAGAAGAGTCAAGCTCAATGGAGGACTGGACAGGGAAAGTAGAACAAGGGCACATTATTGAAGCTACCCATATATATGAAGTGGGCTCAAAATAATCTACAGAATCCTACATCAGAAGCATCTGCGATGCTCACAAATGAGAGATCCAATGGCATGTTTAGGAGTTAGAGGAGGGGGATTCAAAAGGCTCACAGATGCTGAGCTGCAAGATAAAGTCATAAAAGGATTATGTTTCAGGGATATTAATAAATGGGTAGGGAAATTCAGTTGTGACAAGGAAACTAGAGGGATCAGGGATGAGACGGGAACAGTGTGAAGGAGAGGGAGAGAACTCTTCTCTTTGGTGCTACTTTTGTTCTTGTTATCTGTTCTATATCTCACTGATACTAGTGCCAAGATTATATATCTGCAATAAAGATTATTCGGTCTCTTTTACCGGTCTAGTTCTATCATATAGGTTCCTTCCTCCCTTCTTTCTGTTCATTTCCCTCGGAAGTAGATACAGAAGTTAGTGGGGCTCGGTTGGATTATTATGTATATTAATCTTTCCATACGCCCCAATATAACTATTTTATCTTGTTACATGGTAAGCAACTGGGCTTCTGCCAAAGTATACATCATTGACTGGAGCTATGTGCAGCTAAGCTTAGTTTCTACCATGCTTTCTAGTAATCTGCAATAGTCGTTTGTATTTGCACAAACCTTTCTGTCTCGCTGTATTAAAATTTACGTGAATGGGAAGGATGTTCGTTCTCTTAAGTTTTTAACTAACCCAACCACCTACCGTAGTCGTTATGATGTAAAAAAAAGTTTTTTTTGTTACATAAATGAAAAGAAAAAGCAGACTAAGGGCTAAAGAATAAAACTGCAGATAATAATAATAATAATAATAATAAGAGTAAAACAGAAGATGAATTTGCAAGATGGCAAAAGCTCAAAGATGCTGGAGGATCCTTGCGAACGCAAAGCTTATCCATATTTGTAATTCCCAGCTTAGCCAATGCATCAGTACAAAAGTTGCCTTCTTTCAAAATACAAGCCAAGAAAATATGCCATTCTTTATGCAACAAATAACTTAAATAATCAGACTAACTGAGAATATTTCTATACCTGCCGTTTCAAGCTAAAAAGAAATATTGTTTGAACATGAGAAGAAATAGGACAGTAAAAATGCCAGTGTCGTGTCAATTTTATTCAAGAACTAAATTGATTTTTAAAATTGAAAAAAAAATGGAAGTACACTTCAATATTTGTCACTTTCTTGGGTAACATGACCTTTTTTTTTTTTTTTTTTTCCATTATTCACCTACTAAATAAAAACAGAAGAAAACACGTAAGATTTGTAAAAATTACAATTTCGACTTAAATCCATGGTTATTTCAGAAACTCGAATTGATAGGATGGATATAATCAACTTAACGTTATACAAATACAGTGACATGATTTGGGTGCATCAGTGTAACCCTTTTTCCATTCCATATTAACCCCCAACTAGGAGATAACTAAAATGAGATTCGTAATCATAGATACCAATATCAGTCGCTCTCCCAGGGACGATAAGATGTGATTCGTGAACGATGAAAATGACGTGGGAAAGCAGATTTACGAATTTCTATAAAGAGTACCAAAGAACAGACATTAATTGAAAGATGAAGTATGTTCAAATTAAATACACATAGCCTCACTTATAGACTATTTTCACATTTCCTAAACTCGTACAGCACAACAATAAAACCCAGTGCCTGTTGAATCAGCGTCAGAGGCTATCTGCTACCAATCCATGACTTGTGTGGCTTTAAATTCTACCAACATATTTACTCAAATATTGTTGATAATACTAACTGTTGAACAAAAGCTGCTCTCAACCTTTTCTCTTGTTGGTCCTCCTCATCCCCCATATCTTGTGCATCTGTGCCAGACCTGCAAAAACAAAGCCATTATTCCATCAGCAATATTTCAGCATTGGATTTAAGGAGAGTTTTCACAAGCTTTCTTTCTATCTCTGTTTTGAAACCAGGATACAGGATTGCTACTAACTACTAACTACTTTGCTAATAAGGCATGATGATGATATCTTAAATGGGAGTATTTCATTTATCATTTTCAATTAATTTGCTGGGAAGTTTTGGTAATGATTAGATGAATGTATGGACGAATTTGAAAAGCTTATACACGGGCTAGAGAGTTTTAAAAATTAGCACTTGTCATGACTGGGGTTTGAGTCTGAAACTTTTTTTTTCATGGGTGATTTGACAATTGAACCATTAATAATCTGCAAAACTATGCACGAAATATTCAATATATGACATGTTGGACTGCGTTTAAGTAAATGATCGTAGCCATTCATCATATAGTTAATCTTTTCTACATGTTGCAAATATTTAACTAATCAAAGTGCAACTGTGTGAAACTAAAAGAACACTGAACCGATGTTAAAGCACGTGTTTCATCATAATGATACAGCTAATAAGATAAAGAAAAAATAATACTAAACAAAATTTTATAAAAACTTGAGATGCTAAAGATCATGATTCTGACGAGTGTAAACTGAGGTACTCCTGATAACATTACATTATTATTCATCACAATTTATAACTAGTAAATTTTGTTGTAGAGGAAGTTTTGGTATAAGGTAGTGCTTGCCTAATTTTTTTGGCTCTCTCTCCTGGTATGCATGGGACATTTACTTTTAATACATAATGTAAGGGAAACAAAAAGACAAGCTGAAAACAGTTTATGTCATTTAGGTATTTTCATGGGTATGCCCCACAGAATTGTCCAAAGGAATTTTAGCTGATTAATCTCAATGCAAAGCAAAGCTTTTTTCCTTTCTAATTTCCAAGATTCATCATCAACACCCAAAAATTCCTCAACCTTGTTTTGAAAGTAGTGATAGCCATTAGACGCATGTTAATTGCTCATGCAATGCTCAGATTTTATGACTTTGTAATTTCACTTTCACGACCAGTCTGGTATTTCTTAGTTCCTTCATAAATTTTTACTTTAGTCAAATCATGATGCAATTATATTTTGATGGTAGAAATGCTTAAACAGATTCGGTTACTTGGAAATACCACAGAGTGTATCATTTTATACACAAACCTCCCTCCTCTTTCAAATTATCTTTCAAGTTGGAACTTGAAAGGATGCCAGAGAAAAATCTCTCAAATCAGAACATAGTTGCCTTGTTTCACTAGTGTTATATCACATAATGAAACTTTGAAGAAACATATTTCATATACTTTAAAATTGAAATTAATTTACCCTTTTTCTTGGTCATTTTCAAAATGAATGTACATTATTAATAATCTTGCAATGAGTAAACTTCAAGTGATGTATCTTGTAGATCCACAAATAATTTATGATCGAATAATGCAAACACAACAATTTGGCAACTAAGGTAATGTAGGAATAACACTCCTCTTTTCCTTTGTCATATGAAGCATTCTTTGTATTTAATATAAAGATTAATGAATGTGCCATAATGGTAATAAATGCAGACAGTCTACAACATATATGAGTGTAATTTACTCTAGTTAAGTTTATTATATTTAACACTTCCTACAGCAAAGGAAAAAAAAGAGAAGAAAGAAAGCAAATCCTTTTGTATCGGTGCACTCTGCATTGAAAGTTTCCGAAGTTTCTCATGTTATGCTAACTTAACATTTACCACCACTACAAAATCTTGATGGAAAAAGAACCATACCTTTTTGCATCAGGAATGTATATATCCTTGTTGCTGGAGCTGGAGTCTTCACCTGTATTAATATTGTTAAGGTTTGGAACAGGCATGGTGCATACAAACGATGACAAAAGTGGGTCAGGTTTTGATTCTTGTTTGTTTCCCCTGGAAGCCAGTTTCTTGCCAAGCATTGCTGAATAACCAGAGCACATGCTAGATTTCTCAGGCTTCCACGCCCACTTAAGATCAAATATGAAACATCAATATGTTGAATTGAGTTAGCCAACAAACAAATTCTCATGATGCCAAGCTTGTGATAGATTATACATTATAGAACACAACAATTTTCAGATAAGTGAAACATACCTTCCGAGAGCTAGAATGCATAAATTGCATGATTGTTTCCTTCCCTAAATTTTCTTCACACACAGGACAAACCTGATTTTGGAAATTGAAGCAGAAATTTCAATCATGATTAACTTAACTGCATCAAAAAAAAATATGGAAGTGTCCTCTTTCATGTTTCCTAGTTGTTAATTATAGTGGTTACTGGATCACTGGATCATTTATCTTTTTGATCCAGATTAGGACAGTGCACGATATCAAGCAGACACATAAATTTTCTGGTCAGATATATTATGTAACTTAATTACAATCTACAATAAAGTAACTGGAGGGTTAATCCATCAATCAAGGATAAAAGGAAAAAGAAAACAAGGGTATGACAAAAGTGTTAACTTGTTAACAATTAGTAATGACTTCTGCTTAACCAAAAGATATTAAGAAACAGAAAGAGCATACCACATCTTTTAGGGAAGAGCAATGCTCCTCTTCAAAATTGCTGCAGAGCATAGGAACATCAATTTCAAAATCACAAAAAGGACATCGGAAATCAGACCGGCCATCATTTTCCACTTCCGTGTAATGGATCCCTGAATAGTTATTATCTGGTTTAAAACAGGTCAAAGTTATTTCTAGAACAAGTACAAGAACTCCAAATAGCATGGCATGAAAGGAGCATCTCCATTTCTCAATTTGAAAATAAATGAACTGAACGTGAAACACTAATACAACCGCAGGAGCTCGCATAATACCAAATGGGAAGGATAAGCACAATGCTAGAGCTTACTTCTGTTCTTTAGTAACTTCAACGGCACATCTTAAATTTCAGACAGCCCTGATCTAAAATAAAACTTTGCAATATGATCAGATACATCAAGCTAAATACTTAATATCGAGCCATTAAATGTAAAACCCATAGATGTACTTCAGTGATGTGTTGTACATGAAAATTGATAGATCAGGACCTCGATTTAGTTTCCATAAACCTGATCATATTTTTAAGGTATTAACATTTTTAACTTGTTCTCTAAAATCCCAATTAAGCCAAAACAAAAGGCCTCCATATATATATATATATCCAAGTGCAATTAATGTACAACTAGTAGAATCAAACTGAATCCATGCAAAAGTCTCCAGTTTGATTTTCAATGTTGGCAAGTCATTTTTAAGCACCACCATGAGTCGTTGCTAAGGCTTTTTGGTATACCTTACCCGGAAAAGAAAGGGATCAGCTTCAGGCAGTTCCTTATGGGAATCATTCTTTATTTTGGTGAAAATTTTCATCCTTTATTGACGATTTAAACTGAATAGCCTCAAATTCCTTTAAATTCCTCCGTCAACAACATCATTTGCTATGAGGTTTAATTATCATAAAAGGGAAAATTTATTTCCCATCACTTGTAAGCTTGAAGGCGCTAGACTGGTAAATATATAGAACCGGTCTCGCAGCATGTCAACACTTTTTATGGTGAAGAGACAATCACAGGGAAGCTCAACAGAAGCTTCGTTATGGTTTTTTAATATCCTAATTAAATTGGACTTCAATTGCACAGATCCAAGAATTCATATGTCTAAATTAAAAAAGGAAAATTTCAACACTCTTCACACCAGAGAATGATTTGTACACATTAAAAAACATCACTGTCCCTTTCATGGGCTATGAAATATACACACTGGACAAAATATTACATGCCACAAGATATCAAATCATTGACTTTTCATGCAAATCAAGTCCATTTACTCATTTAGAACAGAATAAATATCTTCATTCAGTCGCATAATGAACACAGTGCTTCTGAGTTCTGACAAATTAAGGCAGCAGCAGCAGCATAAACAAAGCTCCAGGTGCTTGTGACAAGGAAATCATGACAGAAGGTAAAAATTAAAGGTAATGAAATGCATTCACTCAGTTACCCAAAAATCACTCGCAACATAAGAGGAAATGGGAGAGTTCATATACAATACATCAAAAATGGCACGCAAGCCAAATTCAGGCTATGTAACACGACCCAAATACTTTTCCCCCCAGTGTAACCCACTAAAGAAAAAAAACTTCGGATTCCACATCAAAAGACAATAAGAATAGCCAGCGGTGTTCATGAATACACGGAACCATGGCTCAAACACAAGAACAAAACAGAAAATGGGTACTCAAATAAACAAGAAAAGAACAACACAGGGAAATAGCAAGTAACAAAACAAGTACCAGAGTGAAGTGTAGCAGCTTGAACAGCAGAGAGGTGCTTGACAGAATGAAAACTAGCCCTGAAGTCGAAGTCCATGATGATTTAAGCTTCTTCAGAGGATCACTGTAGAATGAAATGGAAGTGATGGTGCTACTTTGAGGCTTGAGGAGGTGCAAGTGATCAACGAGATAAGAGTGGAGAGGGGTAAAAGATCTTTTTGAGTCTCAACTCAAAGAAAGAGAAGACTTTGCTTTCTAATCGGTCATCACCGGCTTTGTGAAGTTTTGCTGACTCATATTTGGTTTCTGACACTCGATGCTTTTCCGACACACAAAAAGATTAACCATCATGCCTTACACTTGGCCTTTTTTTAATTCTTTTTTTTTCAATTAATAATAATTTAAATTAACAACTTTGTAACCAGAAGAGAACAAAGCAAACGTCAACACACGAGACCCATCTTGATTAACTTTCTATGAAATGATTATTAAGAAGTTGTATAAATATAGATCCGAGAAAAATTGCCAAGTGCTTTAGGAATTTTAAATTAATAACATAACAATACAATATAATTGTCCCCTACTTTACAGCTGCCAAAACCAGTGTGCATTGTTGTTAATTTTAAGTGAATCCTAACATATTTTGTCCTCTTTATTGGGTAATTATTTAGCTACTCGATCAATGTTGTACATTTTTAATGGAAGATCTAAAACATGGTACCTCTTGCTCAAGCAATTTTAAGATTGAGTACCATAATTAGTAATTAAAAGATACACAAGAAAGAAACTGAACCATTTCAAAAAGTTTAAATATCAGTTCAACTGTAAAACTATCACTTTATGAATCAAATCAATCTTTAAATTAAAAATAATTCAATGTCTTTTACAATTATTTTAATGTCTATTTTCAATGTTAAGAAACTAAATTCTACGTTAGATGTTTAAAAAAATAATTTAATATCGGGTATATATTTTAAAGATTAGATAAATTATGTTATATTTACGAACATAATAAATTTCATTAAAATAAATGTATTCTGTATTTTTTTTTCTAGATTACAAGTATAATTTTGTTTGGATCGAGTAAAATTATTATAAAAAGTAATTTTTTTTAATATTTAACCCATCAAATACCATTTTATAATGATTTAAAAATATTATAAAAACTTTAAATAGATTTACAATAATTTCGAAGATCATTATAAAGATTTTGGAGTTAAAAATTTTGAAAATACTCCCCCCAACAAATGCCTAAATTTTAGAGCAAGGACACAGCGGTGCAATACAAAGTGGGTGAATTAGCTATAAGTTTAACTATTAAAGATCAGTATTTTTTGTCATAAAAATTAAGCGTTACTTCTCATGCCTAAATATATAAGTAACATACTAGCTTTCAATATGCAACTATCAAATAACCTAGAAACAATGTCAGCTCAGAGATTTGAGCTTCGAATGTTTCCTCATTTTGACAAAAAACTATAAAGATAAATTTATCGTGTCTAATCGAAGTTTCCCTTCTTCTCCAGTAAAGTTTCTCCGGCATTTCGTGACTTTAAAAACATGGATACGTTAAGTGCAAGTGGTCTAGTTAGTCATCAAATGCTGCATTTACTAGAGGAATGTACATTTACATTAAAATAAGTATATATTGGATAGTTTTGAAATCTTTTTATATATTTTAACAATCTTCTAATTATTAAGATTATAAAAATTAAATTAATTTTTTATGTTTCTAATACATAAAACATATTATTTTTTATTCACATTCTTACAGCTAAAAATTATTAAAGAAAATTCTAGAAGGTACATGAAAAGTATTTGTGGTAGAAATTGATGAAACAAAATGGAGCGGAGAAAGGTAAAAGGAGCATGAACAATGGAAAGTGCAGGAGGAGACAACTAAAAGCAGACAAAGGTATATATATATCTATGAACTTGTGAAATAAGGAGTCGGAGGAAAAGTTACTTTGATATGGAGGACAGTAGATAATGTCGTGGCAGTGACCATTGATCACGTAGGGACATGCATCACACCACAAAGGATCAAAACAACGAACCTCAAAACTTAAAAAGGTCGTCTGAACTTTAAAGTAGTCTTTTTCTTAAAACATATAAAAAAAAAAGGTTACTTAATAGTTTAGGAATTGAATTAGTTATGTAGAATGGAAAACACAGCAAAGCCTCATATTTATGATAGTTTTTTCGGCCTTTTACACTCATCTTTTCATGGATGGTTGATGACATGCTATGATAAAGAAGGAAAAATATAGGAAATGGGTTGAGCCATGCCTTTACCATCTTCCAATATAAATACTAATGTTTTTCCTGTCCTATACACATTTTTATGTATATTTAATTTAAATAATAATTACACTCTTTTGGTTAAAATAATGCCAAAATTTAAATAAAATTTATATTCTACAATATAAATCAAAACAAAAATTAAAACGCTAAACTTAATTAATTCAACTATTAAATCATATAATGTTATGATTATTCATGTCAAATTTTAAACAGTCTTTTGACATGATTATACAACATTGCATGTAATAAAAAATTACAGCCTTTAATAGTATTTAAAATTCAGTTGTTTAATTATATAATATAATTTTAACGATCATGCATGTGAATTGAACAAATTCAGTTGTTCAATTATATAATATAACTTTAAGCCATGCATGTAAAATTTAGACAATTTTAATATTAACAAGTATATTATCTTATAATTAATATTTATTTGAATTTTAGAGAACGGAATTAATCGATAAAGTATTCACTACTTCTTAATTGAATAGCTTTTTTTTAAGTTTATTTAATTCAACAATAGTATTTAATTTAACAATTAGATTAATAAAATTGAATGTTTACAAAAAAATATTTAATGAAGTAAATTTACTTAATGCATTTGGATAATTATTTATTTAAATACTTATTCAATAATTTTTTAATAATAACTTATATTACAATATTAGTGATAAAGTTTATTAAAACAAGAAAATAAACAACTTATTGAAATAATATAAAAATAACTTACTGGAGCCATGCGTTATTTTTTATAAATTGTTTGTAAACTTTTTTAAGTACATTTTTACCCTAGTATATTGAAAGTATAAAATTAGCCTTGCTAATTCAAATTTTTTTTAATAGTAGTTGCTTATTGTATTTTATAAAGTTGTTATCTATAATTTTTTTTAAAATTTTACAATTGACAAAATTATTGTCTACACATTAAAAATTGTTCTTTACTCTAAATTTTAGGGAAATTTTTAAAACAATTGATAAATGAATTGTCAGCAGTTTTTAAAAAATTATTGCTTATTATTGTATATTTTAGGAATTTTTTTTAACTGTTGATAAGAGAATTGTTAACAGTTAAAAATGGTCTATTATATGTTTTTAAAAATGATTTATAATGAGACTTTTTTACAGAAATATCATTAAAAAATAAAAAATTACAGAAATAGAATCAACAACACATTATTTATCGAGATGAACTAATAAATATTTATAAATATTTTTTTAATTATATATAATAAAATAAGTTATTATTTGAATTATGTTTATATTTTTATATTATTTGAAAATGATTAAAAATAATAAATAATATTTATTTTACATATTTAAGATAATAATAATATTTTTTTTCTTATTATATTATTAATATAATTTTATTTTTTAAAATGATATTAATATTATATTCTGAAATTATATTTTTAGTTATTTAATATTATATTTTAAAAAAAATAAAAATTACAATAAAAATTTATTTAATTTTATATATTTAAAAATTAAATAATAACCAGTTTATGTATTTATTTTGAGATATTAATATTTATTAAAATTTGTACATAATTATTTATTTAAAAAAATATGTTATTAATATTAATAAATATAATTAAATAATATTATGTAGATATATTATATATAATTATATATTTAATACAAATTACAAATACTAAAAATTTAAAAGTTGCAATGACATTCATAAAATTAAAAATATTAAGAAAAATTTAAAATAATAACAATAACATAAATCAATGGCGGAAATTAGAAGCTTGAACGATGTTTGAACATGTCTTCCTTATATGACTAGTGGTATAACAATAAGAACAATTTTTTGCCCGACTTTGTTGTTCTCTAATGTCCATCTATGTTCTTATCCTACTGGATTTGAGTCGACCCTTTCAAGTTTTTTTCAGTTCTGAATTTAGACACAAAGTTAGACTCGTGTAAGTTGGTCAATAGTCTTCGTGTCTGAGTTCTCTAAATTGACCTTCGTATACCTTAGAAACTTGTTGTAAGGTATACACAAGAGATATATAGATGTCAAAGTTGTGGTGTATATGTAAGCATGAAGCAAGTACATGCGAGCATAGGATGTGAACTTTTTGAAACTTGCCACAATCACACCACATTTCATCTAATCATACTGTAAATCTTTCTACGGGTCAAATTTCTGTCGGATGTTACGTTTCTTCGACTAAAAATCTAGTGCTTGTTCTGTCAAATGTGATAATTCTATGAGTGTTCGCCTTTGACTATGCATCTTAAATTGCTTTAGTTGCAACCTCCGAGTACATATGTCCAGTATTAATTATTGCATCTACTTCCTTACTTCTGTCAATGAAGAACTTATTGCAACGGGTGTATGTTGCTATGACCATGGAGTAAATTGATAAGTTTCTGGTTTTCTTCAAGACCGAATTGATTTACTCCGCTAGATTTGTTGTCATGTGTCCTCAGTGTTGTCCGTTGTCGCATGCCAGTGTCCATTTTTTCTTTCAGATGTTGTCCAACTATTGTGCAGCTTTAGGATTATTATCTTTTACTATGTTGTAATAGTAAAAGAATCTCAGTTCAGTTATTCCATATGCTGAAAATAAGATTACAAATTAAATTAATATAACTAGTTAAACAATTGTATAAAATATTAATGATAATATAGAGTATGTAAAAAATTAAAATTACCCATATTGATGACATCTTTCTTCAGTGCATCATTTTTGAATTGTCGCATGAAGTTTTGTACAATATGTCTAATGCAATAGACATGGACAAAATTGTTTTCTGTCTAACTACTTCCATTTCTAGAGTATGCACTTCTTATGGCCTCGTGATGATCTGAAATGAGGCACAACCCCTCTTGCGGGGTTAGTACCTCCTTAAGTTTTTTTAAAAAAAGAACCATGCATCCCTAGTTTCACCTTCAACTACAGCAAAGGCAATGAGAATTATGTTGTTGTGGCCGTCTTGTGCAACTGTCACTAATAAAGTCCCTTTATATTTGCCAATAAAAAATGTTCCATCCACTTGAACAATTGGTTTGCAAAACAATGGGTGGTTGCTCATAACTGTTAATGTCCTGGGCATGGTATCGCATGCCATATATTGCGTCAATTTCTAGTAATCCACCAATATACCCTTTCATGTGCAGATGGAGCGAGGGTAGAGTACTAAACTTTTGAAATAAACCTCACAATGATGTTGTAGGGTACAGATCAATGTTTGGTCACATTCAAGCTAATCAGATAACTATTCATAACAAAAATTTGAATTCATATTTATTTTCTTATCTTTTACACATCATCTTAAGTAACAAAGTTAAATTTATTTGTAGTTTTTATGGACGCTATATTAAGACTTGCAAACATTAATACCTATGAAAGCATATAGAGATGTCTAACTGTGAACTTCATGTACTGTCATCTTTTGTTTTACAATTGTTGAATGACATTAATCAGATAAAGTCAAATTACACTTTCATCTCTTCCAAGAAATCCCTTATCCGCCGAATAATTTGAATGACCTTCACAAAATTAACATGAGAGGAAGACAAGATAAAAATTAGGTTACAAGACATGCTTAATGGATCGAGATATGGAATAACAGACGTGAACTGACAATAACGGGTTATCCAATGCAAGGCCCATTGTGTCACACACAAGAATACATGGAATGGTACATTGCCAATTCCATCTATTTCCTATCTATACCACCACTACTACAAGATCCAAGGAGGAGCGATCAACAACTAAGAACTACCAACACATTTGAAATCGGTACAACTTTCACACCATCGTACCACGAGATTGCATCAATTCTTTCGAATATTACGCCAAAAGTAAACATAATTAACACAACACATTCATTTACAACAACATCAGAAGATTTTTTTATAAACTTATTTGGAGTTGATTTTACAACTCTATTTTCAGCACAAACTTATATCCAGTCTCTTTACCAATCGGATTTTGCTAATGAACCTATTAATTCATCAAATGCATTCCAATAACTAGACCTTCATGATAATTCAAATCCTCCATAAGTTCATCTTAAAATCTCAGAGCAATAACCACAACGACGAAACTCACCACGTCATAAACGTCGCTCTCGTTGTGGAACTGACCATCATTATGGAGATAGTTAATTATTAATGTTGTTATAAATTTGTTATCATCTTTATTAATACACTTTGTATTCATCAATGTTACCTTAGTAATATAAAAACAATAATTTTAAAATATTTGTCTCAAGTATAAATAATTAACTTATAATTTAATATTTTATTTACTTTTTAAAAATAAATTTTTTATTCTAAAATAAATTTTATTAAAAATTATAATATTAAATAATGTAATTTAAAAAAAAAATTAATTAAAATAAATTTTTTATTCAAAATATCATTTTATCATATTAATATTTAAAAATATTAACTCAAAATTATGTATTTAAATAAATAAATAAACAGAATAATATTTAATATATTTATTTAATTTTTAAAAATATAATTATTCTTCTTTAAGTATAAATAATTTAAGTATTAACATTACTATATAAAATAATATATTTATTATTTAAGTATTTTAATTAGTTTTTAGAAATTATCTAAAATAATTTACTTATTATTTAATTATTTTATTTAGTTCTTAAAAATATAACTATTATTATTTTTTAAAAATATTATTTATTATCATAAATATGTAAAATAAATATTATTTTTATTCATTTTCAAATAATATAAAAATATAAACATAATTCAAATAATAACTTATTTTATTATATATAACTAACAAAATATTTATAAATATTTATTAAAATAATACATTATAAATATTTATTTTAACAAAATATAAATATATAAATATATTTTAATTAATAATATTTATTTTATTATGTATAAAAAAAATAATTCAGAATTGCACTACAGTAATTTTGTTCATCTCGGTAAATAATGTATTGTTATTCTATTTCTATAATTTTTTATTTTTTTAATAATATTTCTATAAAAATGTCTTATAATGATTGACAATAAAAATAATTACTTGTTTTATAAACAACTTTCAACCGTTAACAATTATTGCTTACAAGTGAAAATTGTGGTAATGAGTATTTACAACCCGTCATAATAAGTAGTGTGTTCTATTCTATTGTACCACAGTGTATCATGCACTTGTTCTTCTTTGGCTTGGATTCATTCTTTAGTTTGTGATTATTCTTTATGACAAATATTATCAAATCTTATAAGATTGTTAGACTTAATTAAGATGAAATTTTATTCATGCTTTTCAGCAAATTAAAAGTGTGAATAGTTTTCTATCATGTTTGTAATCGTCTATCAGTGTAATAGCACAAGGTCTTCTTGTGAGGTGAAGAATCGTTCATGATTTTTGTATAATTACACAAACTTTTATCGTGGATTATAAAATAACATCATTGTCTAATCACAATTACCATTTTATATCATATTATGATATTTTATCGATGTTAAAAGATAACATTATTATCTTAGCATTAGATCACAACATCATATTTACTTTTTATAGAACAGAAAGTACACTATATAAAGGGTACAACCCTATACCCACTTTTTTTTTATAAAAAAACAATTTACTGCATAAACTTATAAATGCCCTTATTTATCCAAGCAATGGAATGTCTTTTATAAATACATTTTTTACTTTGTATTCTTATAGGATTCAGACTATCAACCAATAAAAAAGCTCCAAAATTTTAAGCAATAACAAATTTAAAATACAAAATTCAACTCTTAAATTAAAAAATCAGACCATATTGAATTTTTGTAAAATATAATCTAACTTAATCTGTTTTCAACCCTAACGAAGAGTTAGCAAAATCGGGTTTGGGCAAAACCCATGGACTGGAGCCGTACCCGACAAACCCGTTGTCAAACTTCAGATCTGCAATGCAGTGCAGCGTCTTCCCTCTGATCTGCAATGAATCGTCTAAAGCCAATTGTTACTAACTTCAGAGTCCTCAACTCGCAACTCGCCACTCGCCAGCCGAGTTATTGCAACTCGGTCTCTTGAACTCACTCGGAACCAGGTGACTCACTTCTCTCTCTACATCCCACTTCCCCTTTTGGATCGGTCTCACGATTTTCTCTTTCTCAACATTAATCAGAAACACTACTTTTCTTCGAAACCTAATTCCATTGCTGAGCTTGTTTTGACCAGCGATTGGTCCGAGGGGTTACAGCACGAGTTAGAAAAACGTTACCCATCTATGACCCATGAAACTGTTATTTACGTTTTGAAGCAGTTGGAAAATACCCAGGAAAAGCTTCATGCTTTTTCAATTGGGTCAGTAAGAAAGAATGGTTTAGAGCAAGTTCGTCAGTGTATAGCTTAATTGTTAGGGTCTTGGCGAATGAGGAGACCATAAGACAATTTTGGATTAATCTATGGACTATGAAGAGAGAAGGATTTTATTTTGATGAAGAGACGTATTTCCCAATTTTAGCTGCTTTTAAAAGGAAAAGGATGAAGAAGGACTATGAGGCTCTGACCTGCTTCTACAATCGCAGTATTCAGGAAAATGCAATGCAAAGTGTTGTCAACAAGGTGATTGATATCATTTCAGGGTCTGAATGGGGTGATGAGGTTATAAATAAATTGGCAAATGTTAAAGTTGATTTTTGTGATAATTTTGTAATAAGGGTTTTGAAAAAGCTTGGAAATTGTTCTTTAAAGGCTTACGAGTTCTTTCATTGGGTTAGGAAGCAATCTGGTTATGAGCAAAATACAGTGACATACAATGCAATTGCTAGAGTTCTTGCGCGGAGTGACTCAATGGAGGAGTTTTGGAGTATTATTGAGGAAATGAAGAGTATGGGTTATGAGTTGGATATTGTTACTTACGTAAAAATATCAAGGATGCTTCAAAGGAATAAGATGATAGAGGATGCTGTCAAGCTCTATGAGCTTATGATGGATGGTACATATAAGCCATCCGCCGAGGATTGTAGTCTCCTTTTGAATAGCATCTCTGCAAGTGATAAGCCAAATTTGGATTTAGTTTTCAGAGTTGCTAGGAAATATGAGTCAACAGGGCACGCTCTCTCCAAGCCAATCTATGATGCAATCCACAGGTCTTTGACAGGTGCTGGAAAACTTGATGAAGCTGAAAATATTGTTAATACTATGAGAAATGCTGGCCATGAGCCTGATAACATCACCTACCGTCAAATGGTTTTTGGACTTTGTAAATGAGGAGGTTTGAAGAAGCATGTAAAGTGCTGGAGGATATGGAATCTTGTGGATGCATCCCTGATATTAAGACTTGGACCATCTTGATCCTTGGGCATTGTGTTTCAAACGAAGTAGATGGGGCATTACTTTGTTTAAATAAGATGATCGGAAAGGGCTGCAATGCAGATGCTGCAGTGTTAAGCATTCTGATTGGCAAATTTCTTGATCAAAAGAAAATAGATGATGCATACAAGTTGCTTGTAGAGATGGTTTATAAGCATGGTGCATCTGCTTGGCAAGGTACATACGAGAAACTGATTGAAAACCTATTAGGAATCGGGAAATTTGAGGAGGCACTTGACCTCCTTTGTTTGATGAGGAAACACAAGTTCCCTTCGTTCACTGAACCTTTTGTACTGTACTGTATATTTCGAAGTGTGGGTCCGTAGAAGATGCTGTAAAATTCTTGAAGGCATGGAGTAAAGGAAGTCCCCAGTCTCATTCAGGCTACCGCCGTGTTTTTGAATCTTTACTCCAAAATGGTAGGATCTCAGAGACCAAAGATCTATTGAGCAAGACACATCCCCATATAAGGAATCGCAAAAAAATCCGTGGACTTTCTGATTCAGTAGAGAATTGCACGGTGCACGCCTGAGTTGTTTCTACTAGTAATGCCATCAATAATAGCAATAATTTAGAATTAGGTCTTACCCATTCCAGCTTCTTTGTTAATCTAACAGGGATGGATATATACATGCTTGACAATTCATGAAATGGAAATGATTTTTGAGGCATTATTATTATGGAGAATGTCAGAATTATTGACGAAGTTTAATGATATTTTACTTAATTTCACTTCATAGTTGAGGGTACAAAACCTTTTTTTTTCTTTTCTGGACCAGCCATTTAGTGAACTAAAATGCTTGAGGGCATGAAACCTTTTTTCTTGTGCAGGAATGGTAAAAATAAACCAACCGTGCTACTTTTTGGTCTGTATCTTCCATTTATTTATTTTTAATAATACCCCTGATATTATTTGTTTCGACGAGAGTATCATCATTTTATGTTTCGTTTAGTGATTTTTTTTTTCTTTATTTTTAAGTTCAACTTCAATACATGATTTGGTGTCAGTGATTTAACGCTGGAATTAAAAGAGATTCGATTATATAGGTGGTCTTAAATTTCGTTTGGAGAGCACAATCTGATGGGCTTTGAACTTCAACAGTCTTGGAGGAACCTAGTCGGCTATGCTAAAGAAATTATACTACGGATTGTAGTTGAGTGATGCATATGAAAACTTTTGTCCGTTTGTATTTTTTCTCTTTTAACTATATATTACGAAAGTAGCTGTGAGATTAATTCTAGGGTCGAAAATAATGATGTGATGTAATCGGAATATTTTAAAATTTGAATTCCAAACATTATAACTAAAATTCGTTTCTATCAACTTTTATTATTAACAATCATTGTTATGGCATTCATTTTTAACTAATTCATGTTTTAATTTGCCAAGAAAATGTTTTGTGTGCAAAAATTAAACATTTACAAGAAATATTTTCTAGCTCAAAATAATTGGTAAAGAAAGTTATTTTTTTAATAGCTAAGTCAATCACTTAACATTTAATGTCTTTACAAATGGGAGGGGAAGTAAAATTATTAATTTATGAGGGTTAATAAATAATTTCATTATTTCAGTTTTATATATTTTGCTGCTGATAAATAATGAATTTATTTTTAATCTTGTATTTTTTTTAGTATAAAAAATATTAGTAACAATTTTTTAATACAATTTTTATTATTAAGTAAAATTTATGTGAGATTATTAAGTGAAAAGTGGAGCTCACTTTCAAAAGTGACTCAAATCATTTAGTGATTTTCATATAAATATCATGGGAAAGAACTAAGAAGCAACCACAAAAGAATTAAGGTTATGGGCAGGCTTTTCTTAAATAAGTAATACTTTTTAAATGAATTCACCAGAATTATAAAAGTCGGGTATGGGAATGGGAAACCCATGGATCGGATCCATTTACCGGAAAACCACTGGAGAGTCATCAATGGATCCATTAGGTGAGTCATCAAACTCTCCCTAACACTAACAGTACCCATTTCGGCGCAGCGATGAACCGAGTTAAGGCGATTGCCACTTCCCTCAGATTGCTCGACTCGTCACTAGCTACCCGAGTTCTCATGACTCGGAACCAGGTGACGCACTTCTCTCCTCATACTTCACTACCGCTTTTGGATCGCTCTCATGATTTCCGCTTTTCCAACACTCAACAAAAACTCTACTTTTCTTCGAAACCGAATTCCATTGTTGAGCTTGTTTTGACCAACGATTGGTCCCAAGGGTTAGAGCGCGAGTTAGAAGATGGTTGGCCATCTATGACCCATGAAACTGTTCTTTATGTTTTGAAGCGTTTGGATAAAAATCCAGAAAAAGCTTCGTGCTTTTTCAATTGGGTCGTTGAGAAAGAATGGTTTAGGGCAAGTTCTTCAGCGTTTAGCTTAATTGTTAGGGTTTTGGCTACCAAGGAGACAATGAAACAATTTTGGATTACTCTTAGGATGATGAATGAGAAGGGGTTTTATCTTGATGAAGAGACGTATTTGACAATTTCTATGGGTTTTAAAAAGGCAAAGATGACCAATGATTCTGTTGCTTTGACCCATTTCTATAATCGAATGATTCAGGAAAATGCAAAGCAAAGTGTTGTCACCAAGGTGGTTGACATCATTGCGGAAAATGAATGGGGTCATGAGGTTATGAATGAACTTACAAAGCTTCAAATTCAATTGTCGGATAATTTTCTTATAAGGGTTTTGAAAGAGCTTCGATATCACCCTTCAGCGGCTTACAATTTCTTTCATTGGGTTGGGAAGCAATCTAGTTTTGAGCATAATACAGTGACTTACAATGCAATTGCTAGAGTTCTTGCAAGAACAGATTCAATTGAGAAGTTTTGGAGTATTATTGAGGAAATGAAGAGTGTGGGCCATGAATTGGATATTGATACTTACATAAAGGTATCAAGGCAGCTTCGAAAGCATAAGATGATGGAGGATGCTGTCAAGCTTTATGAGCTTATGATGGATGGTTCATATAAGCCATCAAGTCAGGATTGCGGTGTCCTTTTAAGGAGCATTTCTGCAAGTGATGAGCCAAATTTAAAGTTAGTTTACAGGGTGGCCAAGAAATATGAGTCAACAGGGCACACCCTCTCCAAGGCAATCTATGATGGAATCCACAGGTCTTTGACAAGTGCTGGGAAATTTGATGAAGCTGAAAATATTGTTAAGACCATGAGAAATGCTGGCCATGAGCCTGATAACATCACCTACAGTCAACTGGTTTTTGGACTTTGTAAAATGAGGAGGTTTGAAGAAGCATGTAAAGTGCTGGAGGAGATGGAATCTTGTGGATGCATCCCTGATATTAAGACTTGGACCATCTTGATCCAAGGGCATTGTGATGCCAATGAAGTAGATAAAGCATTATTTTGTTTTGCTAAGATGATTGAAAAGGGCTGCGATGCAGATGCTGATTTGTTGGATGTTCTGGTTGATGGTTTTCTCAAGCAAAATAAAATAGGAGGTGCGCACAAGTTGGTTAAAGAGATATGTGGGAAGTGTCGTATATCTCCATGGCAAGCTACATATAAGAAATTGATTGAAAAGCTATTAGGAGTCATGAAGTTTGAGGATGCCCTTGAACTTCTTCGTATGATGAAGAGAAGCAGCTACCCTCCATACCATCAACCCTTTGTGCCTTATATTTCTAAGTTTGGGTCTGTGGAGGATACTGCACAATTTCTGAGGGCATTGACCATAGGAACTTTCCCATCCACTTCAGTTTATGTTCAGGTTTTTGAATCCTTTTTCCGAGAAGGTAGACTCTCTGAGGCCAAAGATCTATTGTACGAGTGTCCTCACCATATTCGTAAGCATAGTAAAATCTGTGAACTTTTTGGTTCATCTGAGAGTCACATTGCTGATGCTTGATCCCAAAATCTTATCTTTCTTCAAAATCCAAATGATTAGTATTATCAAGTTTGATCAAGCTATAAGGTGGATTTGGTCATTGCCTGTTGGAAAATTACAGGGACATAAGATTTGATGTTGACATCAAGCTGAGCTTCATTCTGAAATTTTAAGAAATTTTCATTTATGACCAGTAATGCTGTCATTAATAGCTCTTTTTTTAAGCAAGTACTGCTTCCTGCTTTTATGTTTTACTGAGGGATATGGATGTACATGCTTGACAATTCATTGGTATGGAAAATATTTTTGACGGGAACGTTATTTTGGGTTCCAATGTTAGTTTATTGTTTATTATGTGGGCTTTGGTAATCCTGGTTAGTAATTTCAGTATTGAATTTCAATTTTGTTTTGACAAATGTCTGACTATTCACTTTGGAATCAGAATGTTATTATTAAACCATTTTCAATGAACCATAGATCTTTTTCATGACTTCTCATTGTAACTTCTCCTGCCATCTACTCAAGCTAGAAAGAGGCAATTTTATACTACTGCAGCGATCATTTGTTGTACTAAAATGCAGCAAACACAAGCATTGAACTTTCGATTGACACTTAAAATTGAAAAAAAATTTCAGTCAAGAAGCTTAGATGCTCTCTTTTTGTTTCCATCTTTGTACACAAGAACATAAAATGGTTACATAAAAAAAGACTTGGCACCTGAAATTGGAGCTTTCTTTGAACGCTTTGCGCTTCCGCTCATTTCCAGCAAACAGATCAAATTCATTAATCAAAGATTGAAGTTCAAGCAAATATTTATGAAGTTCAAGTCTACAAGCAGTACACGTCTCTACGATAGTACAGTACTTGCTCGAACAGTTGCATGGGTGTTGTAGCTTCATGAAAATCAAGTACGTTCACATCTCATATTCATTAATATAATTTGGAACAATGATATTCTTAAATCTTAACCAATTCAGTATGAAGACATGCACGGATGGCAAGAAAGTTAAAATTATGAGTTTGTTAACTTCAGCACTTAAAAATTAAGCATTTAAATGCAGTAAATTTTTATTGAGAAAAAAAACATTTATTATACATATATTAGTTATAGAAAGTAAAAACTGCTCATGCTATTCTTTGCTCCGTTTCTTACTTCCTAATATCACTTGTTATCTTATCTGTGCGTGCAAAAGTTATGTAGATACTACAGCTTAAGTTATTTTGTAACAAAGAATGATTGTTAAGAGTGTTCAGCTTGGATATTGTGCAAAGCAATGTTTTGAAGAGTTTATCTCCATATTATCGGTGGCCTGCTCAGTGAAAGTAGCAAGAAGCCTTGGCAAAACTAGTGAAAACTTTATTAGAATGCATGACAGAGAAGTGTGGAGACAAAAATGAAGTGGTCCTCAATTAGAGCATAAATTTTTTCTCGTTCGTTAATATTTTTTTTCTTCTTAAATAATTGAATGACTAAACCAAGGCTTGTGGAGTTTGAACCATAACCATTGAATACAAAGGATTTTAAAGTTTAAAATAAACCACGACGACAAAATTTCTCTAAAAATTCGTAGCTACAAGTTGATTGAGTTTTTTTTGGATGTAAGCTTTTTGAATAGGATTATGAGAGCTTAATTCAATCTCTTAAACTATTCTTAATATATGATCTTTTAGTTTCACACGGAAATCTTTTCGTTATAAGAAAAAGTGTTTTCTTATGGCTTCATTGAATTTGCTTCATTTAATAAAACATTTTAACTTCAAATCTGACGAAGCACAAACCTGATTCAGATTTTTTTTTGTTTTCTTCCCGTCTATAATTGTACTGTTTCAATAAAAGTTAAAACTTAGTTTCAATTTTCTAAGTACTTTTAGTCTTATTTTCCTATTCAAATTAAAGTTATACCTCAATATTTTGTTGGCATTTGAAGTTTGCATATGTTAGGTGAAATTTTAATTTTAATTAAACAATTATATAAAAAATACTTCAGAAATTGTACTTAAAATGTGTTCTTTAATAAAAAAATATTATCAATTAAGTTAAAAAAATACATTTTATCTTGAATTTTGTTTATCATGTCTTAATTGAAAATGTGTTTAAATAAATAATTATGTTAGAAATATGTTAAAAATATATAAAATAAATTTTAAATAAAAACTATAATTAGTAACACTGAAATAAATGTAAATTTAGATGCATTCTAACGTAAAACATTTTTATTTGTACATATTTTACCAAATGGGCTGAAGATATTCCACGTTGGCGATTGCCAAATGGGCAGTTAAACTCATAGTCACAAAAATTAGGACAACAAAGACAAATTCTAAATGCCATTCCCATTATTAACCAGAAAAAAAAAATGTTGTCTGTCTCGGCTTATCCCTTTCCATATGTCAACTGTGAGGCCATGATTTTCCTTGAAAGTCGAAAGTAACACGACCATGGCCTCATGAAGACAACACTTTCTCAGTGCCATGAAGATGAATAGGGTAGAACTCCATCAACATCACCAAGACTTCGAAGTTTTGAAAGCCGTTGCACAGGCCTGGTACAGCCACTCAGGCTCTTCCAAGCCCATGTCTGAATTTGACGTACATCGAAGAAATTTCAAAGGCAAACCTTCAAGGTTTATGCTTGAAGCACTGAGAAAGCCTCCATCATCTTCTTGGGACACTCATTGGGATTTTAAGCAGTCACTCTGGGACTCCTATGAGCTTGTCACTGTGTCCAGAAGATTAGAGACTGGCTTGTTGGCTTTAGATAACCCTTTTGATGACTTTTATGGTTCCACTTCTATCCAACTAAGGCGTAAGCCTGAGAGTAAGAATAGCCTCAGGAATCTGTTCAATTTTATGTCTTCTAGGCGATTTAATGCCCCCAAAATTCCACACGAAAATAATACATGACTTTCATTTTCTTTTATTAAAACACCCACCTTCACCACTTTCATTTACTCTTAATTTTTTCAACATGCATCCTGAATTTACTTAATGACAGATTTTTGTTTTTGTCTAATAAGCATTCGGTTTGATTTTGTTCCATGTGAAGGATGTATAAGGATATTGACTATTGACACTCACAAGGCACAAGAAGTAGAAATAAAGAATAATAAAACATGGCATGTTTTTATTAAATGATTTTTCTAATCTCTACAACATTGCATATAACAAAAAAAAAAAAAAAGATTCATAAATAATAAAATTTTGCTTAAAATTATATAATTTAATAATATTAAATTATAATTTACAATGAAAATTTATTATTTATTAACTTTTTGTTGTGTGTAATGTTGTCCAAGTTCTACAAAATAGTTGCAGATATATTGATGTATATGCTTCATTAATAGTTCATACATGGGAAATTTATAGGTATTAATGTACTACATATATAAAAAGCACTCTCCGGTTAAGCAACAAACATAACACGGCTGGTTATGCAGACATTTATTTAACACAAGCATAATGCTGACTTTGAGGTATTAGGTTACTCTTTGTAACATCATGGCCTATAGGTCTTCCACTTTTGCAATTCAAAGCGACCCCTGTTCTTCCTGGGGTTGTAGTATTGATCCCTTTCAGCATCCACTGTTTTTTTGTAGAAGATTTCACCAACCCCACTATTGGTGGTTTGCTCATACTCTTCCTCTTCAATCCTGTCATTATTCTGTGGGTTGTGTTGGTTGTTTAAGGCTTGGTGAAAATTGGGGTACCGAGGGACATCAGGGAGAAAACTCTGTGCCCTTTGAACTTTTGATATGTGGGCATGGTAGTCCCGAGAAGGCAGCATTGCTCTATGTTGGTTTTGCTCACAAGAACAGGTATAAGCACAATCACACGACTAACCTATTGGCACATGCTACAATTTATAGGCAAAATGGCAAGTGTAGCGGGCTTTATTTTATTCTTAAAGTGATTATCTGGAATCTAGTTCCTTGGATATTTGTCGAATTCAACCTGTAATTTAGATTCCATTCCTCAAAGGAATCTAATTCCATGGCAATGCAAGGGGGAGAAGGTAGACTAGAAAATTGGAGTTAACGATGTACCTAAAAATGGGGTAAATAATCTCTAATACTGTAATGAAAAAGAGAATAGATATAGTTCTGATATACGGCCAGAATTGACATGTGAATAATAGAAAGTGGCTGCACAGTAGAGAGACAAATATTTTGGACCAAACAAGTAGAAAGTTGTCTCAGTGGAGAAATTCTTTTTCTACAACTTTATAATTTGGATGTCAGCTCACCAATTCCTTTAAAATTCTTCTGGCCTATTCTTGTTAACACTATCATGATTCCATCCAACTAAGAGCATAGAAATCTAGCTACAAGATTGTATATAGTAATAGGGACGAATGTTTAGTTAGACAGCGGACACAACACAACTCACCCAAGAACGGTACATCATTTATCATAAGGATTTTATTTAATCTTTTCATATTGTGATACAGTTCTGAGATATCAGCATGTATGCTTCTTCCATTTCGAGTATTCTCTATGACGTATAGAAGTCTCCATGTCATATAACACAATTTCACGTAATGTTTGTCGTTAATACTGATTGTATCAAGGGCACAAATATTAAGATGGCTTCGAACACACGCTATTAAGATTTGCTTAACTATTAGCATCAAACAACGATATAGAACTCTCGTGTTCAACTTTGGAATTACTCAATATTTTTCCTCTTGAATTTTCTAACACAACATTTGGTTACGATTTCCGAGAGAACAACGGAAAACAACAATAATAATTTTTTTTTTAAACTTAAATGAATTAAAGTGTTTTATTGTGAATTATATTAGATTAAAAATAATAATTTTAAAGACTTAAAAAATTATTAAAAAAACTAAATATTTAGTCCAATCTTAAGATAGCAGCAAGCTAAAAGCCATGGTTAAATAAACCAACACGGTAACAAAAAATATGGATAAGAAATGGAAGGAGACTCTGTCCTGGTATTCTGCTTTTATATTTGCATTTATTCCACACTACTACTGTTAACCATAAAGACTAAAATTCCCACATCTTCAAAGACGACAAAATGAATTGTGAGAAGACGGTGACACTGGTGTGAAGCTATTGTGATGGAAATAAATAAATATCCAACTTGATAGTTTTAGGACCAGTTTGATTTCTAGAAAAATTTTCTGTTTTCATTTTTCACATTTAAATACAAATTTATCACCTTATATTCATTTTTTTTTATTTTTTGAAACTTATACAAGAAACATTAAAAATATAAAAATATTATGTTGTGTTTTTTGTGGAAATCTTTAAAAACAGAAGATAGAATGAAAACAATATTTTCTGAAGCCGAACAATCAGGGAACGAAATTACACCAATCATCTGTTAAAAAGTACACATAATGTATAAATTGTTGTGAACAGCAGAAAGTGTACAAGGCTTGCTAAAAATTAATAAATAAGTAACCATCTACCGTCTCTATCCTTTTCAGGGGTCACCACCAACTACTACCCCACAACAGGAGAGAATGTGAAAATATAAACACATTCAACGCAAGAAACAGTAGAAGAAAAAAACACTATTTCAAATCAAAATGACGAGGATTTGAACTATAAATAACCAAAACGATTTAGCAATATAATGATATATATATATATATATATATATATATATATAATAAATAACCAAAACGATTTAGCATAGTCATCAGTTCATACATACTTAAATCCAACATAAGATCGATCAAATAGTTCAATTGCGATGACAATATCACCACAATACAAGATCGAGTTAAGAAATTAGATAATTATGCAGAATGCCTGGCGATTGTCATCCTAGGAGCACAAGTTTTGCCACCTTTACATTTACTATTAGCTGACATTTCAACTAAACCTACTCTCCGTTGATTAAATCCATAACAACACGCTTGATGCTTCCATTGTTTTTCTTCAGCAGCCTCTTATTCATCTCATTGTCACGGAAACCCTGCATACATACCTCCTCATCACTAACCAAAACAGCATCCAGTTGAACAAAAACATATTGTTTGATCGGAGGAGGGGAATGAAAAGGGAGGGTGGGGGATTTTTATTATTTGATTCGATAAGTTTGGGAGGGAGGGAATATTAGAAGGGAAAATTAGGATGTCAAACCACAGTTGAAGCAAAGGCATGATCGTAAAGGATAGAACCAAATCAAATAAAAAAACATTGCGGAAAACAACTTACCATCTCACGTAACTCTTCAAGCATAGGGTCCCACTCAGAAACACCACAGAGATCATCTACTGATTGCTCCAAATCATACTCATTCATCCTCAAGATCTCTTTGTTCAAATCAACCTGCTTAAAACCCATCTCCTCAAGCTCTTTAAGTAGAGTTTCCTCCACAGAATTAATGCCACCAACCCCCATAGACGACGAAGGCACATCCACAGTTGAGGATTGCTGGTTAGAGGGAACAGTCGGGGCTGTTTCAGACAAATCAATAATAGGATACGAAAAAGATGAAGGTGCCACAGAGGTTGCAGGGGATGACGCAGCAGGGCCAACAAATGTAGCTTCATTTATAGGGAATTCTTTTTCCAGCTCCAGCCTTGGTTCCTTGTCAACCACTTGATTCCCAGGTTCAATGGGAGCATTAGGATTGTGGGTTTGAAGAAAAATATCATCCTCAGCAGGTTGGACATTGATATCTATAACCTGAGGCCCTTTAGAGTCATTTACGTCAAGGGGGATATTCAAGTTCAGACCTTGAGAGCTATCATAAAATGAGTCCTTGAGAGAGGCATCAACCTGTGTGCATGATAGTACAAGAGAGTGAGATATTATTAAACATTAAAAATAACATCTAGTGTCCATATGAATGGAAAAGAAATATGCAGCTCTCTCGTTTTTACCTGTATAAGGACCCAAACACGTTGGCCAAATTTATGTCCAGATGGAGATGCCATCCTCCAGTACGATACGTATCGACCCGGTAACTGAGGTGCAGTAAAGTCAACTGCAATGTCAAGTTCCTTCTCCACAGGCACACCATCCTCGGGAACCTAGGATGTTTAATCAGATAGAGCATTCAAACGACTAGCATACCACAGATTTTTATAGCAAGTAAAACAAACCTATAGAAAAGCTAATAATCCTTGCAGAAAATATTAAAACTACAAAATGAATAGTTAACAAACCTCCAAGTCAACTGAATGAGAGTCACTAAACTTGTGCCCTCCAATCCAGACAAGCTGAGTTCCCTTGGGCCACACTATAGTGCCATTATTGCGCATCCGCCAGATCTTTGTAAATGCAGTAGATGGAGCCATCATTGTACCATCTATAACATTAACATCCAAAATGAACCGACTATCTAGCTTTTGCCTTGCATGCTTTGAAATTGCACCTTTTTTAAAAATATGTGGCGGTAATGTTGGCTGCACCATAAAAGAAAAAGGGGTAAATATTTGCAGGGAGTGACACCCGGTGAAAAGAAAAGAAAATATTGTTGAAAGGAGATTACAAGGTTTAATGGATATTCATATACACATCGAGGGACACGAACAGATGCAGGGCGGTCCATTCTGATATAATCAGTCTCATTACCCATTTCATTGAAGCAAATGTTGCAGAGGTCATAATTTTGCTTTCTGCATGAAGGACCAAAAAAATTATGGAAACATCTCTGAAAGCCATTTGAAAATACCCAAACAATACACAGTACTTACACTTTGGATTTGAAACGGGGTCCAGTTATTGGATAGACTCCACAGCCATCACAGCGGACCCCCTTATGGAACATACCAGTCGTTGCCTCAGTGTGACTATGGCTTCTTTTAAATGAGGGAAGTCGAAGGTTTCCAAGAGTTGGTCTCCCAGAATTAATAGGATATGTCCCAGAAAATGGACACTCAATGAAAGCACCAGGACTCAATGCACGAGTTTGGGTTGAGCTGTTAATAGGACCTGCAGAACTTGAGGACGCCCCACTACTGTCACCCTTTCCAAGAAAACTATCATCAGTAGACATTTTACCCATGTTGCCATCACCAGGGACTGCAGATGAAAGTGGATCTCTACTTGCATGTGTGTTCTGAGATGAAGAGGGATCACATGGAAGGATATTGAGATCAACAGAGGCAACTCTTGCACCTGTTGTTACACCTCTAATTACATTTCCAGCCTCCACTTGTTGATTGGCATTGGAAGCCAAGTCTACAGATGGAGACTGTGGACCTCTTGCTTCAGAAGTGACAGGTTCTTCAGGAACACCATTTTTTGAGCTAGGGCCAGCTGCAACATTAGGCTGCCAATAAGAATTTAGAACAGTTTCTCCCACTAGGGAAATAAAATCAGCAAGATTAACACCAGGCTGAATAGCAGATGTATCTCTTGAATGTGATAATAATTTGGACCAAAACTCCTGTACTGGCTCAGGCACAGAGTGTTCAACTTTAACAGCATTTCTGCTCAGAAAAGGATCTGGAGCAGCAGATCTCAAGAGGGTGGCACGATCACTCTGGACACTGGCATTGGAAGCTGGGTTCACATATGGAGGTTGCAGACTTGCTTCAGAAGTGATGGATTCTTCAGAGATGCCATTTCTTGAGCTAGGATTGGCTGCAACATGAGGCTGGAAATGAGAATTTGAAACAGGTTGTCCCATTTTGGAAATAAAATTAGCATAAATACTAGATGTTTGACCTGAAAGTTCTGCATTTGAACGTGATACATTGGAAACAAACTGGCGTAGTGGTTTTCTCACACCATCTGATTCGTCAACTTTAACAGCATTTCCACTCAGAAATGGATCTGGAACAGGCGATCTTAAGGGTGTGGAACTATCAGTGTGGACACTGGCATTGGAAGCTGAGTCCACATGAGGAGACTGAGAACCTCTTGCTTCAGAAGAGATAGATTCTTCAGGAACACCAGTTTTTGGCCTTGTACCAGCTGCATTGTGAGGCTGGAAAAGAGAATTTAGAACAGCTTGTCCCATTTTTGGAATTGCCTCGGCAAGATTTGCAACCACAGGACTTGATGATGCAGCTTTTGGAAGTGATAATTTAGAAAGAGCCTCACGTACTGGCTCTGGCAGAGGATATGGTACTAAAGAATCTCTAACCAGAAATGAGTTTAAGACAGGAGGAGATTTTGAGGGCGTGGCACTTCCACTAGACCCAGTATTTGATTGACCACCAATGTCATTGCTCACATGCACATCAATTTTCAAGTACTTCAATTGCTGCCTCATAACATCACGTAAATCTTCATTATCCACCAGAGTCACTAAGTCGCCATCTTCATCAACATATCTCAGAATTAGATTTGCATCAGCAGTGAAATTGAAGATAGAACATATCTTGGCCCTCAACCCAATCATGTCAAGATCCAGTTGATTATTCTCGTCCACATGAGCACTGAAGCGCCTGAGGGTATCTCCATATTTCACCTGTACAAAAGGAAATGATGCAGAAAGCAAAAATTTATGATTATAGAACTGCTTATTTAGGCTAACAAAAATGAAGCACAGCTATGAGATGTTAAAAAGCACAAGAAATTATTTATCAGCAAAGTCTTGTATTATAATTTTTAATGAAATTCCATGAAAAGGCTATAGGTCTCCACAAATGACGTGTTATATTAAAAGATGGCAAATGCTGAAGGAATCAAAAGAGAACAAATTTACATGAAAGTGTAACAACACACACTCCTAGTGATTTCTAATGTATCACCAATCTAATTTCCAATAAAAACTTACTATTTATGAATTTCTAAACTAGTTTCCCAAGGCACTTGTTTAGCAAACCCCTTAAAAGATTACCAGCAACATTAAAATGTATGATCATATATTTGACCAACAAGATCCATGATACAATAATCTAACATATACCGTTAATACCATTAAAACCCCAGTAAACTGAATTAATTGCTATCTATAAAATCTTCTAGTAGGAACAAAAATTTTACTACAAGTAGAAATTCATAAAAATGAATAATTTTAATGAGTTACGGTACTCATAGCAAGCAAAAATAAATCAACCATGACACGTCAAACAACTGCTAGGAATGAATTGATTTTCATGAAACCCACGCTAAAATTGTTTTCTGGGCAAAAACAAACCATTCATACCGAAACCGAACAAGCATCGGTGGGGATTTCAGTCCCGTTCGTCTTTTCAAAACTCACTACAAATGATAGGTATATAACTATAATTCTGTGCTCCGATCATCAAAACAACAAAATTATGGGCGATATTTGAAAGGGATACACGGCGATCATCGCTTAACGCGATTCTAACAAAATCGACAGCGAAATGAAATCAAAATAATGACTATAAGACTTCAAACTCTAAATCAGCTTGCAAAATCTCACGAACCAAAACCAAATTATTTTGATTTCCTCCGAGCAATATCAATAGAACTAAACGCAGTATACATAACACAACAGAAGTAATAATAATAAAAAAATTACTTTGAAGCCGAAAATTCAAACAAAATTAAGTGTAAAGAAGGGAACTTATTAGCAGAACCTTGATCACTAAAGCAGAATCCATAGCTCTCGGACAAAGGGAAGCACTGAACCCTAACCCTAATCGGAAACGAGGCTTTTTCTTTGAAATTGAAATTTGAGTCTCGCTAGCGTTAGCGTACCCGTTAGCCGCTTTAAGCGCTACGTGAGGCGGAGAGTAACATATATACTCTGGTGACTTTGCCAACAAGAAATTTTCTTTCTGACTTTTTTTTTTCCAAATTCATATACTTCTTCGCAAAGTTAACCGTGGGACCCGTCCACGGATCTTATCCCTTCATGAAACCGTAATAGTAATGATGATAATAATCATAACTATAATATATGATGAAAATATTAATATCCCCTCTTGTCATTTATAAATATGCTTTGCTATTTAATATAGATATTTTATTTTTAAAAATATATAATTTGATAATTAAAGAATAAATTTTATAATTTTAAATAACTATATAAATATAATAAAATTATTTTAAATTAATAATTTTAAAAAAATTATTTAACTATATAACTACCAAAAAAAATTACATTAAAATGATAAAAATTCAATTTAATTAAATTATTTTAAAATAATATTATTATGATATAGTGTCAATTTTTTAATTAAATATTAATAATCAAGATTAACTGTGTTTTTATTTTTTTAGAAAAGTTGCACTTAATTCTTATAAAATATTTTATTGAAATTTAGTCTCTAATATTTTGAAACTATTAAAAATAGATTCTTATTGTAAAAATTTTACTAAGTAATGAGGTTTTTTTTTTTTTTTTTTTTTTTATGAGAGAGGCTAAAAAATTACCTACTTCTCATGTACAAAGAGAAGGACAAATCAAAGAAAATAACAAGCTATAAAATGTTCAGAACATCATCATATATCTTAATTTTAACATCTAGTTTATGCCAGTAATTTGTTAAAGCATCTGCAACACTATTAGCCTCATGAAAAACATGATGAAGGTCCAAACAGAGAATGTCCTAAGCTATAGCTTGAACAAGCGCATGGGAAAGATGATGATAGTTACAACCATTATTTACAAGCCTCACTGCAGTAGAAGAATCGGTTTTTTACACCCAAATAAAAGGCCTCCTATGGTCACGAAGAACTCCCCTGCACGCTGCACCATCATGCCAAATTGAATTATCACAATTGAGCTTGACCCAATTCTCAAGAGAAGAAGACCATCGAACATTTGGGCAACTATTAATGATGATTGAGCTACTACTACTAAGATATTTGAATATTTCGCCATATGAAAAACCATTGAGATCTCCTTCACATTATTCCAAATTTGGTTTAACGTGGCAACCAAGAAAAAAGCAGCGCCTTCAAAAATAAATTTATTCCTCCCAAACGAAAGACAATGACAAGCCATGCCAAATATCGAGCTCCACTCTTGCACATTATAGCGATCCATAGGCAATGAAATATTATGATCCACCCACCTCTGCCTGTCCAAGCTCCAGAACAAATGATGAAATTGACTAGGAACTAATCTCTTTTCAAACTGCAAATGTGTGAATGGAATCCTTTAAAACAATGCCATACGGACTCGTTGGCTTCAAGGCATAGAGGGCAAGGTGGTTCATTTGTCAAGTTCCTTCGCATAAGCACACCTCATTGGTAAGCGAAGCCTCATGGTTTATGTTAGGTTCGACGTTTAACAGTAACTCAGAAAAAACATAAAAGAACAAGAACTGAAAGAAACTTGCTTGTATTTACTTGAGAGAGAATCTCACACATTATATTTCTTTCTCTACATATTTATAAGCTCTATAAAATAGAGCAATCGAACGTACAACCACACACAAAAACTAACAGAAAAAAATGTTTTAAGTAGTTACAACTAAAAGAATGATTTAAGAGTCTAAACATCACAATTCTCTACCTAGACTCTAAATCATGGAAGTTCTTCTTCCTCAAATGAAAAAATTGATGAGTTCCAAACAATGTTTGAACTTTGACTTTAGCAAGGACTTTGTAAACACATCTGCAGGATTATCCTCAGAAGCTATCTTTTCGATCCTGACCTCCCCAGACTCAACAACATCTCTGACGAAGTGCAGCCTCACTCTTTCCAAAATGGTTATGTTCATCCTCTCAGTCAGACTATTCTGTTGTGGTGTACCTGAAATTGTCTTATGCCTCCTTATTCCTTCTGTTCTACAAAACTTATTGAACTGCTCAGAGATGAACTCTAGCCCATTATCCGTCCTCAGCACCTTCAATTTGGTTTCCAATTGATTACCTACCATGGTGTGTCACTCCTTAAATCTCTGAAAAGTTTCATCCTTGCTTTTCAGATCATAAATCCACACTCACTGTGAGTAATCATCTATGATAAAGAGGAAGTATGACACTCATCCATAAGTCTTTGTTCTCATTAGACCCCACAAGTCCGCGTGAGCATACTCAAATGGTCTACTGGATACATGCTGGTCTCAAACTTCAATCTATAAGACTTACCCATTATGCAATGACCACAAAACTCCAGCTTTTCCATTCTATCATCTCCAAGCGGCTTCTGCTTGTTCAACTCCACCAAACCTCTCTCGCTTATATGTCTCAGCCTCAAATGCCACAGTTTCGTCTTGTCTTGCATCGTCTGGCTAGCAACAGACGCATGCGCGTATACATGTTTACCAGTCTCAAACTTCAATCTATAAGACTTACCTAGTATGCAATGATCACAGAACTCCAGCTCTTCCATTCTATCATCTTCAAGCAGCTTCTGCTTGTTCAACTCCACAAAACCTCTCTCGCTTATATGTCCCAACCTCAAATGCCACAGTTTCGTCTTGTCTTGCATCGTCTGGCTAGCAACAGACGCATGTGCGATTACTGTAGATCCCTCCAATAGGTACAGGTCATTCTTCTTTACCCCCTTGGCAACTGTAGACGCTCCCTTCTAAATCTTCATCACTCCTTTTGAGATCAAACATACCCATAGACAAAAGATTTCTTTTGAGCTCTGGAACATACCTCACTTCTTGTAACAACATCTCCCGGTTATCAAACATTTTTAGTCTGATCGTCCCCATGCCTTGCACCTTACAGGCTTTATTGTTCTCAAGGAGAACTATTCCTCCTCCCTTCAGCTCCAAGGTCTCGAAGAACTCCTTTACTGGGCACATATGATAGGTGCACCCTGAGTCCATGACCCAACTCCTTTGTGTATCAGACTCAGATGCCACCAACACTTCAGCAGACTCATAATTGTCAGACGCTATAGCAACATCAGCAGTTTCCTTCTTACCACAGGATCGCTCACCCCATTCTTTCTTCGGCTCTGGATAATCGGCAATTAAGTGACCCTTCTTGTGACAATTAAAGCATTTGTTGTTTGCTTTATCGTCAGATGGTTACTTCAACTTCTTCCCCTTATTTTTCTTTTTCTTGTTATCGCTCGACTTTGATACATTAAGACTCAACCCACTATCTTCTCCCTTCGACTCTTGAAATTTTCACAACTCCTTAGTCCGTATTGAGGTTTGAACCTCCTCTAGGGTAATGGTTTGTTCCTTCCTAAACAGCAAAGTGTCCTTGAAATGCTCAAACGTCTTGGGCAAGGCGTTGAGAAGAAGTAAAGCCTTGTCTTCATCCTCAAGCTTTACCTCGATATTCTCCAGATCATGCATAATCTTGTTGAAATTTGCTAGCTGCTCCACCATCGTTCTTGATTCACTCATCTTGAACAAGTACAGTTGTTGTTTCAGACATAGTCTATGTGCCGGAGATTTTGTCATATATAATGACTCTAATTTCAACCACGTCGATGCAGCGGTCTTCTCCTTAGCGACTTCCCTAAGTGCCTTATCTCCAAGACACAGGATTATGGCGCTCCTGGCTTTGTTGATCATGTCCATCTTCTCATTCTGAAACAGAGATGCAGGCATGTTCGACTCACCCTTCAAAGCTTCAGCACACCCTTGCTATATCAAGATAACCTCCATCTTGATCTTCCATAAACCGAAGTCATTATTGTCGAAAAACTTCTCAATGTCAAACCTGGTGATCATCAGTAAAACTTACAAGTCTTTCTTTCGTTCTTTCCTATAGATGGCACCAATTGTTAGGTTCGACATTTAATAATAACTCAGAAAAAACGTAAAAAAATAAGAACTGAAAGAAACTTGCTTATTTTTACTTGAGAGAGAATCTCACACATTCTATTTCTTTCTCTACATATTTATAAGCTCTATAGAGTAGAGCAACCGAACGTACAACCAAAAAAAAAAAAAACTAATAGAAAAAATTGTTTTAAGTAGTTACAACTAAAAGAATGATTTAAGAGTCTAAATATCACAATTTATTTTTCATAAGAATTAGTGAGTTCTTTTGTGGCCCTCTCGATCTCCATATCAACTTGAAAATACACACATTTTACACACCACCTAAGTTTGTTTAGATAAAGAGAATATAAAATTATATATTGATGTGGTTTTCTTTAAAATTGCATTAGTTGAATAAGTTTGTATTTTATTTTTTTATTTATATTTTATTTTAAAGTATTGTAAGATATAAGATATTTGCTTAAGGAGTATGTGCACACTGAGGTTTGTGAAATAATTAAGAGAAAAGTTTGTGTTAAAATTTTTTATATAGTTTTTTTTTTTGTGGTCGTCTTTAGAAAATTATTGTTATTTTTTATTTTTATTTTTATTCTTAAAATTTGTATATTAATTCTTGTATTTTTTTTAATTCTCTATTTGAAAAGAGAATCTATTGATTTTCATAAGAGTCATGTTAAGAGTTCATAGTTTGGTGAAATATTGCATTATTAATGTCCTATACGTTTATAATATATCTAATTTTTCACATGAAAAAAAAATGATATTATGAAAGTGTTATTTCTTTAAAGATTTTAACAAATAAAGACTAGATATTTAAGTGTGTCCATTATAACCTACTTCTTTTTCTTAGGAACTTACTTAGTGCACCATTTACAATTGTTTCTACTTCACTAGAAAGTTAAGTTTTTCAAGTATTGTGAAATTTGATATAGAAAAATGTGAAGAAAAAATTAGTTTTAAGTTATAGCAAATACAAGTCAAAGATGTGTTGACGTGTTTTTAATTACATGAGATATTAAATTGTTTAAGTGGAATAACATTAAAAATAATTTCTAAAACAAATGCTAGTAATATCTCTCTTTATGACATAGATGATAAGTATATTTTCATGACATTACTATATTGTCATAAATAATGATAAGTTATATATTGCTAGTGGATCAATAATAGTATATGGATATTGATTGATATTTCATGGTTATCTACTCTGACGAAGCACAACTCTATGACAGGAACGTCACTTCTTAAAGATCCTATGAAAGCAACGATTGGAATGAGAGAAGAAGATGAGGTACATGTGAATAGTGGAGGAGTTTAAAATGAAAGACTTAGAATTTTTGTATGTAGAGAGGTTCTAAAAAGAGAGAAATAATTCGTATAAAGTAAAATATGCAAAAGATAAGACAGTGCATAAATATAGGTTATGTTTAGTTTAGTAAAGGATTAGTCTTTGTTAAACACAGGTTCTTCTTAATTTAGCACACATTTATAGAGAATACTCTAAGTAGAGACATGTTGAGATTGAGCACACTTTTAACAAAGAGTGTTACATAAAGAGCATATGACATGTTGAAATTTGTATTAAATGTACTCCGAATATTTTACCAATTTCACCATTTTTTTCCTCATTTTTGCAACTTTTTTTTCCATGATTTGTACCATTTTAACTATTATCACTGTTTTTTACAATAAAATCAAAATAAATTCAATCAATTTATATGGTGTAATAACAATTCTAATGATAAAATAAAATAAAATCTTATAAATAAAGTTACAAAATCACCACTTACAATTACACTCTATTCTTAGAGTATAATAAAACATTTAGATATTTTCTTTGAAAAATGAAAATATTTTGGAGTGGTAAGAAAAAGTTTTATGTATTTTAAAAACTTCTACGTAACAGGACGAGTATAAAAAAATATAGATATACAAATGTATAAAAAAGAGAGATTAAAATTGTTACTCATACAAAAATAAAAACGAGTATGAGTACTAATAATTTTTTAAAATATAAATATAAACATATATTATGATACCATATTCATATCCTATTTATTCCATTTTAATGGAACTCGGTAAAAATACTTAATTGAAGGTTAGAGAGTAAAGTAAGTTATAACCATTAAATAGAAAATAAACAAATAAATATTCAAATGACTACAACCGTCTAAATTATTAATTTTAATAAGGGATTGGGTCTGGTCGAGTTTATGTGAGTTCGGCTTCAAAAGTTTGAAACCAAAGCAATTTGATCCCCTTCCAATATGAGTCGCTTCCGTTTGATAAGTGAATAAGATTAAGGCAGGTATGAAAGATCAAGATAGAGCATTGTCACCGAAGATGAAACTTCTCCAGAACTCAGATAAGCTATTGCCGGCGAACCACTACTTGCAATGGCCACCATGACATGCAACAACCATAGCAAGTCGTTAAACCTCTACACTTGTCGTCCACGGAGCTAGATGAACAATAAAGGTGAAAAGGAAAAGTGAAATGAGAAACTCAAAGTTACTCTTTCAGATACCGACGAGTTCTTTTCGTTCACCCATGTCCGTCTGAATCAAACCACCATTAACTAGTTTTTTTACCTCAATCTCACCTCATCTCTGACCGAAATTGGCCACTCTTTTTCTTCGACTTTTTGAATTTCTTGATTAAACTTCAAGTGTCAGTTGCTTGTCCACCCCTAACAATAATAGTCTTAATTATTAACTTTTTTAATGGATATAGACTCTTACAGGGAGTCTACTTATTGCAAAACCTACAAATAGAAAGTATTAATAAGGAAAATGTTTTGCATGTAATATTATTTGTATAAAATTTTAATATTTAAGAGGATCTTTGTATAATTTCAAAAACGAAATTTAGTGAGAATAGTTACAATATGATTTTCAATCTCAGAAATTATGTAAACTCAGTATGAAGAGAACAACAAATCGGCTCTAAATAATACAACTGTATTAATCATTCATGCTTACCTTCCAAACGATATAACGATTCCCCACAATTTCAGTACCCGAAAGGCTTCTATATAAAGCATAAACCCGGGCTCCGGTCCCCGAACAAGGTGCAGAACCAACAATAAGAAGAAAAAAACGCAAAACATTTCGGATTTTCCCTTTCAAAATCCAAACATGGTGTCAATTACATACTATTTTCTTTAAATCGCGAGCAAAAGATGTTTCTTACAACTAAAAGTCAGAACTAAACATATCATTTTTCCTTTCCTAAATTACTCCAAATATATTACTCTACAGCAAGGTCTTTTTCCCCAATCATAATCAATTGATGCCGAAACCCATAAAGACTGTGGACTCAATCACCTTGAAGAAACTAATCTGAACTTATCAACAAAGTCACTCACTCCATTCATCGATAAGAGGCCAACAAGCTCACAAAGGCAGCACAAGCCAGAGCGCAGAGACCCTTCTGTGATCTGAATATAACGCTGACCAAACACCATGCCACATCAAGCGTAATTCGCCTTCCTCGTTGAACCAAAACCCTGCGACGGTTCCCTGCAATGTTCAACAGCACCAACACCGTGATCCACGTCAACACCGTCGCTCGGAAAGCCGCTATCATCGCTACTGCAACAATGACAGCGACACCCACTCCAACAAGGGCTACCGCCACTGCCATACCCAATCCTTCAACTTTCGGATCGCATAACACATAGACAGAACAACACGCCGTTAAGAAAACCAACAACGTTACATTAATGATGGTAATCTTGGTCATACTTTTGAAGGCTCTCACACGCAGAATCCGAAGAAGAGGGTAATAAATAATAACACCAAATAGCAATTAATAATGGTGTTATTTGTGAGTTTGTCTATGATTGATGAACTATGTTAAATATTATGGTTGGCATGTGCAGCACATGGGGAGGTGGTTAGCTATGGTAGCTGTGGTTTTTTTTAGTAATTTAATGAATATGGCACACGAATGGTGTTATATTGAGGGAATGAGAAAAAGGTTTTGTACACCTAAAGTGGCTTTCAAATTTCAATCCCTATCGAATATTTCTCTGTCAGAGTTTCAGATCCTTCCAGCCCAATATTAGGATTAAACCGCGTTACTGGATTCAAAAACTCCCATAGAAGGACAAAAAAATCTGGAATTGATATATTAAGGGAGAAAACGAGCACTATAATGAACTATAATCTTACAATTATTAGTTCTGAGCCATATCTGGTTAACGTTATTTTATTGCTATCTAGTATATGTAGCATTAAAGAACAGTGAGAGAGAAAAAATCTAGTTATAATAGTGTTGCTTATTACATGGGATATTATTGCATACGTTCTTAAATATAGGAATCATGTAGGTATATTGTCTCAATTAATTGTGATGCTATTACATAATTTTACCATTATGAGAGATATGTTCCATTATTTTACCTGCTCGCATGAGATATTGTTTTATTGTTTTTGTTTCCTTAATGATGTTGTAGATACCAAGTAGCGCACACGAAGAAAAAAGGGTAATGCCATATTGCAATAATAAACATTGTTAATTTGATTATGTGATTTATTGACTACCGATATTTTTTTCTAATTTGTTCAATTTAATACAATAGATCTAGTTTTTTTTCTCTGTTACTTCATAGATTATGTACTAGATTAACACAATTATACAAATTGATATTACTCCTTTCAAATTCAATAAAATATTGGGCACAATACATATATTTAACCAATATCTAATTTATCATATAATGACTCAAATATATTGCGAGCAGTTTGTTTTGATAAATAACGTCACAGTACTCAACCTTATTAGCATATTTATTGTTTGATTATTTAGTGAATAGCTGTTGATTAAATTTAGAGGCATAAATTTAATAAGCATATATAGTAAACAAAATTTATCAGTTATCAAAAAAATAAAATATTTTATTGAAATTTTTTTTATTACAATATTTAATCTAAACACAGTATAAAATATTTTCAACAAATAATATATAACATTTTTTACTATATATGTATTTTACATTTCAAAAAATAAAATTACAAGTTAAAGAATTATTAGAAGATATTACAAGTGTTTCAATCTTTATTAAAGGATTATTTAATTTAAAGTTAAAGAATTTGATTTAGGTAATGAATAAATTTCAACCAAATAAAATGTTATATTTTTTTAATATCACCAAGAATAAAAATGATATAGGAAATAATTATAGAAAGAAATCCTACTTAGAATACGAGAAAAGTGGTATCTAAATTTGAAAAATAAAAATGTTAACATTACAAGACCTTATCAACTCTATCAATTTTGCTTTATATGCTACGATTACCATATATATAGGTAAGAGGAAGTTTTCTAAGTAATTTTAAATCCTTGTACCATTTTTTTTTATTAATATTTTTTAGATAAACCAGTGATAGAAGACAAAAAAAATATTACTGAAATTAACATTGTTAATAGAAAAAGACTAACTGGAAACATTTTAAAAAATTAGAAGATTAAAATAAAGTTAGAGAATAAAATTGAATTTGATCCTTAAGTTGGAAGACAACATACTAATTTTAAATAGATTCAGAGGAAATGAATGGAAGTAGAAAGTAAATGTTTTTTACCTTATTGTAAAGATTGGTAGACCAGAGTGTACGCATATAAACTCTTTTTCTAAAATCGAAGTATCAAGGACAGTAGGAGACTGTGTCACGATCAATTTTTTCGCTGTTTGCATTGAACATTTTGCAATCCTACATTACAGAAGAACCTGAGACTCAAAAGGGTAATAGGAGTAAGCCACACAAGATACATGCAAGAGTAGTTGGGTTCAAACTTCCATTCGTCGCTTATTTACAAGTGTTATTTAAATTTGGAGATTTTTTCTTTCTTAAAATGGTATCTGATTCGGGACACAGGAAAGAGAAGAAAATACTAATTAATGTCTGGTATGAGATTGAATTGACATGATGCACTTATACACCATGCAATAGTCCATACGTATCCAATCTCATATTAATTTCCTCTTTGCCTTCGCCCCTACTTAAAACCCTAAATTTAAAATGGTTCCATCGACTTGAGTTCCTTATAATATTTAGAATTTCTGTATGTTGTCTTTGGCTCGTGATTCTTCATTCCCATTGGATGTGGTGAAATTCAAGTCAATAGAGCAGTAGTTTTTCCTGTTATAATTTGATATACCAAAAGAATCTAGGGGCAGGCCCAGAGCGAGCATACAGCAAGGATGTTCAGTAGTTATTTGTATGTACAATCATTGCTAAAAAAAATTGCAAATGATCCGTGAAAAAATGTTCAAACTAAAAGTTTGGGTTTATTTGGATCAAATTGTATAAAATAACATAGGATTGGAGCAAAATAAATAATATAAAATAGTAAATTCTGTCTCATTTACCTATTGCCTCTAAACAAAACTGCTGTTCTTAATAGCAAAAGGGAAATAACCTTAGAATCCACCCTCCGTTAGGTACTATGCAGTAGCGAGCAGCAACGAAAAAAGGGTGAACAGGGAATAGCTGATTGGCAGCAAATAATATCAATATTATAATCTTCATCTTCATAGCTGCTGATCGAGATAGGCATCTTTGGGACTTCTGGGGGACATCATGGTCGTTCCAATATACTCAGTAACATTTCCAGAAACGTTCTTCAACCAAGAGGTGCTTCTAGTTAACCACCCATTTTCTCCTTGTTCTTGCAATTCATGAGTGCTTTTCCTTTCTTCCTCTGCCAATATATCAATCCACCTCTGGGCCATGAAACTCTTTATGGCTTGGACCCCTTGATTTACAATCTCCACAGGTGGCACCTCAAGAGGATTTTGCTCCAAGTTTAGCTTGGTCAAATTATGAAGGCGACCAAATGTATCAGGAAGCGCATGAATTTGGTTGTTGCTGAGATCCAATTCCCTTAGGCTAATCAGATCACCAAACGTCTCCGGAAGTTCTTGAAGGTCACTGAAGTTACTGCTCAAGTTGATAACTTCAAGACTAGTCAATTTCCCAATTGCAATAGGAAGCCCATGCAGCTCATTAAAGTGAGCATCCAGATAGCGCAAAGATTTCATCTCACAAATAGATGAGGGAAGAGATCGAATCTTGTTCAACTGAATCATGAGCTTCTGTAAATTCCCCAATTCAAATCCAATGTTTGTTGGCAAATATGAGAGACCGTTAAAGCTTGCATTTAGCTCCACCAATGACCTGCTCATTTAATACAAAAATGGTTCGATCAATTGTAGTTAAGACATTCCTAGTTTGAATGCACATTACATTGTGAGTAGATATTTTCTAAAATACGTGAACAATTTTAAAGTTTTTAAACATATAAAATGTATGTATCGTTGTGGCGCGTACCTGCACTGACTGATGGAATCGGGAAGGGCAGTGAGCTTGTTTCCAGAGACATTGAGGAATTTCAACTTCTGCAACAAGCCAATTGAATCTGGAAGTGACTCCAATTGATTGGAAGAGATATTAAGGTCTTCAAGATTTTGCAATCCAGATATAGAGTCGGGAATGACCTGTTATGCAGCAAAGAAGCATGTTATGGAACGCAGACAATGGAGAAGTGATGATGAAAAGATTGCGTAAATACCGAGAGTTGATTGGTGGAGACATCGAGCACGACCAATGCAGGAATGCGGCCAAATGCCTCAGGCAGAATCTTCAGGCGTTTCCCTGAAAGATTCACTCGCTCCACCCCATTCCCAGTGGCTGCTTCCAGTATTCCTTCCACTTGTTCGTTCACTTCGTTACCAACATTGTCGTTGTCGTTTTCACCCTCGTCCTCGTAAATCTTCACCAAGCGCTTCTCCGCGTCTTTGAGGAGTTTCTCGTAAGAGTCGTGCATCTCGTCCAGCTGAATCAGCGACTTGAGAAGGCGTTTCTCTTTCTCCGAGGCATCCCTGCACTGCTTCTCTCTGTCTGCTAGGTGGGCCCGCCACTGGGGGATGTCGATCTCGGGGGGCCTGGGGAGGCCCACGATCTCCTCCAGTTGACGGGACAGATGGGCTTCTAGGTCCACCAGCTTGGCCTTCGCATCGTCCACGTCCTCGTGGGTGGGCCGGGTTCCGATCAGCTTGAGAACGGATCGGGCCTGGGCGACATCGGAGATGGCCCGGGTCATGGACGCCAACATTTTAGGGTCCGCCAGATGCGGCATTTGGCCTACGATTGAAGAAGAAGGGTCCGAGGGTTGCGGTTGTTCGATGTCGAATTGAGAATGGGATGCGGTGGCGGTGGCGGTGGGAGTTCTGGGACCGAAGGAAGGGATACGGGACATGACGTAGGAGAGAATGGGGAAGGTTCCTGGGTTGGGATCCATGGCGGTGTCAGAGTATGAATCCAGAGGAAACTGAAAGGGTAATGGAAGCAAGTCTTAGGAACAAAAATGTGTGTTATGGTTATGGATGTTAAGAATTGAGATTTAGAATACCGGTTATTGAGTTAGTTAGTTAGTTAGTTAGTTAGTTAGTTTCTTCGTTCACGCATGGGACAAAATTATAATCGATTTGGAAACATGCATATACACTAAAAAAAATTATATAGAACATTTCATTCAAAATTATATAATTTAATCTATTAATGTTATTAAATATTTTATAAATTTTTAATAAAAAAATATTGTTAGTGATTTTTTTATTAATTTTAACGATAAAAGTTCAGTTTAAATATTTAAGAATTAAAATTATATATTTATTACATTAAACTATAATAAGTACTTTTAATACAATTTTATTATTAGCAGTTATTTAAATTAACTCTAAAGTGAACATGAATATTTTTATTTTGTACAATGTTATATGCCCTAAAACAATCGAATTATAAAAATGAATTTTATTCAGTAATGAAATGTTATTGAGCTGCAATAGTAAAGTGGGATTTTGTTAATAATGTATAGATATTAATAAAATGCGTCGGCCATGCTGCCCATGCAATTTAGATAAAATGAGTCTAAAGTGAAAAATAATATGGATAACGAATGGACAGCATATTTATGTACATGTAAGTGTGTACAAATTTGAAAATGTTCCGACGAGAATAGTCTTCAAATTATAACATCTTTCTTATTTAATATTCCTTGCCTCCAACTCATTCATGTTATGTGGCACCAATCAGAGACTTCGACAATGAAAACCACCAACCAAGTTACAAGGAAGCTATGCATCAATACCTCCTTTTCCTTGGTTTCTCTAAGAAGGTGCGTTTTAACGTGGAAAAAGGGTGAATTGAGCTTAGTTATGGACTTTTTTTAATAAATACTTTAAAAACTAAAAGTTAATTTAAATTAATTTGTGATCTTTTATATTTTAATTTTTTTTAACTATTTTTTTTAAGATGAAGTGCAAACGTTAAACTTATTCAAATTAGACCTTGATCTCTAATACTCTAATAAGTTTTTTAAATATTGTTATGAAGCAGTTAAACAAAAAATAATTGTTATTTCCTCCTTCTGACAGTACGTGAGAAACTTAATTTGAGGATAAGCTTTAACACGTGGAGTTGAATGGTGCACTATTAATTTAAATCTAAAAATATTGTACACGAAATATAAATTTTTTTGAAATGAATTATAAAAATATGAGACTAAAAAATTACTATTATTAATTTCTTGATAAAATATTTTAATATATATTTTAAAATAACATAATATATATTTACAATTCTTATATATTATGTTTCTCACTACTCAGTCAGATATACTAAAGGTCATAAAAGAAAGTGTTCACTAAATCATTAACAACTCATCACATCACTCTAAAACTTTAAGACAATAAATAATAATAAAATATCACTCGTTATATACTAATCATCTTATCAAATAATACATAATATGTACCTCTTTTACCGTTGATTTTCAATATTTTGTAAGTATATGAGCATCTTAACCATTTTAATTATATAGATACTAACTATCTTAAGCCTATTTTTCGATATTAAATCTTATCCCCTAATTTCTTTTAATAATATATCCAACAGTATATGATGAACAACTTTCCAGTTGAACCATGTTCTCTCACATATAAGAATATATTTTGAGTGCAGCCTCAAACTTTTATATTTATAAATTAATAAAAATAAGATTTTTTCGACAAATAAATAGAAACACGTGTTATTTCTTTGTGCATAAGTAATTAACATAACGTTAAAATAGACTACCAAACACATGAATGAATTTGCTGAAATTATTTTAATTTAATCTATAATTTTAAATTATTATATTAATAAATATAATCATATTAAATACTTAAACGAAAAATAATTTTTTAACAGAAATATTAATGCCATCTGTTCTTGACTTTTCTTTGGAGGAAAGTGATTAACGTAGCAATCGTCCCGATTCTAATTTCCAACTATCTGGGTTTTTCTTGCCTCTTCCTCTTCCGCAGCATCAAGCGCCGTTGAAATAAACTAAACAATTTAAGTAATTTTGCAAGTTGAAGGAAAATAATACCAGCTGTCCAGTAGTGTTATACTACAGATTCTCCTATCTTCTAAATTAAAAAATATTAAATACTTTTTATATTTTTTAACATTAAAAAATATCAATATGTTTTTCTTATTTAATGTTCCCTTTATAAAGTACTTGCAAATTTATTAGAAAAATACAACAAACGTCTGTCAATAAAGAGTAAACCTATAAATTTAAATGATAGAAAAGTTAAATCAAGCACCGTATTACTTTTATCTGCAGCTCTTTGTGAAATGTAAGAATTACTTTAGTACACTGTATTATATGACTTTGGTCATCCGTTTTGGTCACAATTTTATTATTACTACTATTGAATTTGATTTTATATGTAAATTTAGATATTTATTATAAATTTAAGTCTTAAAATTTTCAGTATGAGATCTTTAATATGTAATCTCTCTCTAGTTCTTAAGTCCGTGTCTTCTTTATTTTTTAACATGTGAATTTTTTTTTAATTTTTGTATCAAATTGATATATTTTTCTTCTTTAATAAACATTTAAGTAAAGAACATTATAATTAATGCATAACTTTATTTAGTCGAAATTAAGACTGATAAGATAATTTCAACTCACCGTAAAATAATTTTGTATCAAATAAAGTAAATTTTAGAAATAAGTTTTAAATGCATGTAACTTGAAAAACTCAAATAATAAAATTGGATGCAAATTGGCCTACGGTGTAAAATGTTTCAAAGGTTCCGTTCTCTTCGCTCTCACGTCACTAAATGGAAGAATAAATAAAAAAAGAGGAATAGAAGAAATAAAAAAGTAATGAGGATAAGAATAATTTGAGAAAACAGAAGTGAGTGGACCTAAACGTCGTTATTAGTGACATAAAAACATAAAATATTAAGAGGAATGTTGCGGAATCATTTATCTTCTTCCCTGGAACTGTGGAGTCGGAACCGCATAAAGCAGCACACTTGAGATGGAAACGTAAACAAAACAGGCAAACAGGCGTGTTTGTGGGTACGAAAAATTCAACCTAATTTAAGGGAAAATAAATTGAAAAATGAAATTGGTTTGAAAAGCATTAAATTTAACTAATTCAGCTTGCTGATTATTATTAACACATAAATTTGTCAATTTAACAATTTAAAATTTGTCAATTTTTTTCCAAATAAATGATTTTCAGTGTATATTTTTTTTAGGACTCGATTACTCACTTTCATAAACTCGATCTTGAACAAGTTGATTCAGTTCAAGTTATAAATTCAAAATTAATTAAATCTGACTCAATCCAATTATGTGTGTTCAGAATAAATATAAATCTAACACAGAATATATAATTAATAGCATTAAAATAAATGTGAATTTACTTTTATTTTAATATTTTTTTGTAAAATCAGATATGCTATCAATTTATTTTAATTGATTTGTTTTATTGGAAATAAATAAATAATGATATCTTCTCAATTAAGTTAGTATATAATTTAATTTTTAATAATAAGCATTCTTTTACTTATTAAAATAAAATTTTTAAACTTGCTTAAGATTGAGAGAGTGGCATAGAATTACTATTTTTTTTTTTTATGAAAAGTTGCTTATAGAAAGCTTTTAACCAATGAAGAAAAGTTCTATCGAAAAAATGACTGTTTTTTCTTTATGCTCTAGATGCATGGAGGCCCATGAAACAGTTTTTCATATTCTTAATGACTATTGAAATATCAATAATATTTGGAGTTAGATTTTTCCTCCTGACAAATGGGTATTTTTTTTTCAACTTTGACCTTTTCAATTTGTTGGAGTTTAATCTGACCACACAAAACTTTCCTCTGTATTTTTTATGGAATAAAGTATTTGGATAGTTTTTTGGAACATGTAAAAAAACAAAAATAATTTTATGTTTCAGAAAAGTCCCCTTAATAATAAGGAATTACTGATCAAAATTTTCTTTGATATTGACTACCTCCTTCTCAGTTGTAGGTCTAACCAAAAGAATCACACTAGTAGTTGAGGGACCAAAATTCCTAATAAAGTGGCTGCTTCCTGTGGACAAATAGTTCAAGATCAACACTAATGGTTTAGTTTCTTTTTCTTTGGGTCATGCTAGCTGTGGCAGCTTGATTTGTGACTCTGTTGGAAATTTTATAGCTAATTTTTTTAGGGTTTTAAATTTTTACCACCCAACAATTGCTGAACTTTGAAAAATCTATTAAAACTTCCATCTAATCATTAAGAAAAATATTCAGATTATTTTAAAAAAATGTGATTCCAAGAATATCATTAACTTAATAGTTAATATCTAGAATAATAATCATCCTTTTTATTAGATAATTAGCAAAATTAAGACCTTGATAAAAGGTGTGAAGTTTATAAAGTTTAACCATATTCTTAGACAGTCAAACCAATATGCTTACTGATTAACTAAGATGGATTTAAAATTTAGTTTGTCTTCTATTATTTTTTACAAGGCGCTCTCTCTCTCTTCAAAGCCTTTTTTAAAGTTAGATTATTTATGTTTTCATTGGTTAGATTCTTTATGTTCTCATTGGTCCAAGTCAGCTGCCTACTTTATTTTTTGTTTTAACACATTTATTTAGTAAATTAATAAAACACTCTTATCAATTATTATTAAATTATATATATATATATATATATATATCATAACTAAACAAAAATACTTTTAAAAGTACAATAAATTTTCACGTTAAATTATATATTTATATTTTTTAAAAATTTTAATAAAATATAAAATTAAATGATTAAATCACTTTATATTATTTTTATAATCATATATATCATTTAAAATTATAAATATTTAATGTAAATTTAATTTATTCTAAAAAATTAAAATAATACTAAATTAATGAATTTCACAGTCTATCAAAATTTATTAATTTTTAAATATTAAATAAGAACAATTTTGAGAATAATTTTTTATTTTCTATATGTTAATTTCTAAATTTAACATCAATTTAAAATTTAAATTGTTTACAATGTCATCTTAGTATAATTGAATATTTATACTTAATAATTTTATAAAAAAATTAAAAGAATAAATTTCTATTATTTAAGGAATAAGGAGAATTGTATCTGAAAATATTTACTTCCTATCGGTTGTTTTTTCAGTTTTTCATCGTCATCGTAATCTCATCTATCAAATCCTATTTGAAATTTAAGTAAATTTGAAGTTTATCTCCACTGATAACTTGCATCAGTGGCAGTAATTATAGCAGTGAGGCCCACGACAAAGGAATCTTGGGCCTTCATCGGCATGCCTGGTCCTTGTGTGCCAACAACCGTTACGGACGCCATGCTTATAACCAACCGGCACCGGCGAGCAATACCGCCGGACGAACCGATTCTCCGCCGAATATGGCAGCGATTCGGCAGAGGAGTTAGGCGAACCGGACGCAGAGAGAGTGGCGGTGGAGGACGAAGACGGAAGAGGCGATGATTTCCTCGGTGGAAAAAGAATGACTTTGATTTTCAACTGTTTCTGCAACGACGAAGAAGCACGATCGTATTCTTCGATTATGTTTGCCAAATCTTCGTCGTTGGTGATGGAAACCAAAGTGTCTAACTCTCCGTCCGGCAATGGACACTTGATGGTTATCGACGACGAACCACCCAACTCGCAAAGCTTTGCCTTCAACTCTGTAAAACCCTTAGCGTAAGCACACGCGCCTGGGATAACAAACCAACCAAACGAAAACGATTGTGAAATCGAAGAAGCGAATTGGGAACAAACCTGAGAAAGGAGTGGGAGGATGAAGGGCGAGGACTCTGGTGTGGCCACCGGTGTAGCGAAGCTTGCCGTCGGGGGAGCGAGGACGGATCATGCCGCCGTAGCTATACAGAAACTTAAGAGTATTGTTGTTGTTATCAATGGGTTTGGATGCCATGACAAGATCTCGGGGTTTGGTTAAAAGGTTCGGTGATGAGTGAAGGAACGAAGAGCGAAGAGGTTCGTCTACTGAGTGGGTCTGGGGAGTGTTGGGGTTTGAAAACTTGTGTTGCCTCTTTTCTGAGTATTTATAGGCAGGTCAAGTTAGGGAAAGACCCACGCGTTCGTTTGCTTTTGCTCCGAGGAAAGTGGGGGAAAAGATAAAATCAGAAAAGAAAAAAAGATGGTGGTAATATTGAATATTATTGTTAAGATTTTGTTTGTTGAACTTTCATAAACAAAGATTTAATAAATTTTTATGAAATATTCGTATTAATTTTTCAGACATTAGTAACATTTGATTTTGCAATAATGACCATGGTTATATAGTCATTACATTTTTAGAGTTTTTTAATATGATATTTTAATACAATATATATCAAAATATAAGATTTTGGGAAAAATTAAAGAAATATATGAATTCAAAAATCATTATTAATAATTTTTAAAATAAATTATTTTATTGAAATTTTCATCGTTGATGATAATTTTTAAAATTAGCTTGTATTGTTTGAAAATTGTTTATAAATTTTATATTTTTCTAATTTTTTATATTTAAATTAATTTTCCTACTTTTTTATTTAGTTATGTACCCTTTGAGATAAAGTAAAGGTACTCAGTAGTTTCTTAATAAATGGTTTAGATTATAACAAAATATACATATAAAATAAATTATAACATTATTAAAAATAGTTTAATCGACTTTCTAATCAATGGTTATTACTTGTAATTATTACTTGTAATTGAATGTAAAAGAGCCAGATGCTTTAATATGCTATAATGAAAAGTAAAAAGAGTAGAAAGTAGATATGCAATTCAGTGGCATGTTTTAAGGATGTTCATAAACTACGTCAGTTCACTATAATGTGCAGAAATTCAATTAAAAATAGAAATCTTTAACTCAATACAGTGCAAAAATATTTACAATTTAAATAAAAATAAAAGATAAAATTAAATTATCATTAATAAAAGTTACATAACTTTAAAATTGCTTTTTTTTTAACTTATCATTTTAGAATAAGAGTTCAAATTTATTAGAGTAAAGTTTATATAAAAAATAATTTATTTATATTCAAACATGTAGTATTGTAATTTATCATTCAACTCCTATATACTAAACTTAAAGAATGTACTTTTGAAAGGAAATAATATTTTTTTATTACTTTCTTATTATTATATAATATGACCTCTCTTGAATAAAAATTTTCTTCTTAAGATTGTAATAACTATATTCAGCGGCAGTCTTTGTCGTTGGTGCGGTTTACGTCTTGAGATGGTGAATAATCCAATCTGATGCCGTCTTTTCTTCTTCTTTTTCTTTTGTTGCAAAGAATCCAATTATCCCTTTTTTTCTCCCATTTCGTAATTATTTATCGTTCGCCCAAAACTCTTGTAAATCATGAGATCATGACAATTTTTTGCCAGCTATTGGTTCCGTTTACATGTTTTATTTTTTATTCTCGCCTTCCATAGTACTTGTGTTTGAGTATTTCTAAATAGATATAACAAACCAAAAAAATTAATTTATAATTAAAAAATAATTTGAAAATGACATGCGTTATCTTTTAAGAACAGATTGCGTTATAAATTTGATTTGGATTTATAAATTTTATTTTAGAGATGTATATATAAGTAAAAATTACAACACTTGATTAATCTTCATATATTTATTCTCCGAGATATGTTTTATTGCGACTAAATTGTAAAAGAAATCATAAAATAAACTTTATTTATCGTCTTATGACTAAATTAAAAATAAAATAAAAATTGAATCATTAATCCAACCCAAACTGGTTTTAGTTAAATCAGATTAGATAATAAATCTTAGTCAAATTGATCTAAATTAGAACGCATCCTTTTAATTATCCGATTGAATGATCTCTCACTTGAAAATTAATCTAAAATATACTGCGAAGAGCCCTAATTTAAAAAATGTATAATGAACAGTAGCAAAATATTATATATGCAACAAGATGATAGGCGTAGTAATCGTAATAATGGAACGAAAAAAACACACATAATTAAACGTATAAATAATTTTCGTATCTTGAGTTAATTAAAAAATATATAATAAATTAGTGAGTATAAAGGCATTTGATAAACAAATATATCTATTTTTGTCCATTACAAAAAATGATAATGTGTACTAATCTAAAACTATCATAAACTACTTAAATACAAGCATTTTTGAAAAAATGTATTTAAATTTAGCCCTAGATATCAAAATATATGCACAATTTTGCGTAAAATTCTTTACATATGATACAGACCTTTTAAGAGTAAGCATTGAATTTGAATCAATTTATTAAAAAAAGTAATTTGAGTTAATAAACAGAATCTTACGTGGATCCTATCTTAAACTTGTACGGTGCATGCAAATTGAAAGCGCAATCATATCATATTCATACAATGGGTGTACACAAGCATCATCAAAGCACGCTAATTTGAAGTTATACTAATTTTCTGAAATCATGTTTAAGGAATCATATAGGATATTATTTGCAACACCTTAACCAAGTGTTGATACAAGTACACTAGCGATGAGAGATTAGTAAAGATGGTGAAGTTACTAAAAATGATCGAGTATCACTTGATTCTGACTATTTATATTAGGTCATGCGTTAAAAATTTTATAATAAGTCAAAATTTATTGACATTAAATATAAGCATAGATGTATAAATGTTTTAATAATTTTTTTATAAAATATAAGATTGATTAATTAAATTATTGGTTTATAAATTTTTATTTAGTAAATAATTAGTTACCAAATCAAACAATGTTAGGACATTCCCTTGGCCCAGTTGGCCTGACTCCCCAAACATTGAATGGATTCGACCGATGACCATAAAAGCTTTTTGTTTTGTCGTGTTTTCCTATATTTGCGACGCGTGTTTTTTAGTCAATTAATATAAACACCTCACATGCTTCTTACTCAACAAAGGGACCCATACCCTAAAGTAGTAGTGTGCATGATGTGATACTGTACTACAAACATTTTTATATTCGATATATCTTTTAATCTATAACTAAATACTGTTTATTTTAATGTGAATATACCTTTTAAATTTTTTTATAAATAATTAAAATTTAAATCCTACTCAATATTGTTAAGAGATGCCTTTATATTATATTTAAAAAATTAAAATTCCTTAATTAATAATTAGCTATAAAAAAGAAAGAAATCAAATTAATTTAATATAAATTATAATTATTTTATATTATTAATAAATTAAAAAATATATATTTGATTTAATTATTGAATTATAATTATATATTATGAAAATAATTTACATTATATATTTTTAATTAAAAATAATTCTGTTTGAATTGAGTAGAGGTAATATAAATGGTTATAAGTAGGACTCGAATTTAATACTATAAATTAAATTTAAAGATTTTTTATTAATTAATTTACATGTTTAATAGAGTATAGTAAGTATACTTTATATTAGTGTAATTTAATATTTAAAAAAATAAAAATTCTATTAAAATTATTCAAATATTTTAAAAATATATTAAATATTTTATTATATTAAAAATTAATAAATTGTTTTGAAATAAAATAATATTTTTAATACATATATGTACATTAAATATATATATATATATATATATATATATATATTAAAATTACAAATTTCAACATGTTAATAATATTAAATATTATAATATTTAATAAAAATTATAATTTATTAAATGTAGTTGATATATAGGGAAAGTTATTTTAAAATGGAATTTAGTAAAATAAAATATAAAAATATGGCTTATTTAATATATTTACAATAATATGGTTTTTTAAAAAACGCAAGTAACGATTTAATGTAAATAGTAAAATGGCAGTGGTAAAAAAAGTGACATGTACTGTTATAAAAACGTCATTTGCGATTTTTTAACACTGTAGCAATAAAATTGGGTCAAAATTGGCTACAAAATCGCATATGGTGATTTTTAACATTGTCTGGCCACTGCAGTGACGTTGCGTCATTTGGAGTTTTGAATTAAGGCAAACTCGCGACTTACGAGTTTAGACCTCTTAACATGTCGTTACTCATGCAGAAAGTGGTAGGAGCAGATCTGAAATTTGCAAGTTTTGAATACTGTTTAAGCTTGCAGAATAATTATTGCGAGGAAGACTCCAAAATTCCTATGCAATTTTGCCTATATATATCAGGTTCAATTCTTATTGCATACACGAGAGAGTATTTTTAAAGTGAAGAAAAAGCATTCTCGAAAAGAAGTAGAGTGAGAGACTAAGTTAAAATTTGAAGAAAAAAAAAAGTTAGGGACTCAACTATTGATTCAAGGAAGCATATTTTAAAACAAATTTGAAATCAAAATGTAAGTTTTTATTATTTTATTTATTTAACATGTATATTTTGTAGAAATTCTGTAATTTTTATTTTATTTATTATTTTTTTGATATTTTGAATGTATATTTTGTAATATTTGTAAAAACTATTATAAATCAGTAATTGAATATAATTGTATATCAATTGTAATTTGTAAATGAATTATTTAGTAATTACTAACTTGAATGCAAAATTTATTAAAAAAAAAGAGAGAATTAATTTAAAATAAATTATAACAACATTGTTGAATTTTTTTGATTGAAAATAATATTATTTTTTATAATTACTCAATAGAGTTTTGTCAAAATTGCAACTTGAATAATTAATAAAATTAAGTTCTCAAGAAATTATTTATTACATTTTATATAATTAACATATTGAATAGTAATTATGTAGCTTTATTGTTAACCAGAGTTTTTTGTATTATTTGTAACAGGTAATGAGATTGTTATGGTCTCATCATTTATCAATAATACCTCAAAAGATAGAAATTATGGAAATTTTATGGCATGCCGGTTTTGATCGGATTTATCAACTTTGTCAAATGCAAATAAACCGTTCACTCATTAATGTACTTGTGAAACGGTGGAGGCCTGAAATACACACATTTTACTTAATTTGTGGAGAATGCATAATTACATTGCAAGATGTTTATATGTTACTTGGAATTAAGATCAATGGTATAGCAGTGATTGGTTCTACAAATCCTTTTACTGTTGTAGCACAGGAAATATGTGATAATTTAATAGGGGGCCGACCAGATTCAAACGACATTGAAGGATCAGAAATTAGATTATCGTGGTTATCACAACACCTTGGTTGGCTTCCTTGTAATTCGGATGTTAGGTTACAACAACATGCTTGTGGGTATATTCTTTGCTTGCTTTGACATATTTTGATGCCGAATAAAAGTAATGCAGTGGTGCATTCAAGATTCTTGCCATTGTTGACCGATGTGAATCAAATTGGTAGCTACAGTTGGGGATCGACATGCTTGGCCTCTCTGTATAAGGGTTGGATTGTGCTTCTAGATATGATGCCAAAGAAATATGTGGGTGCTTGATACTACTGCAGGTGTGGGCATGACATCGCTTCCCATGGCTAGCTCCAATCTCGGGTTCACCAACAGTATTTTCGCTTGCTTTTAGATGGAGACGTATGCGCTATCCAAATAATACACCGTTTAAGAATCTTCAAAATATTATATTAGCATTGGATCAAATGGGTGTTAATAAGGTAAACAGATTTACTAATTGTTATTAATATGTTACATGATGATATGAGTGTTAAACCTTTCTATAATGTGTGTTAACAGAAATTAATATTATTTTTTGCAGTTTTTGTGGACACCGTACGTAAATGATAAAATTGATGCAGTCACTCCAAACGAAGCACGGGATGAACAGCAAGTGTGGTCTACTGTCTCTCCTCTTATATGTTTTGAAGTTATAGAGTGGCATGCAACTGACTGTGTCATGCGTCAATTTGGATATGCTCAGCCTATTCTTCTACAACCCCAACAACTTGAAGGAGTCCATAACAGAGACCTACGTGGAGTAAGAGAACCAAAGGATGGACAATCATTCATCATGATTGGGTGACAATATGGGAGCATCGACATCAACATATTTTAAAAGGAGTCCAAGCTCAAAATTTCCATCCTTCTAATGAATATTGGACATGGTACACATTGTCTGCACTGGATTGGCTATGGTTATCCCCACAATTGCCTCTGTAGCTGTCATTGTCTGAGCATGAGGAGATTCCTATGGATACACCACCTAACCAGCCACAAGACATTCCATCAAGTTCTATACAACCAAATCAAGAGTTTTATTTTTCACCTGAAATGAATGTGTGGCAACATTTTCAATGGGATGACCAATGACCACAACCACAATCACCACAATCACAACCACAACAAAAAGGTATGTCTGTTGGTAGGACAAATGTTCATGGTGGTAGATCAACTAGGCAGGAACGAGGTTGAAGATCTGTTGATTGTGATAGTAACGGTGGAACTTCTTCTGGATTTATTCCAACATATAATTTTGTGGTGGATGCACCCTCACCTTCGCAGAGAAATGCAACTTCAAACTTTGACTTAAATGAAGAAGCTACCATGGAAGATGTTTTTGTACATGACGAGGATGTCTATAGACCAGAATCGGTGTTTGATGCTCTACCTATGCAATGGTCTATGCCGATCGGGTCGTGGGATTTCACGCCTCAAGATTACACAGATATCCAGCCATCAGAAAATGTATCACAGCCTAACCCTATAACAGATAGGAATGCAACAAATGAGGAAAAGGAGGATGTCAGTCAACAGTTAGGATAGAATGCAACTCAACCAGAAAGACATCCCTTTACACATGCTCCTGACAGATATAGTCCTTCATTAATAAAGAAGAAAAAGGGAAAATGAGGATATTAATTTATGTATTTATCATTTCTGTAATAGTAATTTTTGTATTTTTGTCATTTAGATCGTGTCGCATGTTACTAATGATTTTATGTATTTCTGTTATTTAGTTTTTTTTTATTATTTGTTTCACCAATTATTTGTTTATAATTATTTATAAGTAATTAATACATAAACTACTATATATTAATATAAAGTACAACAAATTAATACAGAAAGTACTACATATTAATAAAAAAACACAACAACAATGATATTAACAAACAACAACAGCCACAAAAAATAAAGCATAACAACTCCACACTATGAACTAGGGCCAGCAGCATTAGGACAACGATTACGACTATGGTTTTCTCCTCGATAAAGACTACAACGTGGTGGGCACCTCATTGGTCGCATATCCATTGCATTCAAAAAACAAGTTGATTTCAGACGACCTATCAAAGTACACTTTAAAGCAGGGTTAGGACACAGCTTGGGACCTCGATATTTGCACCACCTAGATTCATTTCCAACAATCCCAAATTCTTTCTTGTATACATTGCATACTTCATTGATCGTATAGACTTCATTCACATAAGCACGCCAATCAATATTTTGACTACAACAGGCAGCAATCACGTGGCGACATGGATATCTATCAGTTTGCAAGTTTCCACAATCACAATAATTTTGTCTCAGATGAACTCGATATTCCTCAGTGTTTGATAAATCTTGCACATCAAAAGCCTCATTGCATCTATCAAACTGAGTCACACGAAGGTTTCTTGAGCCATGCTCGTTTGATTGAAGACGGCTTGTTATATTTTTTGACAACAAATGTCCAACATTCTTACGTGCATAAGCCTCGCTACCTTTAGTGCAAGTAAGTGTGTCAATCTAAGGTAAGTGGCTCTTATAAGTGCTGTAATAGGCAAGTTACAGATACCTTTTAAAACAGAATTAATGCATTCCGCGAGATTGGTCGTCATATGACCCCATCGATGGCCACCGTCAAATGCTAAAACCCACTTTTCTCGTGGTATTTCATTAAGCCAGTTTGTATAAATTTGTCCACGCTCCTGTATTCGTTCATAATGAATATTAAATTCATGCTCCGTTCTTGAGTAACCTGTAAATAACAAATTATTTCTTGCATCAGCTTAAACAATGTCATGTAAGAGTATATGCCAAAACATTATTTTAAATATGAAACTCAGGTTTATTACCCATATGAACAACAAGTTTATGCAAGTTGGGAACCTTGAATCTTCGCAAGAAATTTGCAACTATGTGCCTGATACAATACATGTGGAATGCTTTTAGAAGTTTCCACTGGCCATTACTTCTTCTTATTGCTACTATAATTGACTCGTGGTAAGGATCAGAAATCAGGCCAACATCATCTTTAGTTACAACATATTTTCGTAAATTTTCAAGAAAAAAACTCTAAGCAGCTACTATCTCACCCTCAACAACAACAAATGCAATTTGCAATATATTTTGATTTTCATCTTGTGCAACAGCAACTAGCAAAACTCCTTTATATTTGCCATATAAATGTGTCCCATCGACCTGCACAACTGGCTTGCAATAGCGAAATGCTCTGATGCATGGACCAAAACTCCAAAACACTCGACGAAATATTTAAACATTAGGAATCAATTCCTCATTGCGATAAGCTTGTGCAGCATCTAATTTCACAACCGAACCTGGAACAACATCACACATTGCTACGCACCATTGGGGCAAAGCTTCAAATGACGCTTCCCACTGACCAAATACTTTTTCAATTGCTTTTTGTTTTGCTAACCACGCTTTCTGATAACTTATTGTGTAACCAAACTGAGACTGAATTTTTCCAATTACTACTTTAATTTTGAAAGAAAGATCAGATTCTACCATTGGCTTTATACATTATGCAATTATGTTTGTATCTAACTTTCTATGATCTTGAGAAATGATTCTAACAGTAGAAGTGTGTGGATCGTTATATTTTTTAATTTCCCAAAAATACTCGTTCTTCTTGAAACTAGCTCGAAGAAGCCACCTACAATCTAATTCATACCTTACACATTTGCAATAAAATGTATTTGGTTTTGACTCAAACACTTTGTAGTCCACTCCTCTGGATATACTGTAATGCTTTACTGTTTGAATAATAACTTCTTTGCCATTGAATTATCTTCCAACATATAATTCACCATCTATCTCAGTGTTACCTACCAATACCGAACATAAACTAATTAACAAAACTATAATTAATTTCACTGACATATTTATAAAATACACATACCTAAATTTGTATACTCTGGAAACTCAGAAACATTCATAGCATCAATATCTAAATCATGCATGAATGGTGGCTCTCCGTATGGATGAAGACCAACTAGATGAGGCTCATCTTCCTCCTCCTCATCATCAGAATCTTCATAAATTTCTTCGCTTCCATGTTCACATTCAAAATCGTTGTCATCACTTTCACTATTGTTCTGTTCTCATTCTATCTCTGTGTGTAGCATGGTCCCTGCATATTCTTCTTCAACCGCATTATTTTTGAAAACAACATACAACTCAATGGTACCACTTGGAGGATGACGTTGCTCATGTATCTGAAACATTTGTTGAACATCATCATCGTTTGATATATAAATTGTATGATATTGCATAAAATCACCAAATATCGATACTGGACATCAATACATAACACTTTCTACTATTTTCAGAAACAGAACTTCAATATATTGACAGAGCCAATACTTTAAATCTTTAAATGATACGGTTTATGGAATATATATACATGTTGGCTTCTTACATGTAAAAATCACACCTTCACTCGTATTTGGTATAATCTCACCATTGAAATAAACAACAATGGCAACACTTATTTTTTTTTCTTCTACAAAGACACAAAATTCTTAGAAATTAGGAAGAGATATGTATGCAACCACAATGATTGGAGACTACCAAAAGTTTCATATTTATAGACTCATCACTTAAAATCGCAAGTTGCAATTTTTTACTGTCAAATGTCGCCATGGGCGAGTTTAGAGTAAAATTTCATGGTCAAATATCGTCATTTGCGATTTTACGATTTTTTTAATTTAATTCATTCAAAACTCGCACATTGCGACTTTTGTAATTACACTTTTACTTTTTATATCTTGCAAGTTGCGATTTTTCAATTTGACAAAGCCTGTTACTTTTTATATCTCGCAAGTTGTGATTTTTCAATTTGATAACATAAAAGCCTATTTTCCTGACATATAAAAACGGTAGTTGTGATTTTTATAAAAAAAACCATATGCAGGTAATATTGTCAAATTTGCCATATTCTTGTAATTTAATTTTAAAATAACCATAATTAAAAAAATGACCTTGATATATATATATATATATATATATATATATATATATTGGCAAATTATTATTAAAAAGTATAGTAGACGTCTATATGACACGTGGAGCAAAAACATGCCACAAATAGCCAGATGTTGGTTGTAGCAGGGTCCGATTTATGTAGAACGGAGAGCCAGCAGCATTGGCCGTTTAAAACTCGTCTTCCCTTTTCATGGCAAGCAGTTTTTTGAGTACCGACTAATTCAAGCTCTTTATTTACTATTCAAGAGCTTCTTTATTTTACATACTGCTATTTCTAATAAATATGTTTTTCATGAAAATAATTAAGGTCATTTTTTAAATATAACATTTTTACTATAAAAGTACCAGAATATGAATTCTTAATAATGATATATATATATATATATATATATATTATTTTAAAAAATTACAAGTGGCAATTATGTAGTGATTTTTAGAAAAAAAAAATTATGTAGTTAAAACTCACTTTTTGAAACTTTAGAGTAAAAATATACTTTTATACATTCAAAAATTATCACAGACAAATTTAAAAAAAAAATTGCTATTGAATTTGTAATGAATTGTATCTTAAAAGCTTTTTATTCTACATTTCTAAATATTCTTTTTTGATATTTTATAGTTGAAAAAAAATTATGCAAATACAATAGTCAATTTTAACAGTGAGATTATTTCAAACATTAGTGAGGGTATGAAATTTATGTGTGAGAAGTCAACTTACATATATATTCCTTATAATATATTATTTGAAACACTTAAATATTGACTTTGTCAATATATTGAAGTAGAGACTTCAAAAGCAGTAGAAAGGATAATCTACATGTGTCCAATCTTTATTTTTGGAGGTTTCATGCAATACCAAGTGATGGCAATAAGTAATGATGATAATATTCAACAAATATTTTAGATTTATTACGAGTATCATGATCAAAATCCTTCAATTGAGTTGTATGTTTTTTTTAAACAAATTACAATTGATGCATATGAAAGTGTCGTTCCTAACAGAGATGTCAAATGAAAAGAAAACAATGCCAAAAGTGATGATGATGACTTTGAAAGAGATTATGAAAGTGATGATGATAATTTGGATAATGATATAGATGATAAGAACTCTTATTTATCAAATCCAGTGATTGGCTGACATATGTCTAGGGTTCCATCATTCATGCATGCTTTAGATCTTAATGCTATGCAAGTTCCTAAATTAACTAGTACCTCATGAAGTCCTAATTTATCTAATGTCACTCTAACATTTCCAAGGTCTTTATATGGAGTGTTGATTGGATATTGAATGTGTTGTCATCTAAGTACAAGTATAAATATTATTGGTTCACTAGGTATTGAAGCAATCCATGGAGCCGATACCATGCCCATACCTAAGCACAAGTGAAAATATTATTGGTTCACTATGTAACGTCCCAAATTTTGTAATATTAATTATTGATAATTATATAAATATAAATGTATATTTATGTGTGTATTTTTTTAGATATATGTTATGAATATGTATGTGTGTGTGTGTGTGTGTGTGTGTATGTGTGTATGCATGACTGGTTGGGTTGAAATGGGCAAAGTGCCTAAGTATAGGGTGAGATACTGGGCTGTTCTCGCTATAGCGAGAAGGCCTTGGGAGGAAGGACTGAAAATGTCACCTTCTCGCTGTAGCAAGAAAACGACTGTTTGAGGTGCATTTTTGGGTGCAGTCTCGCTGTAGCGACTGTCGCGACCAGAAAAGAATTTAAAGGGGGTTAGGGTTCTGGGAGAGTTATTTCTCCCTCTCCCTTCTATCCTCTCATGCCCAAAGCCCTTTTCACCGATTAAATTGCCTCCAAAACCGTTTGGGAGCTTGATTGAAGGTTGAATCCGTGTGAGGCTTGGAGGTGAATTTTAATGGTTAGGGTTTCAATTTTTCATCCTCTTTCTCTGTTTTCGTGTTTCCCCTGAGTTCTCATGTAGTTTCTCCATGTGTTTAGGACAAAATCTGTGAAGAGAAGCATTTCTTGGTGGATTTAGGTAGGTCTTCAATCTAAGGTAAGGGGGGACTCTACCCTATCTCAATGTATTGTAATTCTTGTGTATTTTAATGAATAATGCAATGTGGCTGAAATAGAGAGTAGGAATTGTGTGTTTGATGGAAATTGGTATGCAATGTGATATGTGCTTGAATAGTTAGGCCCCGTGTGGGTGATTATGTGTGATAAAATGCCTTTGATTGGTAAATTAATGTTGTTATGAATAAATGAAGGCTATGTGTCGTATATTGTGAAAATGTGGGCCCAAGGACCGTGTAATATGAATGATAATTATGGGTTGTGTGTCGTGTGTAAGCATGATTATTGCGTGCATGAATGGAATATGTGTGAATGAGCGTGTTAGCACCGTTGTAATGTGTTGTGAATGATTCAGCGATACACTGAGGGTGTGGAAGATGAGGACGGTAGAAATATCTCAGGGAAGAGGGAGTGGTGGTGACACCGACTGCAGAACGGGTATACCACGGGTCACACACACTCTTCCTGACTAGACCTCTGACCATTACCTTTGCTGAGCGACTGTGACTGCCCACGTGGTATCCGTGAGGCGGGGGTAACCGACGACCATTCATGGTGTAAATCTGTGATCACAGTGCTGCAATGAACGTGGCTGGTGTGCACATGCATGAGATTATTGTTAATTATGTTGATTGAATGTGAAATGTTGTTAGTGCCATGTGTGCATCGATATTGAATGGTAATGTTGTCTATGTTTGGTTCTGCATAAATGTATTGAATTTGATTTGGAGGTGAGACTCTATACTTAGTTGTGTGTTTTTGTAGTGTAGAATACTCACCCTTACATTCATTTTTCAGGTAATCAAGATGATCAGCACCGGACTCAATGAAGGGGTGGATGAAACTGCTATAGGACTTACGATATGTTTTGAAAACTTTTGTATTTGAATAAGTCCTGTAGGATGTAATTTGTAACCCATTTTCTTTATTTGAAATGTTTGATGAAACTTGGATTGAAAATAGAAATTTATTATTTTATTACTTTAAAAATTTACGAAACTCCTTATTTATTGAAATTAAATTCAATGTGTTATACACTAAGTATTGGAGTAAACCACGGGAGCCAGTGCATGCCCATACCTGCACCAGTATTAGGCATCAACAAATTTCTTTAGCATTTTTTTGTGAAACATGATCTAGATCTCTATACAAAAAGGCAAGGCATGTTAAACCCCACCTATATATTCCAATTACATCAATATTCACCAACAATTGTAAGAATTTTCTATGGACTATTGAATTACTTTTATTCAACATTAGAACATGTCTCAACAAAGAAAGTATGTATCAACGAGCATGTTGTATTATCCAATAGTCAAAATTAGTAGGAAGCTAACCAAAATGTTGTGTGATCTACTTCAATCTTATTTATGAACCTTCAACATTGTTAGATCCACGCCAACTATCTAGTAATTGTTCACACATATCCTACAATGCTATAGTATTGAGATTAGTAAAACCACTAACGGGTAGATCATTGATTCGCAATCCAAGCAATATAGCAATATCTTCTAATGTTGGTGTTCATTCTCCACAAGGAAGATGGTAGTATTATGTATAATACTACCATTTATATGCATTTGACATATTTGTACAAAACGATAAAGTCTAGTATTATGTAAAATGTCTAAGTGACAAGATTGTAGTACTCTCATTACCTGACATAAAAAAATAATTAATCATTAAATACATTATTTAAATTATCATCAATTTAAAATATTATTTTATCATATTAGATATTTAATCACTAAATACTAATATTTAATAGCTAGTCATAATTACAAAATTATATTTTTAATAACATAAATCATAAAAATTATTTACATTTTGAGCTCGTACTAATTTTGATATGTATTTATGTGAATCCATAGTTATATCACGAATCATATTGAAGAAATTTGTTAATTAATATATTTTTATGATTTTTCTATTTTTTTAGTATTTTTTCTTTTATTTTCACTCTTTTTCTTCTTCTTCTTAGCAGGTTCCCTCTTTTCTCTTCCACCCTAGTTTCTCTCATCTACGTTCTCTCCGCACATAAGTTTATGGTTAAAAGGGTTACTATATAGCTCCAAAAATCGTCAATGACTATTTTTTTGCTTTAAAAAAACTTCTTCCTCACTCTATTGCAGCTGACAATAATAGAGATTCCTCCAAAAATCGTCACTATTAATTTTTTACTCTATAAGGTTCCTATTTAACATTCTTGCTTCACTGTTCATAACAAATAGTAAGGCTAAATATGATAGATATCTCAAAACTCGTCACTAGCAGTTTTTCAGAAGACCACATTCTCGTGAAAGCTTCAACTCTATTACTCATGGCAAATAACATAATTAAATATTACAAACTCTCTAAAAATTACCACCAATGATTTTTCAAAACTCATACTTCCATAAAATTGCCACAAATGACATATTAAGGTAATTATAACCTTTATATCCCGTATTTAAATTAATAAACCTAATAATTACATACTTGATTAAAATATATTATTTAAATCAATTTATTCACAAACTTAATTATATATAATTTTCTTATTAAATTAATTTTACTTATATTAACATCTATTTTTTAGTATTTTATCTTATTTGCAGTTTAAAATTATACTAGATAAACTAAAACATTACTTTTTTTTATTAAAATCATTTGTAATGTCTTAATATCTCATTTTTTTATTATTATTTTAACATTATATATATTTATAATTTTAATATAATTAACAATTTTGTTCATAATTATATTTTGTTTAATTGTGATAATCCATGCTTGAGATTTGATCACTATAATAATTCATAATTATAACTAACCAGAGACTCGTTATGATGTGTTTTTAATTTATGAAAGGATAATATCCGATTGTCAATGAAAAAATATATTTGGTACACAAAAATAAAAAAAAATAACAAACTATCGATTATTCATGTTCATTGCATATTACTGATATAATTTAAGTTTCTTATTCTCTTTTTTCATAAACCTAGATTTGAATTTGAAGGTTACGTTACATGTATGAATTTGATAATGCTAACTATTTAATAGAAGCATCGATCATATCTATTCAAGCAAAGAATAAATATTTTTTATATATTAATAATTACAATTAATAAAATAGTCAATTATATCAAAATAATTAATATCTCAAACATTGTTTGTATGTATAATTTAAAGTAATACAGACAAGTATATTTAGGAAAGAAAGTGCTAATTACTTTTCTGAATGAATTCAGTATATCTTAGCTAACAATTAATAATTAATACATTGGAAATGGAAAAATAACTAAATAAACTGATTATTTTAACAAAATATATCTCACACACACATGAAAAGAAGTTAAGCATGATCAATATACTTAAAGGAACAAAGTATTCGACAACTAGATTAGACTTTATTGGTAAAATATTACTGTCATCCATTTATTAATTTGATTTTAGTTACCATTATTACTAGCGATATGAAAATATGACTATAATCGATTTTGGTGTGTAAGGTGTCTGTGAGAAGTTTATTATAATTTATTTTGATATGTGAGGAAAGTCATTAATTGAAGCTATGCAGCTACTAGTAGTTTTTGGGCTCTTTTACCCTTTTTCAAAATAAAGAACACCAACAGCAGTAGGAACTTATAGTTTGAAAACTGAATGTTCCACGTTGCACCAATATCAACAAAGAATGTTGTGTGTGTGGGTTGGTATAATAGGGCCATAGAACGGCCATTACGACCCAAGTGTTTCAAGCGTTCACAAAAAACAAAAAGAAAGCGTTCAAGATTAATATCCCCAGTGCAATGGTTTTGGACGAGACAATTAAGAATTTTAAAAAATTTAAATTGCATTATTTAATTTTTTGTTATTTAAAATATTTTGTTTGGATAAAATAATTATTTTTTTATTTTAAATATTTTGTAGGTTTAATTATACTTTTGTTTTTTATACTTTAATATATCTACAAATTTGGTCTTCTTAATTTTAAATACTTATATTTAGTCTTTTAGATTTTATAAATGTTTAAATTAAATTATTTACACTAAAATTTTATTTAATAACTAAGAAAAGTATAATATATTATTAATTTATATAAGTAAATGAAAAATGTATATACAAATATTTAAATAAAAATATAAAATGTATATAATTTGCTATAAAATTTTTTAGAAATGAAGAATAAAAAAGTTTTAAGATACAATTCACTACAAATTTAATGGTAATTTTTTTTAAAGTTGCCAGTGATAATTTTTGAATATATAAAATTATTATTTTTTACTCTAAAGACCCAAACAGTAAATTTTAACTACATAATTTTTTTTTCTGTTCTAAGAGTCGTCAGTGGTATTTATTTTTTGGATTCGGATCCTCTCATGTTGTGGAGGGAACATGAATCTCATGTTCAAATTTGCTTAAGCGAATTTTGAGTGACTTAAGCGAATTCAAAATAGCTTAAGCGAATTTAAAATGGCTTAAGCGAATTATGCAAAAAAAAATAAATTATGTAGAAACTAATAGCATGGTATCAAAGGATAAAATTTTATAAAATTTATTATCAAAGTTAATTCTACTCATCTAGAAACATTTAATTGTAACAGCAAAACATGAATAAAAACTTCATTTTATTCCATTCCATTAATGATACACAATTATTCATAATAAAATTTATCAAAAAAAATTCATCAATACATAGACAAGTAAAAAATAAAAGAAGTTGAGGCATTATATTTCATTCCATTCATATAAAATATCATCCGGGAATAAATGAGAGAGGATATCCTCTCCCATTTATTCCCGGATGATATTTGATATGAATGGAATAGAATAAAATGTTTCAACTTTTTCGTTATTTTCATCCTCTCTCATTTATTCTCGGATGATATTTGATATGAATGAAATGAAATAAGATGTCTCAGCTTATTTTATTTTTGACTTGTCTATGTATTAATGAATTTTTTTTTGGTAAATTTCATTGTGAATAATTGTGTACCATTAATGAAATGGAATAAAATAGAGCTTTTATTCATATTTTGCTGTTACAGTTAAATGTTTCTGGATCAGTAAAATTAAATTTGATAATAAATTTTGTATAAATTTTATCCTTTGATAACATGCTGTTAGTTTCTATATAATTTTTTTTTTTGCATAATTTACTTAAGCCATTTTTAATTCGCTTAAGCAATTCAAAATTTGCTTAAGCGAATTTGAACATAAGGGTCATGTTCCTTCCACAATATGAGAGGATCCGAATCCTTGTTTTTTACTATGAAGAGAATTTTTCTTTCTTAAAAAATTATTACTTAAGATTTTTTAAAATTTCATATATATATATATATATATAATATTAATTAAGAATTCATATTCTAATACTTTCACGGTAAAAATGACATATTTAAAACAAATGACCCGACAAAAATTAGACTTAAATTATTTAGGCAAAACATGTAATTAATATCTAATCTTACATAATAGAAAAAGGAAAATAGAGTGTAAAAGAATGGTTTTCCATTATATAAAAATAGGTTTAAAAGGGAAATAAACGTAAAAGAAATAACAAATAAGTAAGAGTCAAACAAAATTATTTTATTGAACATTTAAAGGCAATTAAAATTCACTAAAATACCAAAGTATTTTTTAAAGATTAAAAGTTAATTTTTTAATTAAAATGCAAGTAAATATTTTTTTAAGAAAAAGTAACGTACGGACGAGGAAAAGTTGACAGCGGAAAAGTTTTATATTATTGGCTGCAGACAATCCAATTGAATATTGGAACAATACCCGTTGAAACAAAATCCAACCATTTATGTCTTCTTCTTCCACACCCTCTTCCCACCGTCGCCGTCGGTGAAACCTTATTTCAGCGATGATGGGTACGATAAAGATTCTCACTATCCTCCAACTGTGTCTCTTTCTCTTAGTCCCTCCCACGCTTTCGCTGGACTTCATATTCAACTCATTCACCGCCATCACTAACCTCACTCTCATCAAAGACGCACGCATCGACGCCTCTGTCATACGCATCACCAACGACTCCAACCAATACTCTTATGGCCGAGCCTTCTACCCGACAAAGATTCCCATGAAACCCTTCCCCAATTCCTCAACCATTTCCTCATTCTCCACCTCCTTCGTCTTCTCCATCTTGCCACAGATCCCCACCAGCCCAGGCTTCGGTCTCGCCTTTCTCCTCTGCAACACCACTTCCCCTCCCGGTGCTCTCGCCAGCCAGTACTTTGGCCTGTTCACCAACGAAACCTCTCCCTCCCCTTTCCCTCTCATCGCCGTCGAATTCGACACCGGACAGAATCCCGAGTTCAACGACATCGACGACAATCACATCGGCATCGATCTCAACAACATCGTTTCCGTGTTCTCAACCCCTGCAGGATACTACAATTCCAGCGCCGCCTTTGTCCCCCTTCGCATGCGCACTGGTCAAAACATCCACGCTTGGATCGATTTCAACAGCGAGAGTTTCCAGATTAACGTCACCGTCGCGCCGATCGGCGTTCCGCGCCCCACGAAGCCCACGCTTTCATATAGAGATCCCACCATAGCTAACTACGTTTCTGCTGATATGTACGTTGGGTTCTCCGCTTCTAAAACGAACTGGATCGAGGCACAGAGAGTTCTGGCATGGAGCTTCAGCGATTCAGGGCCAGCAAGGGACCTTAACACCACGAATTTGCCAGTTTTCGAACCAGAATCATCTTCTTCCTCGCTTTCTGCTGGGGCAATAGCAGGGATTGTGGTGGGTTGTTTTGCGTTTGTGGTGATTTGTACATGTGGGGTTTACTTATGGTGGAGAAACAAAAAAGCTAAAGAGGAAGAAGACGACGAGATCGAAGATTGGGAGCTAGAGTACTGGCCACACAGGTTTTCATACGAGGAACTGAGCGTGGCAACAGGGGAGTTTGGGAAGGAGCAGTTGTTAGGTTCTGGAGGGTTCGGAAGAGTTTACAGAGGAACACTATCGAAGAACGCGCAAGTTGCGGTGAAGTGCGTGAACCACGATTCGAAACAAGGGTTGCGAGAGTTCATGGCGGAGATATCGAGCATGGGGAGGTTGCAGCACAAGAACTTGGTTCAAATGCGAGGGTGGTGTAGAAAAGGTAACGAGCTTATGTTGGTTTATGATTACATGCCTAATGGAAGCCTCAACAAATGGGTGTTCGATAAACCGGAGAAGCTTCTGGGGTGGGAGCAACGGCGTCGTATCCTTGTCGACGTGGCAGAGGGGCTTAACTACCTTCATCACGGTTGGGACCAGGTTGTTATTCATAGGGATGTGAAATCTAGTAACATATTGTTGGACGCCGACATGCGAGGAAGACTAGGGGACTTTGGTTTGGCCAAGCTTTACCAACACGGGGAGGTTCCCAACACCACGCGCGTAGTTGGCACGTTGGGGTATTTGGCGCCGGAGTTGGCTACGGTTGCCGCGCCTACGTCGGCGAGTGACGTGTACAGTTTTGGGGTGGTGTTGTTGGAGGTGGCGTGCGGGAGGAGGCCCATAGAGACGTCGGTGCCGGAGGAGGAGGTGGTGCTTATTGATTGGGTGAGGGAGTTGTACGCGAAGGGGTGTGCGTGTGAGGCTGCGGATGCTAGGATTATGGGTGAGTATGATGTGGGGGACATGGAGATGGTGTTGAAGCTTGGGTTGGCTTGTTGCCACCCTGACCCTCAGAGGAGACCCACCATGAAGGAAGTTGTTGCTCTTCTCCTCGGAGAGGACCTCCCGGAGGCACCCCGGAAGGTGCTTTCTGATTTGGTTCGCGACGGAGATGACACCCCCGGCGGCGGGGACTTGGATGAGGCGGCGCCTTTGCAACCCTCCACTCTGGTTTGAGTTTCACTGTGCATAAGTGGACTGTTTTTTTTTTTTTTCTTTTTTTTTTGTGTGATTGGAATTTGCTAGATAGTGGTTTGTTTGTGAAGAGATTGACCTGTATTTTTTTCTTTGTTTCGTTTTATATTATTGGATTAATTCCACTTCAATCAAAGTCCCATGTAACTCTACTCTCTAGGGTGCATTGTATTCTAACTGATGAAAGCAAAATTAGTTAATAATTTTAGTCAACAAGTGACTTTCATGTTCTTAGACACGCCACTTGCGTATAAAAGCATGACTTGCTTGCTTTCCTCTATGGGTCATTGCCTTTATGGCTTTGTCTAGATGAATGGATCTGTGTTCTGCATGCGTGGAAGTAGCTTGAAGTAGATATGAAAATGACGATACGCATGTGCGCATTGCACTGGTGTCGTGATCTGCACGCATGCTGGGAAATTTCCGATCCCTAAAAGGAGATTATTTGTAGATGGTAAACTTGAAAACCACATCCAAAGCTAAAAAGTGGAAGGTATTTTGATTGCAGTCTTTATGTACATTCACATGTGAACATTTGTAAGAGACAACATCAAAACTACAGGTGATGTTTTCTAATGAAAATACACGTGTAGCAAACTATTACACGTTTTATCTTCTCATTGATGAACCGTTATACTTACTGTATTTTTATAGAAGTAGAACTGTTCCAAGTCTTCTCCTTTTGATTATTACATTCTAATATCAAATGATATATATATCCATGGACACTCGGAAAGCTTGCTGAAATCCTTGACTTGATAGACCACACAAAGCATAACCATGCTTAGACTACTATAGCGTGAAGTTGAGAGTATGGAAAGTGAAGGAGGGTTCTGTTCTCTTTGCACCAAACTTGAAACACTCGGATTCTTGATGGCATGCGGACGCCACAGATTCCTTCATGCTTTCAGGTCCACAAACCAAAACTCCAATATTAGATCCACAGCTTTCAATCCGGACCTTTCCAAATATATCTGTTCAATTCGAAGGTGTCAACAGGTTAGTCAATATGTATTAGAAACATTAGGAAATAAACGATGAGATCACTACCTTTAAAGTTAGGCCTTCCCCCAAAATGGACTTCATGTTCTTCAAGAGCATTCCTAGCTTCAGCTGAATTTAGATCAAGGGGTTTAATATCTTTATACGATATTGGTGAAATACCTTTCTTCAGCCTTCTCCATCTCAACATAGCTGCCATCAAGGTGCTGCATCCTAAAGCTAGAACAAAAGCAGCTATCAGAAGAAGATTCATAACCCAAGAGGGGGTCTTTTCTTTGGACAGTTTGGAGCGCTTTCCAGACGGAATTACAATATGGTTGAAACAAATAAGAAAAATAAGGAAAATGATGGAACAAAACCCTGCAATGGCGGCCATCCAAGTTGAACTTTCGGGCCCGTATGCTGCATAGTTTGAACACACACTTTTCACTTGTAGGGTTCTTACTGCAAAGAACTCGTTTAGTAGCTCCCTAATTCCCACCCCTGCCTGTGTTTCTTGGGTTACAAATAACTTTAGATTCAAATTAAAATTTTCTGATTGCTTGAGTAATAGATGTGAGATTGAATGTAACAGACAAAAGTCTTGTGTCTTCTTAACGACATATACAAGTTGTATTCTCGACGGAAATCTACTTTTGCTGGTAGCTGAATCGACTTCTACCAAAATGCTCAGAAATGGGGTTATTCCACTTCCTCCGGCAACCAGAAGTAGAGTGTCATATCTGCAAGAAATTTTTTTTTTCTTTATTATTCCGGATGATCTTATATAGACCGTGAAAAACCAACCAATGACAGGTGACAAATTAGGAATTATGATAACAACTCAATTAAATATATTAGGTACAAAGTTTTTGCTCACCTTAAGAAGTCTAATGAAGCAGGTCCATAAGGTCCTTCGATTGCAACATGTATTCCCTTCCTTTTATCTTCACCTTTATCCAATTCATCATGTATCAGGTCATAAAGAGAATTTGTCCACCACCCTTCACATTTAATTATCACAGACATAATGTGCTCATCAGCCCTGGAACTAGATATTATGCTGAAAGAATGCCATTGAAGATGAGATATGGTTGGTATCTTCAGAAATACAACACTTGTAGGGGTATATGTCAGCCCTGCAAATGGTTAAAAACAAACCATTTAAATTGCAATTTCAACCCTATCTTCTCAATTCTAAGAATCAATTTCAGATTGCTGTAAATAAACTAAATACTTGGATCTTTGGGAAGAATTAACTCCACGGCTTTGCAGGGGAAAATTCTAGCCGAAACCATGCAAGTTTTTGGATTTGATTGTATGATTCGGAGCAGTTTGTCGAGGCTAAAAAGGAATATTCCTGGGAAGACTGTATAGAAGTGCCTATCCCCAGCATGAAACAAGAAAAATACTAGAAAAACTGTATACAAATGATGTGTGTAGTAGAAGATTTCAAACTTTCTCCTCCTAATTTGGGGAAGTGAAGTGACCCATATAACTAGCCCGACAGTAAGTGTAATCTCCCCAGCAAGGTATATACGTCCTGTATTTTGCCATTTCCAAATCTGTTTGAAAAATATGGAGAGAACAATCACATACTACTACTACAAGTATTTATATTCAATAAATATTGAAAAATTTGGCTTATAAAGAAAGTGCTTCCAAATTAAAACAAACTGAAACCTCATGCTGTATATGGTGGCTGACCCCCCAGACCAACAAAGTGCTTGCGCCATGTATTGTAGCAAAAAGTATCATTGCAGTTCCGACCCATGTATGATATCTAACTGAAGCTTCAAATTGAATGCCAAGTATGCGAAACACAGCCAGTCCTCTTAATATAGGAAGGAGCAGCAAAGCCAGGCAAGCTTCTGCTAGCAAGCCAAACCGGGTTGCTATTCTCAGATACTTCAGTTGCCATCTGAAATCAAGTTATTCATTTGGTGAAACAACAGCTTTTTCTACTAATCCAACTTAAGAGTATCAAGAACACTCACATGTTCAACTTCAGGGATTTGTCTGGGATCAACTTTTTGAAGTCATAAGAAATACGAGAGTAATAGGTCCATGCTAAGAAGATGAGAAAAAGTGAAGTTACCAGTATTTCAATACTGGATAAGATTCCTAATATACTGTTCACCACATGTGGATTGTAGAAGATATTTGATGAACTCCTTGCATTTCTGTAATATCAAGGAAACAAATTCTGAAGTGAAACCTCCATTAAAGTAATTGAACAACACTTGATATTACCTGCTTCTTTGATATCTAGCTTTCAAATCCAAGAAAAGAAGTCCAATTATTGCAATAGCAACTATAGGAAACGTATACACAGCAAAGCTAAGACCTGCAAAAAACCTTCTACAGTATCACCCATCGTTTTACTTCTAATTAACATCTGACTGAAATTCTTTGAATTTGAAGAGTTGTTTTACAGTAACAGATTCATTCAAGAGAAACAAGAATGGATAATTAATGGTATGACCCATTGAAGTTGAGATTCCAGGTGTGTACCATAGTATCCAAAAATTGTAGTATTGGCGCTATCTTCTGCATGCTTCCATTTTCTAGTCCATATTTGGGTTGGCTTCAGAAGCCAAAGAGAAATCCAACCTGCGCATATAACAATAATCAGCAGTTTTAGAGTAGCAAGTAAAGTGGTGCTTGCCATGCCTCACTTGGTTTTCCACGGCCACAGGCTTTTCTTTTTCACTACATATGATATGATATGATATGCCATAGAGTCCATATATAAAGGAATATTAATGTACAGATTGGTTGCCATTTTGGAGGTAAGAATGTTAAATTTAGTCCCGCCACTTCCTTTGTGCTTGTCAGTCTGTCATTTATAAAGCATTTTCTATAGTAATTTAGCAAACTGAAACGATGGTTGAACGAGTATGTCCACAATTTGTTTCAATGTTTTCATCATTTTCAGATTAATTTAATTCCCAATTAGCGGTTGATGTTTTGGGGTATGGTGTGATTAAGCATTTAGGACATGACGACACTGTGGTAGACCATTATTTACATCATACTTTTTCACCTAATTGTGTTACCTTAACAAAGTGAGGTGGCAGCTCTATGTTACAATCATCCATTTTTCTTCTTTGAAAGGTCCCTCCATCCGAATCAGATAGTGGGATTCTGGTCCCTCCCACGAATGCTTTGCCTCTATCCCATTCAATACAGCATCCATCAAGTAATGAAACCCCCAAGCCATGTTAGCTTGAAGCATAATACTTCCAAGATCAAAATAATTACAGCATCGTGTGGTATTTGTATAAGACGTTGCTTTATGGGTATTTTTTAATACTCTTAATTATTATTATATTAATATATCTGAAATTGTTATAATAACAATAATTATATTTCATCATGGTGGTTAAAATTATTTAGTAATTATTTATGATTACTAGATTTTAAGAATTATATAATTATTTAGATTATGTGACTTTTTAATATAATTTTAAAAAAAAAATTATTTGTTATTTTTAATCAATATTCTTAGAATAGTTACTTACAAAAATTATAATTATAAATTTAACGATTAGTTTAATGACGAAGGTTTGAATTTTATCATTTTTGGGCTAATTGTGACTATATTACATAATTTACATTAAACTTCTTATACAAATCGTGTTATTCACAGTAACAAAGTTATTCACATTATCGTATTTTTCTCGTACGACAGACTGCTCCTCCTAATCAGCATACAAATAATCTTTGCCACATTATTTGTTTTTTTTTATCTCAACTGTTTATATTTTAATTTTTTTCTAAATTACATATGCTTATAATTTTAACTTACTCAATAAAAAAATCATTTTATTAAAAATTATTCTTTTTATCAAATTTCAGCTATTTTGCTCATATATATTAAATTAAAATATATTATGTTCAGAGTGACTTAATATGTTTCTCTCTTTTTTAAAAATAAAAAATATTATTCATAATTTCTATTTTTTAATTAGAATTCAAATCCTTTTGGGCTGATCTAAACTCGGAAACTAACATGTATTTAGCAAACAGTGGAACTACAAGGAGTAATTGAATAAGATAATTTAGGGTAATTCATCTATTTCGCCGCATCGATTTTAAAGAGGAAACTTATCCATTTAACTTTAGTATTTTTATTTTATCAATAATTTTTGTGTATTTCTAAATAAAAATTAACTTTATTTTTATCAATTTTACCAAATGTGTTATATTTTATCAAGTTTTGTGAAAAATACACTTAATTCATGATTTAGGTAAGTTTGAGCGAGTTTATAAATATTTTTTTTATAAAAGAAAAAAAAATATAAAAATGAGTAAAACTTCTTTAATAAGTTAAAAAATTTATCTTTTTAAGTTTAAGATAAATTACATAAAAATAACTTTAAAAAAATAAAAAAAGTATAAACTAATTTTAATTTATTTAATATATATATATATATATATATATATTACTTTTATAAGTACTCGTAGATAAGTTTACTTCGACTGGACTTTAATGGATGAAAATATGAGGAATTATTACTCGTTTTACATAATGAAGTTATAAAAATTTTAGATATTTTTCTCTGCGTGTTTGCTTCAGCTGGTACATTGGTGTGTCATGGCATAACTAATGGTGAGTACTCAATTAGGAGAGGTTATAATTTGTTATGCAAAGAAACCAATGTACAGAATAACATCAACTTTAGCAAACATCGGCAAATTTGTAAAAGGTTGAAACTGTTCCAAGATATGTTGAACTGGTGTGGTGTGCGAAGAAAAATGTTCTTCCAGTAATACCAATTTTAAGCACCACATTTGTGTTTTACTCTACTAAATTTAAACTTAGTCCTATTTATTCACAACATTTCAAATTTGTTGCATCTCCACAGGTCTTTTCAAATACATCCAAAGGTTGTTATTTCAGATGATGTGCTAAGAGTCGTTGTTGCTGGAATGAAAACACCTAATTAAAAGAAAACAATGTCATTATTATATATCCTCTAACTGTCAAACAGACAGCTTAAGGCGCTTAGGGATTTTAGCATTGACATCAACGAAAGGTTATTACATTGCTGGCAGTATAAACAATTCCCCATTTAGTTTCTTCTTTTCAAATAACATGCTGGAAAGTTCTGCTAGACAATTTGGTATGTTGTCTTTTTCTGCAAAAATTCTGGTCATAAAGGGTACGTAAAAAACAATGTCAAACTTCAGGAAAGCAGGCATTAAACCAAGCACCCACATGATCATAGTATAAAAAATTAGAGTGACAAATTTTCTAATGTACTCTTTTAATATATTTTTAATTATTAATTAAAAATTATTAAAGTACAGAGAATCATTAAATTAGGAGTGTGAATTATTAAATTAAAATTGTAACCCATAAATTTTATGATTTTTAATAAATTTTAATAATAATTAAGATTGATCAAAAAGATTGTTTTACTGATATTGAATGCAAGGCTTTGATTCCTTTGATACCCAAAGGTTTGAAGAAACTAGGCTTGATTTCCTGAATACAAGGAAATCAATACTTCCCTTTTAGAATTGAGAGATCCATAGCCAAAAATGATAAATACCAAAACGACACTCTTTGCTACCAAAAATTGAAGGCAAAAGAGGGGGTGAGCATAGAGTGACACATCCAATGAGCTGCTCATACTGACAAAAGAGTTCCCACAGAAAATATGCACGTAAACTGACAAAAGAGAATCTCTTTTTCTTTACTTAGTTTAAGGCTTCGATGGCAACGAAGCCTTCATGTAACTCCAATAGAATCAACCAATTCATTCTCTTTCTATCCCTACCTTCATTGGTAATGTGAGGAAGGAGACACAAAGTGGCAGAGATATGGAAGATAAAGATCGCACCCCAACACAAGCAAAGGACTATTATTCTGGATCAATATGGTGGTCACAAACTGCACAGGCATTTGAGGATCTCAAGAGAAGTGACATAAATGGAGTTAATGGGATTTTTACTGCTGGCAGAGATTGCTACAGCTATAACTCACAAGAAATAGTGACTCCTGAAATTTCTGAAACATTTGGAGAAAACAAAGGTTTAAATAGGACAGGTAATGGAGTTCATGATATCTCTGAGGCTAGTGGTGAAGAATACAGGGAGTATGGCCTTTCTAGACTTAAATTAACAACAGAAATTGTGGAAATAGTTGAGGATGGCATAAGCATAACAAGCAACAAAGATAGAAGAGTTGATGACCTTTATGTGGCTGTTGGCAAAGATGACTTTGATGTTGTGAAATGGGCTCTTGATCATGCTGTTTCTCCCGGTGCCCGGATTTTTCTTATCCATGTCTCTTCTCCAATTACATTCATTCCTACGCCAGGTAACATAACACCTAACCTTACTTATCTTTTCACTCTCCTTTCTATAGAAAGAGTTTTCCATTTTGAGTTTTGGTAAATTAGTCCTGAATCACAATAAACAGATTTCTATCCTTAAAATACTTACTACAAATTTCTTATGTTCAGTCCGATAAATTTAGAATGATATGCCTTTGGAGAGAATTTAAAAAGTTCCGTTTTGTTCTTAACTTTTTGTTATTATCATTTATAATTCTTCCCATACTTAATTTATATGTTAAATATCCTTTATTATTGATGTCAAATTCTCCGTAATCCTAAACTTTTCCATCAAACACATCTTGAAGGAATTCTCAATTTTGTTATATCAACATCATACTAATTATGTAACACTATATATAATTATTTGACCCTCTTTTACTTTTTATTTTTTATTTATGTATTTCTAAATTACTTCTCAAAATCAAAGGGGGCAACTTTCGGTTGTTGATAAAACATCTTCCAAAAATTACAGCAGGGTCTACAAAGAATACATCTTCACTGCTGAATTTCAACTAAAACGATAAGTGGTCGCTAATATTGATATATATATATATATCTGATAGTTGGGAAGTTAGAAAGAAGACAAATGAGCTCGCCCCAAGTGAGACTTTACGTGAATGAAGTGAATAACAAGAGGAAGGATCTCTTGCAGAAGTACATCCAGCAGAGTACAGAAGCCAAGGTACCGGTTGATTACTTAATGATAAAATATCTATGGACCACAAAGCATATGCTAAAATCAAACCAAGTCTTTTGATTTCCGCTTCTTTTGTGACCCCATTTTCCTCTCCCAGGTAGCAGCAGAAACGTTGCTTCTTGAGAGCAATGACACAGGAAAAGCCATTCTGGATCTCATCTCTATTCTTAACATAACCAACCTTGTCATGGGAATGAAAAAGCCCTTCACAAGGTAGGCTATTACTAGTTGGGATTTTTGTTCACCCTCTATTTTGTTATCTTAATTACGTATTTGAACAGGCGCAATAACAAATTGAGCAAAGGAGAGTTCGTAAAAAAAAATGCACCCATTTCCTGTGAAGTTACATTGGTTTATGATGGCAAGGTGTTTGTGTCTGACCGTTACATGGATGGCTTGGTATCCTACGGCTTAGTAGCACACAGTAAAAGTCACTCTAAAACCAGCTTCTTTCAGTGTACGTGCTTTTCAGGCAAGTTCAGTTAACTAACTTAGCTCAGTAAGTACTTCTGCGACAGTAATGAGATATCTACTCTTTATTCATTTTAATAAATTAAATATTTATTTCTTATAAATAGAATTTGGAGCTATTTATGTTGAAATCTCTAAACTTGAAATAAAATATATTAAATATGTGCTTCTCAGTTAGTTGGTCCCTTTTCTTTTCATCCATCTCTTAGTTGGACTCAAATTAGAAAGATTATAATTAAGGAGTGCAAACAAATTGAAGCATGCCTGATTTGTAAGATTTTGAAAAAAATATGAAGTTGGTAAAATGAACGAGTTACCATCATAGTCATCATATCATTTTTTAACTTCACACTTTTTTTAATCCTTTTTTTTAATCTCGAAATTTGTATGAAAATGTCTATAATTTCCTTTACTGTCTTCGCAGGTAAAACTAAAATCCTTTTTATGTCTATGTATAGGATCATATTCATATTTAGTTTGAAACTATGGAGTAGATTACCATATTAATCTATTAAAAATATAACCTCCATTATACTACTTATTAAATGTTAAAAATGCACTCATAGTCCTCAAAGATACCAAATCAATCCTTACATATACACCAGGATTATTAGAAATACACTTTCACTTTTAATATAAAATTTTAACGTACTTTTGATAAATATATTATACCGGTTATAATAACTCCAATGTTTGTGATGGGAAAATAAATTTAATTATAAAAACACAATTTTAAGAGTCTCAAGCGTAATACATACTGTTAATGGATTGACATGAGCATAATTATGGGTTAAGTTTTTAGTATTTGACTCTGTCCCTTCTCTTCTTCACAGGGTGCGTTAGAAGAGACAAGGAAAACTAATAAATTCCATGCACTTGCAAAAGTGAGTCCTGAGGGTCGAGTACTCAGTTGTTCATGGAACGTACTGGTTTGCTGAATGAAGCAAAAGCATGTTTAAACTTCAAATTTTGAGGATGTTGATTGGGATCGCCAACTACAAGATAGCAAACGTAGGATATTAGTTTCCTAGACTCGTAGAAAACTCATGCACATCATATTTTTAATTTTTGGGAATAAATTTATCGTTGAAGCCCCAGTGAAATAGATATATGGGAAGTTCTGTTTTGAAAGATGTTAGCTACACAATGTTATATTCTTTAATTATGTACACTACCAAACAAATTTATTATGGCTTATCATTAAATTTGTCTTTATTTATATAAATTTCGTTTGATAGAAATTAAATAATTAATATAAATATTGCAAGTTTGTATTATTAGGGTGATGCGAATAACCTTATTTGAGGAGAAATACTTAACCTAAACCAATAACCTATTAGTATATATATATATAGCAAGAGCAAAGCTGAGTCAAGGGAAAAGCTGTGTACATACTTTAGGCCATTTTTTTTTTTTCAAGGCCATAAATTTTTCAACCAAAATATGTTTAATGATTTTGTCTGTAAAATTAAAAATATTACTGACAAGTGCTATTCTATTTTTATAAAAAAAAATAATTATGAATTATTAATTGATAAACAGTGATTAGAAACAAGTTTCTTTATTAAAATATATAAAATTTCCACCTTATTATAAATTTTCTTCATATGAAATAAACCCTTCATTTTTATTTAAAAAAAAGGAATTCTATAATTATCTTATAATTCGCCAAGGACGGGTCTAGGGAAAACGAGTTTTGATTTTGACAAGAATATTATTATTATTATTATTATATTTGTGCACAGGCACGGCGCGTGAGACGGTGGCGGTGGTGATATTGGGAGACGCAGCGGGGAGAAAGAACAACAGTAGAACGCGTTAAAAGCAACTTGCTCCAAATTGCAAATACCATTCCAGTAGTAAATAGCGTGGCCATTCCACCTTGCTCCTCTTCTTATTTTCTTCCCCAACCCAAACTGTTATTTTTCGGAAACCCTAGTTTCCTGCAAGATGAACCCCTACGATAACAGATATTCCAACGCCACTTCTTTTCGTGACCGTCGCAGGTATGTTACTTCACTTTCATATTATTAATTATTGTTGTTATTTTCCCGTTTACTATAAAAACAAACACGTTTTTGTCGTTGTAGTGATCTGATTGGATCTATGCCGCCGCGGCCTGTGGTGGGGCGCGGGGGTCCGACTCCCTACGGTGTTCCTTACGGTGCCCCTGGACCCAATTTTGGATCCGCACCCGTTGCCCCGATTCCACCCTTTGTGCCTCCTCCTGGGGGCTTTAACGTAGGCCGAGGCGGTGGTTTTGGTGGTAGAGTGGGCAATGGTCACGTGAGTGATAGAAAGCATGACATAGGTCGCCATCATGGAGGTGGTGGAAGAGGTGGCGGTGGTGGAAGAGGTCGTGGCGGTGGTAGAGCTGGAGCTCACGGTTTTAGGGCCTCGGGGAGAGGAGGTAGACATGGTAGTGGATCTTCTAGGGATGATTTGGACAACATTGCACTCCCCAAGCAAGATTTTAGGAATTTGGTCCCTTTTGAGAAGAATTTCTACGTTGAGAGCCCTTCCGTAAGGGCTATGTCTGATCATGAAGTTATGCATTACCGTGCCAGTAGAGATATCACCGTGCAAGGGCATGATGTGCCAAAACCTGTTCGGATGTTTCACGATGCAAATTTTCCTGGTACTTTACTTGTTTATGCTTATGCCCCTGTGCTTGTTGATGTCTGTCTCTTGCGTCCTTTGTCTGATTGTATGATTTGTTTCCATGTCAGATTATTGTCTTGAAGTCATTGCCAATTTGGGTTTTGTTGAGCCCACTCCAATTCAGGCTCAGGGTTGGCCCATGGCTCTAAAGGGTAGAGATTTAATTGGCATTGCTGAGACTGGCTCGGGTAAAACTTTGGCATATCTGCTTCCTGCTTTAGTGCATGTCAATGCCCAACCTCGATTAGGTACGCATCAGATTCCCTGCTTAAGCTGCCAAAGGTGGGTTCCATTTCATCTTGGTATGATGGATGTTTTTGCTGGTTTTTCAGTACAAGGTGAAGGTCCCATTGTCTTAATTTTAGCACCAACTAGAGAGTTAGCTGTTCAAATTCAAGTAGAAGCTCTGAAATTTGGGTCACGAGCTAATATTAGAAGTACGTGCATCTATGGTGGTGCACCAAAGGGGCCTCAAATCCGTGACCTTCAAAGAGGTACCTCTTTTTTACAAAACTTAAGTTCTTTCTTTGCCTGTACATAAATGAATGATCTTTTTTATGGAGGTCAAAATGGTGGAATAACATGAACACCTTAACTTTTGGGACTTGGCAGGTGTTCAGATTGTTATTGCTACACCTGGTCGTCTAATAGATATGTTGGAAGCTCAGCACACAAACCTGCAGAGAGTGACTTACCTTGTATTGGATGAAGCTGATCGAATGTTAGACATGGGTTTTGAACCTCAGATACGGAAAATTGTAGGCCAGGTATTGTATGCAACTAACCTCTATCTAATAAGTAGTGGGGAGAAAAATACTCGAATCTGTTTCATGTGTATGCCCTATTGCTACACAGTACACACCAGAAAATAATGAAATTGGAAATCATACATATGCAAGCATGGATGTTCAAGAGTAGTTCAGGTTTTCAAGGGATGCGCTCCTGTATACATATTATTTAATGCAATTTTCATACTATGTTTGAAGTTTCTTTTTATTTCAGTTAAGATGGTAATTTTAGAAACAATCTTTGCTAGGATAGTAATAGACATGTGGCATACCCTAGTTCTTATTCTAGATTACTTCATGTTTGGAGGTCAAAATCATGGTGGTTCCCCAACATGGTTGAGAAAGAACTTTCTTCTACCTCTATGTCAGTGTAGTTGCCGTCAACCCCACCCCCTAAAGTCTCCTTATGCATTAGTGGAAGTACATTTAAATCTAGTATACTCATTTTAATCTAATTGGCTTGCAAGTATTCATGAACTACTGATACATACTCTTGTATTATGTTGAATCTCTTAGCTTTAGAGATCGGCTGTAGTCAGTTACAATGGCTATTTGATATATAACAGATTCGACCAGATAGGCAGACGTTATATTGGAGTGCTACGTGGCCAAGGGAGGTTGAAACTCTTGCAAGGCAGTTTCTGCGCAACCCGTATAAGGTTATGCAATAGTGTTTCTGGTTCTTATGTTTACTATCATTGATGCATATCTATATTTCTACTTTGTTTTTTTTTTTTTAATAAAAAATTGTGTTATGAATTAACTTTTTTATTTAGTGCAATGAATTAATATTAAACTTCATTTAGGTGATATACTGATGAGTTTGTTTCCTGTGGGTTATCATCATCTTATAGGTAATTATTGGGTCACCAGATCTGAAAGCTAATCAATCCATAAATCAAGTTGTTGAAGTTCTAACTGACATGGAGAAATACAATAGGTTTGTATCTTCACTGGTAATAGAAAGTGACCAATGATTTTGCTTACGGATTTAACACCTTAGCTTTCTGAATGCAGATTGATCAGACTTCTAAAAGAAGCAATGGATGGGAGCCGAATTCTAATATTTATGGAGACAAAAAAGGGATGTGACCAAGTTACTAGACAATTGAGAATGGATGGATGGCCAGCACTATCCATCCATGGTGATAAAAACCAGGCTGAAAGGGATTGGGTCTTGGCTGAATTTAAAAGTGGCAGAAGTCCAATAATGACTGCCACTGATGTTGCTGCACGTGGTCTTGGTAGGATCACTGTGTGTTTAGAAACCTAGGATTTTTGGTTTAGGTCTAAAACTTTAACCATAGGCGAGTCAGCCGGCTGCTGTCCAGTTCCCCTTGATATAATTTGTGGTTTGGGTGTGTGTGGGGCCATATTTTCAGTATGTTGGAACTGCCTGTAACTTGACCAAAGGATTAATGAGTTGCATTCAAACTTCAAAGATGACATTGTTTTGCTGCAGTCACTAGACTTGCTACTGTAAATTTGGGAACCATCTTTTTTAGAGATGTCAAGTTATATGGATGCCCGGGGGCAGAGTTCCTTGATAGCCTGGATGTTGGCTATAATTTATTAGGTAATATATCATGTGATATGCAGTAAATTTCGTAGGTTGGTTTAATTCGGGGCATTTTACATGATTGGCAAAACAAGGTTAGTTATCAAAATTTGCTAGTCTTGCCTGAAATGATACAAGTTGTACAACAGTCATCCACTTTTTAAGAAACATAGTTGAATTGATTGATCCCCATCCATCCACAGTTATGGAGCTGGTCGTCTTTGCAGCCGGGTTGACTCATACATGCTTAGTCAATAATTGGATGTGGTAGATGGCAGTGATGGTGAAGCTGCTCCTTATCCCTGGAAGGTTAAGGTGGGCACATTGATGCAATGAATGTGTTTCTTGAGTTTGATCTCTAGAATCTTACGGGGCAGGGATAAGGATTTTTGCAGTTTTCTCCATATTTCAAGTCTTGTACTTAATTCCTTATAATGTTTTACTTTGTTGCTTGTAGATGTGAAAGACATTAAATGTGTGATCAATTATGATTTTCCATCAAGCTTGGAAGATTATGTCCACAGAATTGGCCGAACTGGTCGTGCAGGGGCTAAAGGAACTGCATACACATTTTTCACACATGCCAATGCCAAGTTTGCTAGGGATCTGATTAAGATTTTACAAGATGCCGGTCAGGCTGTGAGTCCTTCACTGTCTGCATTGGTTCGGTCAGCTGGTTCTGGTCAATTCGGTAATTCAATTTCTCTTTGACACTGAAGTCTGGGGTTTCTATTGAGATGATCTGTAAATTGTTCATGTCGCTTTGTAGGATCTGGAGGAAATTTTCGCTCAAGGGGACGAGGAAGCTATGGTAATCGGGGTTTAATATCAGGATCCAATGCCATCCCTCTAGGTTCCAAGAGGCCTTGGCAGTGTCTGTAGTTGATGCTGCCTTGGGCAATTTCTGTGAGAGGGGTTTAGGATACATATGCCAGCGTTACATTTGAAACAACACATTCATTGTTAACCTTCAGGACCAAAAACAATTTTACAGTGACTATAGTCAAGTCATGCGTTGTAAATGATTGATACGTGTATTGAATTAGTTGGAATGAACCACTGGGCCTACTAATAACAACTACTTCGTCGACCATTCGTGTTTTGATTATATTTCACCGTTAGCAATTCAATGAGTTAATCCAATCGATATATGTATTAACAGGTAGCCGAAGCAGGATCATACCAAATACAAATATGGGTTAGGCATGGTCTGACTTTATTAGTATGCTGCAAAGGTCCCTTTTCTTATTTGTTGAGATAACACTGCCTTTAGGATTTGGATTGGGTAAATGCAGGGTTAGTGAGTTCCGGCGTGTTTGGTTAGTATTCGTAAATTAGATTATTAGTGTGTTTGTAATGACTTATATTTGATTATATTTATTTTTAAAGTGATTTTTAAGAAATGCAAGGTTTTAAAAATCAAAGTGGACTATAAAATGGTCAAGTTACTAGTCTAAATAACTTAAGAAATTGAAGGAGTAGAAATTAGTCAAATTTGAGTACGAAATGTTGTCAGTGAATTGACTTTGATTAAGTTTAAGAATATTAAAATTTTAAATTTAAGGTTTATTTACAAAATGAAGGTTTATATATAAAACGTACAATGTTAAATTTTAGTTAATTTAAAAAATCACTTAATTTTTATATTAAATTATTATTAACAAGTAATTTTATCGATTCAGTTATCAATCTTCTTTTTAAAATATTAATAAAATAAGAATTGTTTAAATTATATTAATTATAATAATTTTAGATATATAAGTTTTTAAAAGGACACAGTTTATAATATATTGTTGGGTGATTTTTATAAGATCATTTTTTTATGATTACTTTTAAATGTAAAAGTATACATGATATTAAGTTTTTAATTATTTATAATTTTAAAATAATGTCACTAACGAATATCTATTAAGATAAAATTTAATTGATTAATTTTTTTATTCTTAATTTTTCAAAATACATTATTTTTTCATTTGGCTTCTTTTTTATAAAGAGATGTATTTTGTTTGAAATTTTTTCCTTTTTATACTTTTTATGTCAAGCTTTTAAGTTTTTTTAATATTTCGGATTTTTTTTGTTTGATCTTATTTTTATAGAAAAAATAAACAAAAGTTTAATAAATGTACTGTGCAGTTTTAACTTTTTTGCAACAATATCACTTTTTTAAAATGAGATATTAAATAAAAATAATGATATTTTGAGGGAAATAAAAGCATAATTTATCGAATACATTCAGTATTAATTCAAATAAACAATCTTTTAAAAATGAATGAAATAAATAAAATAAATACGATAAAATAAAATAAACAGTGAGGTTACTAAGGTTAGGGCACAGGGGCAAATCAGTAAAATCAACACCAATCCCTTCGCTTATAATTCGCCCAAAACCCTAATTTGTTGCTGCTGGCAGCTCCGTGAGATAGACGAAGAGCAAAGAATCAGAGACAATGACGACAAGGTTCAAGAAGAACAGGAAGAAGAGAGGTCACGTGAGCGCCGGTCACGGTCGTATCGGGAAGCACCGGAAGCACCCTGGAGGTCGCGGTAATGCCGGAGGCATGCATCACCACCGCATCCTCTTCGACAAGTACCATCCCGGTTACTTCGGTAAGGTTGGTATGCGCTACTTCCACAAGCTCCGCAACAAGTTCTATTGCCCCATCGTCAACATCGACAAACTGTGGTCAATGGTTCCCCAAGAGGTTAAGAACAAGGCTTCCACCGACAAAGCCCCATTGATCGATGTCACACAGTTCGGTTACTTTAAGGTTTTGGGCAAAGGGGTTTTGCCACAGAATCAGCCCCTTGTCGTTAAGGCGAAGCTCGTTTCCAAGATTGCCGAGAAGAAGATCAAGGAGGCTGGTGGTGCCGTTGTCCTCACCGCTTGATTTTTAGGGTATATTTATTTTTTATTATAACTTTTTCGAGATCTTGGATTTTATCATTTGCGCCTTCTGTTTCAATCTATCTGAACTGGATTAATTGAAATAGTTTTTATGCTCATTGTTCTGGGTTGTCGTTTTTATTTTTATGTTGCTTGAGAAACTAAATTGGTGCTGTGTTTTTGTTCTTATAATTATCTGATAATTTAACTCTTGAATTGAATGTTGTTAACTTCAAATGGATGCTGTGGAGGGGTTTCGATGTTTGATATTAATTCGAATTAGGTAGTGGTTTAGATGCATTACTTAATCTTGGTTTCTCGTAATGCCTCGTATAAATGGATTTTGTTGTTGTAGGCGTTGTATTTTGTGAGTTATGATGCGAGTTTTACATGAGAAATTGAACCTTTTATTTGTTTTATTGATGCTCGTGCGCTATATATATATATTCCAATTTTCTCAAAATGACTCTAGTGCTGGAAATTCTTTGGTAAAATTGATTTGGTGTGTGGGAGATGGCTCGGGTATTAATTTTTAAGAGCTTCCTTGGGTGGCCTATTTAAGATGTCGATCGTAGTTTCAATCTATAAGGAAGATTGCCTGTGCAGGATATCTCGTCTAAACTAAAAAGAAAAAATTATTAGTCTTTGTAAGTTTGGTAAATAGGTTGCAGCATTACTTCTCAATGCCCATAGAGATTACGTCAATCCATTGCTTACCTTGCATAGGCTAGTTTTGCGATATTTGTGAGAATCTTCTGGGTGGATAGATCCCAATGATTATTTCTTAACTTGAACAGTAGCATGGGCAAATATCTCAAGGATAATTGCCTGTGCATTAGTTACTTTTAAAAGGTTTTCAACATGTTTCCAAACTCACTGAATTTTCCCTTGTAACTTAAAGCTAAAAATGTCTCTGAAAATGTGTTCCGTTGGGCATTTTGGTTCCTTCATTACCATCAATCATTTATCCTCAATGAAGTTGCTCCTGTAGCATGTTAAGTTTCCTATCGCATGCTTATGTGGTGAAAAAAATTGTCATTTTAGTTTTTGTCCAAATAATGGATCAAAGGGGAAAATAATCTTTTAATGTTGAAGTGTCTAGAAGGCAAAACTTATTTTGTTCTTATTTTGATTTAGACACTTGCTAACAAAAAAATGGATGTTCTCTTTTTTTATCCTTTGGTTTAATGGGAAGTCCACGTGGTGAAATGAGTTTCTTTTTTAAGATATTCCTTTTACTACGACACGTCTTTAAACAAAGTGAAAAATAGTAGATAAAAATGTTAATGCTTTCAAACATATTAATTCAGTGCTCGAGAGAGAGGGAGTTGTACAAATAATAGTCACGGAAGCATCTTACAAGGCATTTAACGTGACATGCAGGTCTATTAACATTAAGTAACTGATGTAAATGTGGGAATTAAAGTAATCAATGGAGTTCAATTTTGGGGATTTTTTTTTTCAGAATTAAAAAGTAGAGGATAATCAAATTACTAGAATCTTATTTTTTTAAATATATTAGCATCAATTTATTAAGCATTATTATAAATATATTAAGAGAACCAATGTTTGACCCATTTTATGCTTTTGGTACTGGAAGCATGCAAGCTTCATATATCAATACACTACCTGCATGTAAAACGACTTATTCTAATGCACTACCAAATAAAATTGTAGTAACTCCACTTATTCTACTCTTGTTGGCAACATTTTGGACACCCTATTCCACCTGCGTTCCTTTTATCTACCATGAAATTGTATTGGTCTTGGTCATTCTACACAAATTGTAAATTAGTTGAATGATAATTAATTTAATAAAAAATTTAATATTAACATATACTGAACGCATGCTCTAGAGTATGTTACCAAAATGCTGCAAGGCCTTGGTCCGACACTCCTAATAGTTTCATTCATTCAAATAAGCAGATATATAATTTATACATGTACACTTGAAAATACGTTAAAATCTTCGACTTGATGCCTATGTCCTTCAAATTCTTTTGGGTACTAATTTAGTAACCACACATGTATTTTATTTTAAAATAAATATAAAATATTAAAATATATTATAAAACTCAAAAATATAAAAATTGATAATTTTCTATGATTGTAAAACTAATGAAATATAATACACGAATAAAAATTAAATAAATTATGATGTATGTTTCAAAAAAAATGTAAATTAAATAAATAATATTATTTTAGAAAAAATATAAATGTAAGAAATTACACACTTTTTCATATATGATATTGTGATAGATATAAAAGATACCCTAATTTTAGAAATAAAATTGTTATAACTAATTAAAAAATTTATAAGAAATTTGAAGTTTATATAAGATAATAAAAAAATTATAAAGATAAATATAAGTATTTCAAAAAAATCTATAATTTATATAAGGTAATAAAATATTTTTTATAAGTGTAAAATAGGTATTTGCAAAAAAAATTAAAAATTTTATAAGATAATAAAAAAGTTAAATAATAATTTTTATTTTTAAATTTAGAATAAAATAAAAAGTAAAACAATTACAACGAATTAGAGTATAATTCATATATTATTCTCAAATAATTATAATTATAATATATATATATATATATGTAGTAATTTATTAAGGATAATAATTTCACTAAATGTTTTAGTTATTAAATAGTATATTCTCATTTATATGAGACAAATTGATTTGTTTCAAAACATAATTTTATCATAAACTTATAATATTAAAAATATTGAAATGAATTCTAATTAAACCTAGAAAAGTAAAATTATTAGAAAATCCGATAATCAAGGATATCAAGTTTCCATTAAAATATACAATATGATACTTGCATGTGGGAACTAAGACTTGCAATATATATATATATATATATATATATATATATATATATTGTTGGATTTGTAGACTCCCTTTTCATGTGGAGAAAGGTTTAAATATATTGATTCATTGTGTTTAACTAAAATTAGGAGAGAGAGGTCAAATAAGGGATGAAAAAAAAAAGAGAAAATTTTTATCACAAAACATTTGAGAGAGGACAAAGAAATAAACTCTTGTTATTCTCGCATATTAACTGATCATTTGCAATTGCAGCTTCATTCACTATTGGATCAAACTAATTTTTTGATATCATGTTCATATTTATTTTGTCTAGATAGATTGTCAAGAAAACATCTTGAGAGAGAAACATATATCACAATTTTGTGAAGCAGGATCTTACACTTATGTAAGTTTAAAAATTCTTATATTCAATCTAAACTTTTCATTTAACTTATATCTAACGAGTTATAATTTATTATTTTACTGCAGTTAAATATAAGTTAAATAAAATATTTAAATTAAGCGTAAGAGTTTTTAGACTTACATTAGTTTAAAAAGATCTTTCGTATATATAATTTGGTATGGACACTCAATACAATTCCTTATTTCTATCACAGATTCTGCTTCACGAGCGAAAAAAAATGTAATCTTTAAAAGAAAGTTAAAAAATAACCTGCCAATTAACGGAACACAAACATATTATTGATTCATAATTTACCTGAACAATGACAGCTGCATAATAGAATGCATTAAGACTCATAAAAACTTGCTAAAATTTCTAATCTATTGTTGTTATGACTAGGGATGGAAACAGGTCAGGCCCGTTTAGACTTAGCCTGACCTTTTTAATAAACAAACCAGACTCAGACCTTTTTTAAGGCTTGTTTAAATAAACAAAACAGGCCTGAGTTGTTTATAAAGTCTGTTAAGCCTGACAGGCCGACCTGTATAAATAAATAAATATATATATATATATATTATATAATTTAAAAATAGAGCTATCAAAATATATTTAAATAATAAAGTTATTTAATAATATATTTTTATATTCTTAATTCTGTTATTATTAAATTAATATATTATGTTATAATTTTATTTTTTTATAATTATAATAAACAGAAATTATATTATATTAAAAATTAAAAATTAAAAATATTTATACATGATTACACTTTTTAAATAATAAATTTATTTAATAATAAATTATTATATTTAAACAATTTAAAAATAATTAAGTCTTTGAACAAGAATAATACGTAATCAAAACTAAACGAAATAAAATTTAAAAATAAAATAATAAAATTATATTAACATATTTTTTATACTCTTAATTTTATTATTATTAATTTAATTATTATATTATGTTATAATTCTTTTTATTTATAATAAATAGAGATTTCTTAAATCTGAATTATATTTTATTTGAAAGTAAAAATTTATTAAAAAAAATGATAACAAAATAAAATAAAAAACTTATTATAATATATATATATATATATATATATATATATATATAGATAATCAGACCATGTAGCAAATAATATAATTATAAATAAATTATATAATAATATATATTTTTATAACTTGAACATGTTTTAATTAAATTATTAGTCAATTTAATCAATTTATATGTAATTTATAAATATGTGTTTTAATTTATTGTAGGAGTAATATTTTCTATATTACATTAATATTATAGTGTAGTTAATTTTACATTTATTTGTTAATTTAAAATAACAAATTAATGAGACAAATAAAATTAAATATTTTATAATTATTTTTTAATTTAATAGTTATTATTGTTTTTATTTTATATATATATATAGTACATTAAGTTTAAATTTTTATATTAAGTTTTATCACATATTTTTTAATTAAGATAAAAATTTAGAAATATAAGTTATTTTAATTTAAATATAAATTTTAATAATTCTTCCTATGCTCATATGTTATTTTTCTGCATCTATGAATTTTATAATATAAGTATTTATCATCTACAATTTTTATAATGATGATATTTATTTAATTTTTAAAATATAATAATTTTTTTAGCTGATTCAATAAATTTTATAAGTGTTATTTTTTGTAATTATTTTTTAATTTAATATTTATTATTATTGTCATTATTATATATATATATATATATATATATATATATTGCAGTAAGTTTAAATTTATTTTTTTTAAAACATATAATTTTCTTTTAATTGATTCAACAAACTGTGTGAATGTTATTTTTTTTTTATCAATTTTATGTATTCATTATAACTTTATTTGTTGAATATAAGATGTCTTTAAATAAACAAAATATATTTCTAAAATAAAACTAAAATATTTACTATTTATATAATTTTTAAAAATAAAAAAATATAAATATAAATTTTATTAATATAAAATATTTATAATTAATACTTAAATAATATTTTAAAAATTAT